GTCTTTGAAAAATGTTTTGGCTTTTTTTCAGATATTAGTGCGATATTCAGAAATCCCAATCCTTTTTTCGATGCACTTCTTAGTTTCTCATTGCCACAAGGTTGTGCATGATGATAAATTTCATCATCTATATTTTTTGTACTCATAATGAATGCTCTTCCCTGGGATTAATTAAGATGCTTATTCATCGATAACTGACTTACAAGTTTTTTGACACACCTTTCAAAATTGCTAAATCCTTTTTAAGGATGTACGTAGTTATTCGTGCATTAGACAGCATTGAGTGAAAAGTTGGATTCGAGAATACGAAATAATTTCTAACATATAATTAAATGCTTTGTGAACTTTTTTGAATATCAGGAAGATTTGCAGCGCAGATATAACGTTGTTATTATAGTCCCTACCAGCAAACCTAACAGCTTTGTTGAAGTGGTACTGACGTGCGTGTTATCATAACATTGCAGCTTTTATCACCAGAATGTTTTAAAAGATAAATCTTGACATAGAGTAGCAAACGATGAGAGCCAGTAACTCAACACTATCCCTAAACTAAGTGATGTTCTTACAGCTGGACGCCAAGGTGGTGATTTGCCTTCTCCTTATAAAGAAACGAGGATTTTGGATTGAGTCAAAAAAGAGAAAAGAAACACAAGCATTGGTAAATCTACGAAATAGGGCAGCTCTCGTGAGAAAAATAACGCATCTCATTGCCCTGAAAAGGAAAATGTATACCTAGATGCAGCCATCTGAAAAAACAAACTTTTCTTAAACTTGCAGCTCACTATAACTGATGATTCATGAAACTCTCGATATTTCTTGAACATATTTTATTATTTAGAGACGTTGCCGAGTTTCACTCTGATTATATTGGAACACATATCTCTTCCATTTGTTATCGTTTAAATTTTTGTGTATTCATGACGGCACATATTTGAAACATATAGTTTTTGGCGCGTGTGTTTTTTGGACTTTGTTCGTGTGCATTATTAATCCACAGTAATGTGATAAAATAACCAGTTTAAGAGGTTAAATAGCTAGCTTAGCTTTACGATTGATCTTGATCAGAGCTGCCTGCCTGCCGAAACGTCCATTCTTTAATGATTCTTGACAATATATCAAAAACCTTTGTCACAGTAGCAACGACTGTTTTCCACTGTGGCGTTTTTTAAGCGCGGAAAACTTTAAGTGCCTCCAAATTTTTATCATTTAACGAATGGGTCAACAAATGCACACTATAAAATATTCAGAGAACTTAGTTCTTTCGATTTATTTGCCGGCTTAGCTTTTTCAAATATGATATATTTACGGATTTAGACTTTTACGTGCGTGCATGTAGGTGGATGTGTAAAAAAATCCGATAGTGAAAAGCAGCCCTATAAAACTGTTTATATACTGAGACTGATTATAGAAGTATCGCCTTCAATGTGGTTGGGAAAAAAAGCCGCGATGATATTGGTAATCTGTGCTAAATGCACATCTTAGCTACAACTTCCTATTTCATCGTTTTCAAATGTAAAAGACCAACTGACTGCCAAGTTCACAGCTTCCTTAAAAGTCAAATTAATTTTGGAGAATGTGATGGAAATAGTTTAATTTAACTAAAAGTCCCAAACTACGTAAATTTTAATTTGTAATCTTGTTAAACCACACGATAGCCCGCTCCGTGGTGTGAAAGATACTTGATTGATATTGTACTTTAAAAATCATCCTTCTTATTATCTTAACGTAATCCTCTAAACACGAGGTGTTAAGCAATCTTAGTCTCTGGTCAAATTATTTTATGGCTAACAATTCTTACTGGAATGCAGAAATATTGTCACGAAGAACTTTATTAACCTAAATTGAGCGAAGTTGTTCAACTATTAATATTGACGAAATGTAGACACGAGGTGAACTGATGCATATAAGATGGTGAAGTTGTATGAACATATATAGAATATTTTCTAGTACAAACTAATTAGAAAGGTGTTTGGAATATTGACGTGAAATCAGCCGTAATCAGGACATAACACCCCGGAAACACAGTACTACCAGTTGACGATTAAAAAAAGGTTTGACCACATCTCGTTTCCTAGTTCATGTTAATTGGAATTTGAAGAACATATAATTTGTTTCTAGATCAGCAGAATCGTTTCAGATTGTTTCAACGTAACGTAGATAAAATAGGATGACTTTCATCACTTGAACACAGCCCATGCATGATGGCATTCTGCTGTCATATTCATGCCAAAAATAGCGTCACAATTTGCCCTAAAAACCACATGGGTAGGGCAAAAACCGAACATTATATATATACTTGTAATGTCATCTAGATCTAAGGCTATAGAGTTCAGTGAATACATCACAGGATTCACCATAGTAGCGCTGTGGTATAGATGAGCCCCAGAATTATATGATATACTTTCAGATTCAAAATTATAGTCTGCATATACATTAATTTGCTTTGCCTGGATAAGTTTTTATGAACGCGAAATTCCTGGCCTAACAAAAGCAGAGATATACTGAAATAATTTCTTATAACTGTTCGGTTGGCCTTGGTAGGTCTCTGGCGGAAGGTTGTTGGTTTATCTTCTTGAAAGATTAAGAAGTTTTAGCAATTTCTTTTGTCTCCTGGCTTCCTATAATAGCAGAGCTAAGCCAACGTGCAGCCGTGAAAAGTACCATATTAGATGTTAACTAGAGGGGGAAGTTGACCTAACACTATAAGTAAATTATAAAATTAAAATCTTTAAAAAAAAAGAACATTGAAGCGAATTCATAAACCATATTTTTTAAGCAAACATATAACCTGCGTAATCATATAACCAAATTAATAACCTCGGAACGTTTAAGCATTATATGAATGATGATCGTCTCAAAGTGAAAATGGATCTTTTTTTCAACAAGCAGGAATTGCTGGTTCACCTTTGCCATGCATTAGTGAAGACATAAACCATATACACGTTGGTGTATTCATTAACTAATTAAGTAACATGCATACAAGCGTGGTAACTAATCATTTCCTGTTTATAGTATACTTGCAGAATGACGTCTTTAAGATCAGGAAAGGATTACAGTAACGCTTTCAATATCGTATACACACATAACTTTTGCCGGTCACAGGATACACTAAGCCAAAAAACTTTAGTAAAATGAAATCTGGGATCAGTTGCATGAAGTAGTTAAGATAATCATAGTGCAATCAAAATCAGGGACTCTCCCGTCAACAACGATTCACTTGAGTAATTGATAATTAAAAGTGGTTGAGAGTTTCTTAAATCATCCCCAGATGTTCAAAAGGGAAGTTTGAAATTCTGTTTTGCGGGCGGCAAAATGCAAAAGAACATCTCAATGCAAATAACCAGGAATCAATTTTGCTTGACCTTGACGCAAAACCTTTTATCTATTTCATATCACCCTCATATAACCTCGTCATCAATTACCCAGCGATAGCATTTTTAATTAATCACGTAGCTATCATTCCCGTCTTATTTGTTATGTTTACGTCAGCCCACACTTTTTTAAATTTCTCAACGATACTGGCAAAAGTGTTTTCCCACATTGTTGTGCGTATTTTCACCGCCCGGTAAAGACAATTGGCGCCATGGCTCACTACTGGGAACCAGTCACGCGATTTATTCCGTTTATTGTCTTTGCATGCGCACATGTCACGCACTTGGCAGACTTTTACAATCTCGAAATGATCGACAGCATTGCAATTAGGTTCTTGCCAAAGAGGAAAATATTTTTTTATAATATGCATTGTGTGTTATAGGAAATAGCATCTTCTGATGCTGCATAAGCCGGCAATGAATCATCTTTAGTTTGTGGAGCTTAATCTACCCTTGACTGAATGGAGCCTTGGCATTATTATCAATAATATTTTTACTGTATTGTACACATAACCTGCCGCGATTGATATGCAACAATCAAAATTCACTGTGGGACATTAATGACAAGGTCACAAATGGTCATCTTTGTTTTCAATTTAAAAATGTTTACATCAATTTATAGTACACGTCAAGATAAGGTGTCAAGTAGGTACACTTGGGTATATTTAGGATACTGATACTGGGATGCATTACCCTGACTCAAGCTAAAGACTTATAAAGTTCAAAAGAGTGGAACCATAAATGAGCAGAGCCTGACCACACCACAAGATAATGTATCATTTAAACCTAAAAGGCGTCAGTTCCTTTCTTCACGACGAAGTATCAATTGTGTACCCCAGCAGGGAGCGGTTCAAACGTCTTCCTTTCGATCTATATTTAGTTGTTTCAAACGTTGTTCACATAAATATACCACGAGGTGTTAAAATTGGTGGGAATCTATTCCAGCAGATGATGATAACGTGTCATTTTCACGCATTTGCAAGGATTTGTTTGTTTTAGAAATTTATCCCAATAGTCATAAAGTCTGCACGGGATGTGCCTTAGAAAACTCAGCAGAAGGATTCATAATCTGGTCACTGACAAAACCTGTTTAATATCAACCATCTCAGCAATTAATTGTCTTATAAAAAGACAGAATATTATCTTACAGTATAAAAATCACTCGAAGAAATTCTCGGCAATTTTCACAAGGATACAATAGACGTGTTCTTCAAACATCGAAACACAGTTCTCAAGAAGGGTTTGAGTGATAAAAAATGAGTGAATAACGAGTCAATATTATCCTTTATATGAATTGCAATTTAGTAAACAAGGTCTTTGAAAGTCACTTGCTGTCATCATACAGACTGGGAATAACTGGGAAAGGAAACATTTTCATTACGAACTCCCTAAATAACTTAGTGTTCAAACATTGTGCGACATATAAATACTTTCTAGAAATCAAGTGTTCTCCGAATTTCTGAGTACTTTCCAAGGCTTACTCGAAAACAAAGCACTTCATATATTCGCATTTAAAGAGATTTCGTCATAGGTATGCGCGTAGAAGCCAATAAGAATAATCTACGCTATGACATTGCGCTATTTGAATAGCCCCTGTGGCGATTGCGGTCAAATCAGCGTAAAATGCGTTCAGGTAAACCACCTTCAAACGGTACCGCGTTTTGATTTCATTTCAAAAACATTTCGGTTTGCATTTTCAGGAGAGATTGTTTCTGGGACGAGTATATAGGTCGTTTCGTTGGGAGAGACGCGTCAATGAAAGACTAAATTAAGTGAATTGCTGTTGAGACAACACAATAAAACTGTGTGGGTATTGTAACATATCACATACTTCAAACTTCAGATCAACAAACAAAGATTGACGAAGGACTCTTTTTAACTCAGGGTGAGTAAAACATTAATCTTTGACGGGATCCATCTACAAAATGCTGGCATATATTTTTCAACAGCTTTGAAACAAAGTGAAAATGCACATAAATACTCGCTGGAGGTTCCAGCTTGAGTGATCATCGCAGTTACAACCTCGTGGGTTATTAAGGAACTCAGGGGGTTTGTCAATACCCAAGTTGTTTTGTAAGTACGAAACTATAGAAAAGTATTCATGGACAATATCTAAATATTTACACATTACTCAATTTCCTGAATAAGCAACGTTTGAAGGAAGATAATATCGCCTCGTGTGTGATGATTATAATAATATCTGCTCGTATATACCTTTGTCAATGCTCAAATCACGTAGCGTATTTAACAGATTGCGCTGCAAGAGTATTTTGCAATTATTCTTGAACTAACTAGACACTGTACTTGCTATCTTATCGATTCTTACTCTGCATGTGATCAGACGAACTATATTCTGCCTTGTACTCAATCAAGCCCTTACTGTATGCTGTACAACAATGAAAATGTACTGTATTTTACACACTGTACATTTATATGTACGCTGCGTTAATTTGGGATAGGCTCAGTTCAATAGTTCACATCAGATCACATAATATTGACACAATAAATTAAAGTCATAAGTCGACAATGGTACTGCAATAAGCCGTCTGCATCAAACACAATAATGACATTATTGAAATCAAAGAACACAAATAAGTCTGACTTCTTAATAAAGAACTCCAGAATACTGAGTAAATCGAATATAAAATGTATGTCCGTCCTGTATTTATGGTGACATTTCGATAATATGCCGTGTGTAATATCATAAGTGAACATCATAAAAGCATCTCTCATTCCACAATTTAAAAGACAAATCACCTTCTTAAAAATACAGAATTGCCTCAAGGAAATAGCGCTTGCAGTCGCAGCTTGCTTTAAAACTAACGGATATGAAAGTACTTCCACGGGACAATTTTTTATCAAATTTACAAGCCTCAAGCATGTCTTTATAGTTCATCAATACCTACCGCAGAACATGCAGGTTATCAAGAGTCGGATTGTTATGCTTGAGGAGATAGTTTAATGGTAAGATAAAGTTCAGAACAGTGGTTGTAAACCATAGAAAACTCCCAGTAATGCTGGATATAATAACTATGAAACAGACTTTCATCTCAACGTTTATGACCGAACAGTTTAACCTTACTAACATTCAAATTCTTCTTACCAATCATAAAACTTTGCTCAGTATCAACAGCTTCCTGTACTGATATTGTAGGAATTTCATGGTTCTTGTTTAGGTAACATCAAAGTAACTTATTTATTTGATTCTTTAAGTCACAAATGCTCACTTTGTGATATGGTTTTATCAGTTTATAATCAGAGTTTGCCAAGACAACCATGAAACGTCTTGCGACTTGCCAAGCCTCACATGGTTAAAACCTTCTTTTGAAAGTTAGGTCATAGTTGGTTGTTTTGTTATTTAAATTGAGGATGACAGAGAGGCGTGATTACAATGGAACTGAATTGTATGCGTGGCAATGTCGTCAGTAAACTGATTGTTTGATAAACAAGAAAAAAAATTACGCGCATCCTATTCCATTGTGTTCACGCATCCGTGGATTCACACGGGAGCCTAATTTCTGCTCAGGGATCGGGGAACCATTGCATTTTTTCTGACTACATGACGAAGCATTTTTTTTACCACTTATGTACAGTGGGGCAATGCGACATTTCTGTGACGGTTATACAAGGTCAAAAACAAAAAGTATTTTGATTTAATGTTTCTGATTTTAGGCCTGCCTCTGTGCTTTTTAAAAATGTTCAATACAATCTAGGTGCAATAAAAATCAACTTTTTTCCTGTTTACTTGTCCGTGAATCACTGATTGTCCGGAGGGAAGCTGTACCTCAGGTTTCTTGGCCTTCCTGTTACCTGCGTCAAAGGAGATAAAAAACTTGAGCAGAGTCGGTCCTTGATGTTTAGCTTAGGTGTACATTCTCATACTCGCCTTATAGCCAAATGATTTCTTTTGAAAGGGATTGTGGGAAGGGATATATGAAAACACTCGAAATCCCAAAAGCACAGGCGGTCCTGGTAATCCTATAGAAGCCGCCTATACTGAATACTGGATATAAATATTTAGATAAAACTGATCTATTTTTTCAGATTAATACAACCACATAACGCTATATTGAATTTCAGACAATCCTTGGAACCACAGAGACACAAGAAATTCACCCAAATGAAGAAGGTGCTTCCAGGAAACGTAAGGTTAGTTTTAATACCTGTCCGTGTTATTCAGGGAGGGAACGATCTGAAACCATTTTCATGTTGAATTTTGATCACGCCTAATGCGAGAGGTTATGCATCCACTTGTCTGGAAAATATACCCAGATTCAAATCCAGTTTTCACTGTCGACTTATTGAGACTGTTTATTTTACTTTTTACCATAAACTTGGAATTTGTTCTGCCAAATAGGATAATGTTTAATGTTTGCGTCAATTGCGCCTACTTGAATCATCAAAGTATTAATGTATAAATCATTCCGGGATGATGAAGAACAAACTCAGTTATTTTTCTTTCTTAATCTTCAACTTCCAACGTTTAAACTGTTGTAAGTTTCAACAACAGAGGCTATGCCAAAAGTTAATCAGTAAACACCAACAGTTGAGAAAAATTACTGATGAGAACAATGGAACATTCCAATCAATCAACTGTCTCTGATTGACAACACTGTCATGCTAAGGCTGATAACAAATATTACATGAGCGAGTCTCGCTTTCCCTCTCGCTCTCTCAACATTGAAATACTTTTCGCAGCAATGACAGTAAAGTGAGGAACAGAGGGCGTTAGAAGTTAGAGTTAGTAGGCGTATCCAAGGTTATATAATTCCTTATCTAAACGGAAAAACTAACTGATCTTCATCTCAGAAACAACCATGTGAATTAATTAAGCAAAATGGTAGTTTTCAATCGGTTTAAACTAATTACAGAAATCCGCTCTTCAGTGTCTACGCGCACGACGCTCTGATATCAAACCAATAGACACTAAAATATTAATTATTGATTGGAATACACAGGAAACAAATGAACTCGCAAAAAATACTGGAACGTATGTTAATTGTTAATGTTTATTCCCGCGCTTGATCAAACTTCACTCATGCAATCTTACCGCATGTGAAGACTAGTCTTGGGCATGCGCAATTCGCGCAAGAAAGACAAATGTTTTCTTCGGTCTTTCCAATGCCTCGGGATACACGATCCTTAGGATGTGACCTTGCATGTTATTCACGATATGACGTCGTTCTTTAATTAATGTGCTGTATCGTGATGAATTGCTCAAACAAGCGGCCTCATTTAATTGAAAACCTCCGTTAAACCTCTTGTGAGTAAAACGCGTCCTAAACAAAACTTTTAGTCTACGGACGTGGTATGAAGAATTCCTGCAATGCTTTAAGATAGATTTAGATAGAGTTGATAAAAAGGGATAAACACATTTTTCAGATAAAATAGTTTGGTTAACATACTATTTAAGATTCACTGAATTACCAGCTTGGGAAAATGTATTGCTTTAACGATAGCCATGCAAAGTATTGATGATTATTTCCAGTTGTTTTACAACATATTCAATAACAGAATTTTACGATCCTTAAATTTTTTGGTAAATAAAGAAGTGATGCATATAAAAAATGGAAACAGGTTCCTCAATACGACGCAGACGGGACACGGAAAGCTAGCAACAAAAGATTAGCCCAGTTAAGGGGATATGCTGGGATTTCCTTGCTGACATTAAAGCAGTTTCAGCAGTGATGAATTCTCCTGAAAACGAGACATTCAAACTAAGTTTTTCTTGAAGTGTTTATAAGGCGCCGGACAGATATCGCGTGTGAAATCACGACCCAGACGTACAGTACCAAGAAATTCTTCTGAGATTTTAGTCGCTTGATAATCCCAGATGTTTTTATTGTTCAAATTCAGCATCGCGTGACGAGCGTTTTTTGGCAAAATCCCAAGTAATTTTGTTTTTATAAGAATCGTACAATACGCCCATTCTTCGCATTCCAGAAACTCATTGCGTGATGAATATGCAAGGAGACTGTTTTACAACAACACGTATAATATTAATTCATATTTTCTACTGTACCGCTTGACACATTATCCTGGTTTCCCGATTAAGCTTAACATATTCTTCTGACCACGCAAGTCGGAAGGCTTCGCGCGAATTTGACTCGAGGCTAATATGAATTTAAAGAAACCGGAAAATTTAATAACATTCTTCAAAACTTTCGGATATCGAGACCGCATAACTTTGGATTTGGTTCGAGATTAGGATGATAATAGACTATTATTCGACATTTGTTACTACGTATGCCTCCCATTGATGTGGAACGAAATTAACATTTTGTACGCGCCATGTACGCGTGTGTGTAGAAATTTCACACAAAGATAAAACGGAGGTGATACTGTAAATGTTTTGATTATAAGACGTAATTTCCTTCTTCCTCTGCCGAGGTATTCGAAATACTACCAAAGTTTACCGTTGTTGTGAACTATTGTAACTGCTAGAGGAGCTTGCAACAATTTTTAGCGCCCAGCAACTTTGATAATACGAATTTTTATAATACGAATTAACCTTCACATCATGTGCAACTGACTGTCATTATACGACTCGTGCCCAGGCTCTATATACCGAGCTCCCCAGGTCTCCTTGTTCGCTTAAATATATCATGCACAAGGACACGAAGTCATGCTGTGTCATGCGTCAATTGGTTTAACTCGTCCACGCGGTATAAATACAAGTTACCCACAAGAGGGTTGGTATATTTACAAATGATTTAGTGGTGCATTGATCGAAGAAACTCCGCCCATCTCGAGCCAGCGCGCTTTATGCTAATATGATGTCCATCTATTCATATTATAGTGAGTATAATAAACAGTCAGGACAGTTTCACCGTGATCAGAACATGGATTATAACTCAAATTCATTTCAATGGCCACCAACTGACCCGATAAACCAAAATAAACAAAACAGTCCAAGTGAAGCCGTTTTCTCGTATCCAGCTGGTATCAGAGAGTTACCTCAGATTGATCAAGAGGAGATGCTTAGCTGGTATCGTACGGTTCCACTGAGCCATGATCCACAAGATTATGACGCTCGTGAAACGATGCAAGAACTTCAGTTGAACAGAAAAGGTACAATTCAATACTGGCATTAATATGCTTTATTAGCTCAAGAACTCCCTCGCACTTCATTTTTAAAACACATGACGTAAAATTCACGAAATCAAATTCAGCTTCAGGACACGAATCAACGCTTTAAACTACGAAATATCATTTCAAAGCGCGGCAGTTGCGAAGACGGAAATGGTGTCTACAATTTAAAATTCAGGTTCAAAGTGGCCTAAAACAGTTGTAAAAAGGCAATCAATAGAGTTGGATGAATTTCTCACCAACAATATTCCGTTATGAAAACCATACGTTATGGGTATTTATCGGAGTATTTCGCTAGCTAGTATACGTCAACTTTAAGCCATAGGATTTTGCCAATACACAGGAATTATATGCAGTTAAATAAGTAGGCTTATTCCTCACCCATATTTACGCTCTCACTTCTCACTGAGAGCAAGATGAGGTCCAGCTTGTGTTTAGTTTTCAATGACGATATCTCCGTTGGGAATTTAGGACTTGTTTTTCAGGATATTTCACCCCAAGTTTTGCCGTTATTTGAAGCACTCTTACTATTTATCAGTCAGAACATGACTCTTTATGACTCTTTGTCATATTCATTGAGTTTTATAGCCTACAGGTGTTAATAAAATATCTCACCTTTGCTGTCCTGACTTTCAGTATATATAAGATAAACAAAATTACAATAATCTTTGTCATCAAAACTACGGCGCCGTTCCTATCGACTATAATCGACTTAACACACACGAAAAATTTTTAGCTGTTAAGGCAATATACAATTTAGCAGGACAGTCGCTCACCAATTCGAACTTATACTAAAGCAATCAATAGGCCTCATTCAACCCAGATCAATTAGATACAAATGAGTATATTACAGCAATTTTTCATTGCTTATTTTCCAGTCATGATTTCCTTCATTACTTCAATAAATCATAGTTAATTACTTGCATGTATTCTCGATGTTAAAGAGCATATGAATGATGTATACTCCTAGGTTTGTACGAATTAAAATCCATGTATCTCTCAATATAAAGGTACCGTTAGAATAACCTTGAAGCATAAAGAAATCCCTTATGTCTCTCATTGGCAATGACCTCTTTAAGATTTTACGTTCAGCTTTTTTCACCTTTCAATACCACTTTAAATTGAAGTGTTTTCCTTAACAGGTTATAAATAGCACAGATAATCCTTATTAATTTAATCTTATATTAAAAATCACGCTATTGAATCGTTCATTGTGATCACGCTAAGGTATTCTCGAATAGACTTGGATTCTGAAATAGGATGTATTTCTTGCGGTATTTATAACCTGTAGGAATCATCAATTTTGCTGGAAATTTGAATTTTCTAGAACATGAATTGTTTAATTAAAATATGATATCATTTGCCGGTATTTTCGCAGGTAACACCGACCACTGGTTAGTGGCAGTAAAGTATATCATAAAACGAACATAAAATTCGAACATAAAATTTGATCGACTGCGCCTTTCAAAATCATACTCGTGACTCAGAACTAGATCTGAGACCATGAACCAAAATTAACAGTGACGGAATCATATTTTATGGACATTTGACACGATTTTATTTTGCGCAGCTGTTTCTATACATGCGTCAGAATTTCCTGGTTGAAAAAGGTCTTCTTGTGATGACCTACATAATATTGTAGCGCGTTTGAAAAATGCGTAAAAATTTAGCTTCGGAGGGATGAAAACTAAGCGGTGATAACAGTAATTCAAAGCAACAGTAATTTTAAAAAAAGTAAATATCGCGTATCGAATATGATATAAGTTTGTGCGTGCAGTACGTCATGTGTGCTGTACTCAATCACACTGTCAAAATCACTACAAACTAGTTTGTAAATTTACGCTCTTTGTGTGGCACTCACCGCAAGAAGGTTTCCTTGTTTTACGCTGTGTTGTGTCTAGCAATATCGCTCCAAAGTACCGCTAAAGTATTGCCTGAAGGGTCAGAGTAGTAAGAAAAGGTCAAAACACTATCAAATATTGTGACTGATTACTTTTTTTAACCCTAAACGTAAATACGCAATTGGTATTTAAAGATTTTATAGTCTCGGTGCAAATATAAACTTAAATTGTCATGGAATTTCGTTGTGGGCGTGCAATTCATTTAAAGCACCATAGACATTTTAAAAGCGCAGAAAATGCAAATTGTACATATTGAAATATTTTTAAACTTGAATTTAAATAAAGTACAAACGAATTAGTTTACCGTGGGAACCGGCCAACTGCACAAGCAACCTAAGTTGTTTGTTTTAGTAATTTTGATGTTTGTACTTGGATTTTGCGTGGATTAAATTAGCAAGTGTGAATATATGACGCAGGAGTTACAACAGTGTCTATGATATATATAGCGACATTTGAAAAAAATTGACCTCTTTGTAACCGAGAACATGGCCAAGGGGTTGGTTACCTTAATGGAAAGAGTAGGCTATGACTCAAAAGTAAACACAATACTTGTCAGAAAATTAAATCGTATTATAGTCGATCAAGCTCGCTTTTCATGACCATTTTTAGAAACAATCGCATTGCATTGCACCTGGAATTATCAGCTGTTGTTTTACTGACATTGTTACCAAAAACGACGATATTTCACTCGGCATTTTGCCACCATTGTAAAACCGGATGTTCTCAGGGGACAATAGTGAAATGAGGATGCATATAACTTTCCTTGTTCACCATGTTTGACGTTTTGCGAACACGATTGATACATATATATATATATATATATCACTGTTTCAGAAATTGTTGAATAAAACATTTCGGAGCGAAATCCAAAATCACTGGGTAGATAAAATCTCGTTCTCTGGTAGATATAACTTGAAGCTTTTTTGTGACTAGCCAAGTGCTCCAAAATCAATATTGTTTCATTGATTTAAAGGAATATAGAAAACGAGGGAGATCTCTGAACAAAGCACTCAAATAAATCAAAGTCAATTTAAAATTGTTTTGAAATGAAAAAATGCGCCTTAATTGCCAAATCTCTTTCCATTAACTTGTGCCCAGAGGCTATTGCGAATGTCAATGCGGAAAACACAAAAGAATTTTTGATAACGAAAGCCACACGAATATTTAGATGTGAAAATCAGATATACTTTATATAACAGAATTATCTTTGAAACAGATTTGAAAGAGTGTACACTCTTAGATAACCCAGGGCGGAGATTCTTTCAAAATTGCATAAATCTATGATCAAGTTTGATTACATAGGGAAGGGATAATGAGTGAATAAAGCTATGACATCGCCAAGGTTGTTGAAGTGGATGTGCGTAAGACATGATAAATACTTCGTTCGGTTGTTGATACCACAAACCATTTTGTGAAAACGAGAAACTCGTTTATAAAAGAAGGCCGAGGAAACTGGAAAGCAAGAAATAATAAACAAGTTTCGCCTAGTTTCCTGTTGTCATTTTTCATCTAATATATTTTGTTACAACTTCGGTTTTGTCTTTTAAATCACAATAAAAAGCCTCGAGCAGAATCTCCATTAAAAGCCACAGTTTCCGATAAACAAAAGATACAAACGATTGAGAGAATTCCGCGCCTTTGCGCTGATAATAAAATTAGATTAGGAATGAAGGTTGTAGACTTTGCTTGTAAACAAGTAGTTATGTAATTGCCAGAAGCGTTTTTTTTATACGGATTAGAAGATTTCTAATCAATCTTTCGCAAGTATGTCAGGGTATGTTATTGCACGAACCGAAGAACGATAACTTATTAATGTTTCTTAAAATCTTTTCAAAGCACATGTATTTTACCTTGCCTATTTTCCAAACATTCAAACGAAAGAGGTTCGGTTTTTCAAGTAGTTTATTTTATCAACTACGACATATTACTCTAATTATCATTTATGAATGTTGCTACCTGTTTGCTTGATATTACAAAAACAAATACAGTGCTTGATTTCTAAACAACCTTTAATTTAAAAGGGTTTAAATCTGGTGAAAGGTTCTCCAATGACATAAGTTTTGAACGCTGATTAATCTGGTTAAATGTTCATATGTTTTACAGAACGGTTGCTGACCGAGAGACAGAAAAGATTTCGCACGTCATTCACGACCTGTCAACTGGGGAGACTTGAAGAGGAGTTTGAACAAGATAAGTACGCCGTTGGTATGAAAAGAATGCGTCTTGCCAGAGAACTGGGCCTGACCGAGAAACAGATCAAGGTCTGGTACCAAAATCGTCGGATGAAGTACAAGAGAGTTTGTCAGCGGATTCACAACAAAAGAATGGCTGCCGTGAATAGCTACTGGTAGAGAGGACAAATTAGCATGCGCATTCTGTAAACACAGAGAATGAACTTAGTTAGCATTTGTTGCGCAAGCTGTTTTTGTACAAATTTTTAAAAAGTAAGTATTTAACGAACACAGAAACTTCATAATATACGTAAATTCAAAAATATAGACCATAGTGGTAAATTGATGTCTACCTATTTATAATAAATCTTCCTCTTCATAAATTTCAACTGAAAATGTATGTGTAGATAATAGATATTTCTAAAGAGATTCCCCCATTTGTGACATATCAATACATTCTAACTAAATCATACGTACGCAAATTTTGCTTGTAAATATTGCTTGGAATAAATTTAAAATGTCCTAAATGAACAATCTGACTTGTTGCTTGCTTCCACGAGCGTCCGGGATTGAGCATGCACTCTGTGCTGTGCCAGTCTTCAGAATGGTATCCAGCGATGACAATAGAAAGTAAGCATCATCACCCCTGTGTTTTGCAATAACAAAACTTCCTAGCATAAGGATACTGTTTCGCAATGCAAGCTGGTTGATCATTATAGCGGTTAAGTCGACTGATTTCTGGATTGATCGTGATTTGTTGTTTTGATACATGTGCTGTAACTTCGTATTTGGCTCCGTTTGGTTGAGTTTTGAATATAATCTGAAACCTCTTCAAATCTTTAGTCCTTCCTCCATAAGAAACTCTTCGATCTCCATCTTGATCAGTGGAATCAAACGTTCGAACTTTTTTATTAGCTTGCAAGATTATGGCGTCGAGGACACCATCCAGAGTCAGTTTATGGCATGAACTGTGCAACACTGTTTCTTTAGATAATTTATCATTAATGACTTTCAGCGCTGAAGCAGCTATCCTTTGAGCGTCTGTAGAGTTCGCATCCGTGGGCAACCAATGGAAGCATGGGCACCAGTGTTCAGCTATGCCTAAAACAATTGTTATGCACATTATTTATTGAAGTTTCCCCTGTAAAACTATACTGAACGTACATGAGTAATAATAACACCACAACTTACCCGCATCTTTACAAGTTCGGTTGCGTGGTAACCTCTCAAACAGACTTTGAGTCTGCTCGCCGCTTGGCGTACTGGGATAGGTTAATATATGACGTAATGTTGCGTGGACATCAAATGATGACGTGATAACGGCTTGATTCTTTTGTAAGTTCGCCGCGAGTTCGGGAAACTTTCGGTGAAACTCGGAAGGCAAGGATATTGAGAACCATGGTAGTCGCTCTTCTAATTTTCCTTGCATTGTATCCCTGTACTCTGAGTTTCTTGACCCATGATCACCCATGATAACCAACATCGTATCTTTAAGATAACCTTTATCCACGAACGTCCTCAGTAGCCACATGAGATCATCTTCAGCGAAACTCAGGTGGTTTGGGTGAGCATGCGCTAAATATGAATGAAAGGTAAACGCAAACTTTCTCGATGAAGGATAAGCATCAAAGAAGCTATTAATATATTTCAAAGTGTGATTGACCATTGATTCAGATTTTGAGCATCTCCCAGGCTCGTCTCGCTCGTGCATATCTTCTAAAGAAAGCCAGAACGGTCTCATATAATGATGAGTAGGTTGCTGAGAAAATCCTTCAAGGCGCAGGTTGAATGCGCTAACGCTAGGATCGTCTTCAGCATACAATGTTATGTAGCCCTGTCTCTCGTAATCTCTCATTACCCATGGCCAGTTATCAATAGGTTTCCTGAAAGATACATTAAAAGAACGTACAATCATGGGCCACAAGTAATTCAAGATAGTATCTTCATTGCTCGAATACATAACGGGGGAAGGGTGTATGTTACACTTACCCTCCAAATGAGGTTCGTCCCTCTGGTAGTTTTGTCTCATCCTTTCCAGTAAGCATTGCAGTCAGTACAGGGGTGGTCGCATCACCCACGATGGACATTCCTTCCATAAAATACGTGTTTAACTCTGTTTCTAGAAAAGACTTTACTCGCGGAAGTTTTCTTACAAAATTAGCTCGTGAAGTTGAATCAAAACCTAGAATAAGCACATTCAACTGCAGACCTTTGTCTCGAAATCCTTCAGCTATTTTATTTTGTTTTTCAATTAGATCAAGTCTGGGTGAAACGCGAGCATACAAATCAGAGGATCTTCTCCCGTCAATCCTATACTCCACACGAAAGAAATCAGACTGTCCAATATCCTTACTTTCATGTATGTCCAGCATCCCAACAAATGGCTTAATGGTTTTCTCATAACTAAAACTTTGGTCACCTTGTCTTTTTATTTTCTTAAGTTCAATAGAACTTTTAACTACGCTGTTTTGATTCACATTTTTTTTCAAAACTAGTTTATTGTTGACCACTTTGAACGCTGGAGTGTATGGATGCATGCCTCTACAAATCTTTCTTAAATTTGTGCCAACGTTGTTCTGAAGACGTGCAACATGCGGATGAAACGGATCCAAAGCTGGTATCTTACAAACTAAGGGTTCCTCTGGAGAACTGACAGATGCCATCTTTGTAGGTTCTCGTGTCTTTCTTAAACGTGGATTACTCATTTTCGTTGTCTTTTTAGACAAAGAAGGTTTTGTCGTAGTAACATCTACAACGGGAACAGTGATATCTTTAGCTTTGATGGTTTTCGCTGTTTTAACGCCAATCGTTGGCGCTAGTTGCCTGGGAAGAGAAGGGTTTAACTCGAGTGAAGAAGACTTCTTCCTACGAGATTCTTCCTTCCTACGTGATTCTTCCTTCCTACGAGATTCTTCTTCCTTCCTACGAGATTCTTCTTCCCTCCTACGAGATTCTTCTTCCTTCCTACGAGATTCGTCTTCCTTCCTACGAGATTCTTCCTTCCGACGAGATTCTTCCTTCCTACGAGATTCTTCCTTCCTACGAGATTCTTCCTTCCGACGAGATTCTTCCTTCCTACGAGATTCTTCTTCCCTCCTACGAGATTCTTCCTTCCTACGAGATTCTTCTTCCCTCCTACGAGATTCTTCCTTCCTACGAGATTCTTCTTTCTTCCGACGAGATTCGTCCTTCCTACGAGATTCTTCATGCTTTCTACGAGATTCGTCCTCCTTCCTCAAAGATTCGTCCTTCCTACGAGTTTCTTTATGCTTTCTACGAGATTCCTCTTCTTCCCTACGAGCTTCTTCATGCTTTCTACGAGATTCCTCTTCTTTCCTAAGCGATGCTTTGTTTTTACGAAATTCTTCTTCCTTTCTACGAGATTCTTTATTACCCGAACCTTCGTTTTTGACAGTATTTTTTAATTTCGTATCTTCAGCACTATTCTTGTCTGTTTTTTCCGTAAAGTAAACCACAGAATACTTTCGGGTCGGTAATGGATTCGTTGCCTTCACTGTTGTCATTTCTTCGGATAAACCAGCCCTGAAACATAGAACTTTAGCCTTTAGCCTTAGTTCAAAAGCGATTTCAACCAGCATTTACCTTAGCTTCATTCTTCACATATTAAAAACTCGTGATGATTTTAATTCTTTTTCGTTCACAAGAAACGCAAGGAGGAACACACGAATGAATAATTCGCACGTGTGGATCTATTGTTTTGTATTTTATGCAATAGTTAAAATATATTCATCAGTACATTTCATTATCGTTTTTCGAAAGCTCTTTTCGTCAGGCGTCGGGGCGAAAGTCAAGCATTGTAAATATGGATATATGCAAATTCTGTAAACTTGATTCAGCTGAATAATGAGGTTTATAAGAAGGAAGCAGTCGTATATTCTGTCAAATGACAAGCCCAACAAATTTAACACTAGTTTTAAACCGTATGAAAAACAAGTAGCAAAATATAGATACATTGATGATCGCAGGGTATGATAATTACTAATCGTTAAACATAAACAGAGAGACGTTTAAAAAATGTGAGAATAAGAACAGGTGATAGAATAATTATGCACATGAATTAAAATAATACAAAATGGCTATGGTTCAAACCTTTTGACCTATGCCGACAATAATCCTGCTATCATATGATCAAAAACAATTCTTAATTTGCTGTGGGTTAGCCACACTGACTCTAGTAATTTAGTTTCAGGTAATTCAAAGCTTTGTTAGCGTCAACTTAATTGTACTTTCCTCCTAACGGCTACGCCGGCTAGCGGCCTAATTATTGTAGTCTGCTTTCGAAGTATTGAGTCAATACATTAGGAGGATTTAATACCACTTTAAAAACAATCCTATCCCACGTAGATATAAAAAGAATCGTGTGTCTATGCTGTGAGAACCGAGGTGAGAACTGTATACATTTCCCAACATACAATGTATCTGTTTAACTACGGTTACTAAATCCATGTAAAGAAGATTATGTAAAAGCTTCAGGGTGGATAATTTTAATTATATTATACATACACAGTCATACTGAACCAGATGTTTGACGACAGACTCGACAGTTTCATTTAAAAAAACTGAGACATTTCTTACCGTGAAGTATCCGCATGATCTGTGTTGACATTATACATTCCTCCCTCTCTTCTACCGTATAAAAATAATGCAGTAACAAGACAAATCGCAAAAATTATCGCGATTATTCGCTTTCGTCTTGCTACGTTGACTGCCATAATCCCGCATGAAACGTGATACGCGCTTCACATAAACTTTGGTATAAATACGGCTTAATCGTCACCTCAGCAAAAAACGGAACTGGTAAAGCATGTATGTAAGCATGGTTTAAAAGGAAGTATACCAACATGAATACACTTCTCAAGATAACACTGAAATGCAGGAGGAAATTGGAAAGCTAATAAAATATACATATTCAATACACGTTTCGACCTTATAATTAGCCATCATTAATTATTCACTGGACGGAAGAACACGAATGAAAAAAGTATCAGGTTTTGACCGGCTATCACCACAGTTAGTCCACCTTGTTGAAGGCAGGTCGAACAGCGATCGACAATTTAATAAGAATCACAGGAACTAAAGAACCCAACTTGCTGTCAACGGTGCTGTTCTTCTAACAAGCTTGATCCAACATGTCTTAAAACTATCAGGTTGGAACAAGTTGTTTGTCACTAACCCGTTCAAGTTGTCACCAACTTGTTCACGGGATGAATCAATGGACAGGTTTCTCTACAGTGTTGAGCTGCACTGCCTGATAAAACGTTTGAAGTAATCGCCCGCTCGAGAGCTGAGAAAAACAAAAGGTATAAATGTGTAGGAAAGCCCGAGATGGTCAGGTTATGACATTTATCATCTCCTTATTAGGTTGAGGAATATAACTATGTGAACTGATTGATAACTATGAAAAACCACAACCAGTCATGAGTCATCTGACAGCTCAGAAGAGTTCTGCGGAAGAAAAAACGAAATACGTATTGTAGTAAAACAATAAACAGCTTCAATTAATATATTTTATTACACGAACAGTCTTCGTGCATTAATTGCTGTCCAACAGAGAAATAGTCAGCTTTTCTTCACACCCAGATTGAGGTTTTTCAGGTTGACATTTGCAGGTAATTTGAGCTTCGTTGTTACTGGAGCAACACTGGCGCAGAATCTGAGATTGTCAAAGAATGAAAATGAGACGTGATGATAAAATGAGAGTTGAATGGACATGCAGTAAACTATCAGTTTTGATTATATTTTGTTTCATACCGTTTGAATTCTTCGACTTCTCGTTCAGCCTCATCCACTTCAACATTATGTCCGTTCTAGGAAAAATCAAGTACGTTCAACGAATTACCCAATGTAGCTAGTAATTCCGTTATATTCGTGGATTTTGGACAGGGAATTACTATCCAATAATAAGTAACTTTGAACCAGTCTGGACTTAAGATTATAATTTGAATTAAAACTCTCTCTAAGCAAATATTTACCATAAGGTTTTCTTTCGGGAGGAACACATCATCTGCAAAGGAAAATGCACGTACAATAAGTTGTATCCATTGTATAAATAAGTCAGTATTTTAACTCATTCTCTTCCTAGTTTTCCTCGTGTCTAACCTAAATATTGCCCCTTCTTCTTCTTTCGATTTTTTGTCTTTTTTCCTTGATTTTGTGTTTGGCTCTCCTGTGCTGCAGCCTCCTCCCCACAATGCTTTGGTTCAGCTTCCTCACGTACCGGCAATCTCGAACCTCGCGTATGTTCCACGTAAGAACACGACTCCTGCCCATTTACAATGACCCGTCTTTCTTCGGCATCCGACTTATTCATCGGGATCTTTTTATCCTTGCCTTTCTTTCGTTTATCCAAATGATTCCCAGTCTCAGGCCTCTGTTTTTCTACCGCGGGTTTCTCATCCTCAGGGTATCTCTGAGCATTCGTATTCTGTTTCAAATCGTTCGTTAAAGATTTCTCATGATTCTTAGCATTTTCTTTATCTGTTAGATCTTCTTGTGATTTGTTATTGCCAGCTTGCCTTTGTCTGTTACTCTTCTTGCATTTTTCCTCACAGAATGGTGGTTTCTCGCAAATGATTTCATCCTTGTTTAATAAACATCCCTTGTCGTTTGCCTCAGGCACCGAAACCACCTTTTCCGCTGCCTAAAATGAACGAAAACACTGCTATATACCACGATATTTATTGCATCATATATTTCAGAAATAAAAGAAAGTATTTCAATTAACCTTTTTTTGTTTCTGTCTTTGTCGTTTCGCAGCCTTTGAACTAGATTTGATTGGAATATTTTGAGTCACATCTTGTGTTTTCTTATCTCCGTTGATATACGTGAGTAATTCATCAACAGAACGAGTGTCGGCGATACAACTGAGGCCTTTCGGATGATCTGTGAACTCCGAAGTCTGCTGGAAAATGAATAAAAATATTTATACTTGCTGTATCTTGTCTACCGTGCAGTGTAGTTCACCCTCACACAGTTTATTCTTAAATACAGATAAATCTGTGCGTCTTTCATCTCTCCGAGTTCATTTACCTTCTTCCCTCTTTCTTTCAATCGTAATCTTAACTTTTCTCTTATTTCAACAAAATTGTGGCTGGTCTGAGCTACTGGTGGCTGGAAAGGAAAGCGGATAAATCAGTATAACAAAGATATTTCATTGGAGTGCATGTTCAGAGAAAGATCTTCCTACACTTACAGTGCCATGTCCAAAGAATTCGCAGTAACAACAATCACAATATTTTCCATTATTTGATTTGCCATCTTCAGATAAAGAGCTTCGACTAGTTGGAGTGTCACAAGAACTACCATCTCCCACGCTACGATCACTCGAGGGTGATGATGGAGGAGCTTCGACATCCACGTCATTGCCTGGGGTGAAACACGCGAGAAAAATCCATTTTAACAAATAAATAAATCATAAGCAGAACCTAAGAACTCAATAACAATCCATAATATTCAATAATAGTTAATAGGCTTCATTGATGAAACTTTCAAACTATGCGAAACTTCTGTTCTGGACTTTACTGCAATAAGACACCACTGTTGTTATATTTAAATTCAGGAGAAAGCCAACTTTACCTGGGATCATAATATTGGGTGTAAAAGGTCCTTTATGCTGCTCCTGACACCCATCGTGTCCTTCATGATCATCATCATATCCATTATCGTCTCTCTCATCATCGTTATCCCATTCGGTACAGCAAGCGTGGTTCTTGCAGTGACCCCCTCCTGGTGAGTTACCATTAAGTACCAAACTCTGTATGGACGACGCAGTTTCCGGGGGAGGCGTATCGTGATTGTACCAGAAGGGATCATGAGAGCTGTGGTTGTTGCAACCTGATAGTTTGCTGTTTGGTGAAGAAGGTAGACCATGTTCTTCGTGTTGACATTTTGTAGACGGCGTGTTCTGAATCACAGAAAACAAACAGATAACTTGGGCCCTGATGGCAGGTTGTCGTTAGAGGAAAAAGCTTTAACCTCAATGTTTGAAAACAGTCGGTGAGTAATTGAACAAACGAAGACGTACCTGATCAAAGCAAAATGAATGAAGAGCTTCACGGATGCATGGTGCACACTTTGAATTAGTCAAACGATTAAGAAACAACGCTGTTGGTAGAAGTTGGGTTGGATTGGAAAGATCCTCGCTATCACCTGAACTATTTTGCGCATGCCTCGAGCAGTACTGGTTGGAACTGTGTGAGCTGGAGGACGACGTGGATGATAGGGAACGTTTAAGGGATAATAAGGAACTTTGGGCATCATGTGGTGACGTGAGGTGATTTTGTTCACAACCGCAGCTAAAGAAAAGAACGCATTTAATGTGAGGATGTCATTAGACAGTGCGAAGAAAATGGATGGGTTGTCAAGGATAAGAAATAACTTTCTATATTGTTCTTACATTTCTCCGTCTTTCTCTTGCTTGGTTTCCTGTCAAGAAGTGGAAATCAATGTTAGTTCCATCACATCAATAAACTAAAATCAATCAAATCTAACTTATTTACCTTCAAACATTCGTCCCAGTTCTCATACTCTTCTCTTTCATGTAAATTCTATTCAAGAAACGACGATGAAATTCAGCATAATGATACACAAGCAACCTCTTTCACATTTCACTTACCTTTTCTTCATCATATTTCTCCCTCAGCGGCTCAGCAACCAACCAACAGTTATCTGCCTCGGTCATTTCCCATGTCAACGCTTGAAACCTGTTCACAACCAGTTTATACACGTTAAGATGGATAACAAATCATATGTGGAAAAACCAAGAAATGCTGACCTTTCAATAACATCAGCGTTAGGATTGTTGGTTCTGTCTAATACAGGAATTCCATGCAATGGTCCAGTCAAGTTTCCTCTGAATAAGAAAAAATAACATTAACAAAGTCCACTCTAAGAAGCAAGAACATTGACTACCATTACTTTACAACTGATGAAATGAAATGAAATAAAATGAAATGAAATAAAAAGAAATGAAAGACAATTTAATTTAACACTAACCCAGTAGACTACAAACCTGACTAATCTCTCAAACAGCAAAGGTAGATTAACACGCATTACAGAGTCGTTAAATATCTCTTCTTTAAATAACTCTTTGTTCATGAGTTCCCAGGACCATTTGAAGCAGCTTAAGTAGTCTGAATCCTGAAACAAAAAGCAAAGATTTTGTCATAAACTTGATTCTTCTTCAATGAAAGAGGAGATATGAACAATCCACTCACAAGTTTTTGAAAGAATGGTTTGAGTATATCAATGGCAACACACAGAGATTGATACTCCTCCAGCAATGTCATGACACAGTCTCTCGCATGTTGTGGAGTGTTTGAGAAAGATGATGAGAAAAACTTGATAAGACTCACTCGAACTTCAGTCAAGTACTCCCTGAGAGATGACAAGAAGGCAATTACTATGCTGAAACAAATTTCTATCTCTCTAAAGAAAGACTTTATATACCTTGTTTGAGCTTCTAATCTTTCATAGAGCTGATAAGAATCTCGTGAAGTCAATCTAAAGAAATAACATGCCAGTTTGATATATACTCAATATGAATTATCTTCATCCCATCTTATTTGGTATAATAGCGGAGACATGGGGCATTAAGCTGAGACAATCTATTTAGGTGGCATTTGGGACACAAATTTAGGCACTAAAAATTCAGCCAGATATTAAGTATGATTCTCAATTACAAGCTCATAAATAGTTCAACTACTAAGAGGGCAACAGCGAGCACTTGAAATAAAATCAATATATAATACTTCTTAGTATGTTTCTTCATCCTATCAATGTCCAGTGAAGTTTTGGTTAGTTTATCATCATCTATCATTTAACATAAATGACATGAAAGAAAATCATTATCATCATGTAAAAAAGTTTTATGGAAGACAGGGCTTCCTTAATAAGGAAGGAAATATAATTTTCACAATACCTGCTAAGGTTGTACCAGCTTTTCTGTAAACACATCTTACAAAGTGTTTCACTTCAAACCATGAAAACTGAAAATGAAAAATATTTTGATGCAACAAAACAATTTATTTATGCGCTTCCTTCGATCATGAAATCGCATAGCAAATAAATACATAGATACACTCACATTTTAACAATTAGTACATATATACATTTGAATTTTGAAGGTAGCAAAATTATGAAATATTGGCTATTACCTGTAGCTCTCCAAACTCTTTAGTTTTGGCTGGGACTAAATGCCTGGTTTTAAAAAAAATCACACATGATTTATTACAGTGGTAAAGATTGTTGTCAAATGCCTGTGCAATAGTTGAGAATTGCTCTTAGGACATAGTTGTCACTACAAAATGCCTAGGCATGTACGACAGAGTGATATTCACCCACCTTTTACCAGAACAGATATGACAGTTACATAAATCTTTATTAGGAATGCCTTCAGACACAGATGAGTTCAAAGCTACACCATCCAATGGTTGAAATAGCATATCATTATTCTATAATATCACATCATCAGGATTATATTAACATGTTATCTTTCAAGGATCAAATACTTAGAGAAATGAAAAGCACCATACCAGTGTATTCAATCCAGTCTTCTGTTCATCTTCTTCAACTCTCTTACGACATTCTGGACACACCCATAGTGGTAACTTGAAAATATTTAAAATTATAATTAACAACACACATTGGTAGATTATATCCTTTCATGGTTGATAAAAAAGTTGGATGTTATACAACTTATACTTAGAGCAGTTATATAGATTAACAGACAACATATTGTTCCAATATAATATATTAATTCATATTTTTTTACCTTATCAACAAATTGTTGTGTACCAGGCAAAATATCAGCATTAGGGTTCTCTGCTGTCAAAAAATATGTGAAAGATTAGTCTCAATTAAACTCACACTGGGAAAAGTAATTTTATCATATTAACTTTGTAGAAAACAAAGTCAGCCACCTTTTCGTGTGATGGTCGGCCTCTCTTGATGACATAAAATGCACCTTTCACCATCCAAAAATGGGGTGAAACTGGACTTGTTTACAACCTAATAACATTGTATAATAATGTACACAATATTTAGTAGAATTGTTCATATTAAAATGTGTTGTAGTGAAGAAAATTATTTGATGATAAATATCAACAATTGTCTACCTGAGATAATGCAATACTTGCATCTAAACCTGCATTAGCAAAAGGTCCAGTTTTCTATAAATTACAACAAGATATTTCACACATCAGTTTATAACTGGTTCTAAGCTGAAACTCTGTAGGGAGGGAGGTATTCTCTAAAATATATAGGGATTTGGGATGCCCTCTGGGTATTTGTGCTTTGATCCAATGAAGCAAAGATGAAAATTTAACACAATCCAGGGTAGAATTTGTCTTGGTGTTAACTGAAATGCGAGAAATCACTGCATTCAATAATTGATTGATAAATTCCTAATGGAAAAATTGACCTCGTAAAATAACAAAACATAGAAAATATACCCATTACTCGCTATCGTAAGATTTGAGAACAATAATATTTTCAAACTAATGTGACTTTCATAACCTTAAATATTTGACAATGTACACTTCGAGACATATATCCATAACCCAGATCTCTACAAAGCATTTTTATCGGTTGTTTAAAGTTCAAAACAACTACCTGTATCAAATGACATATATAGAGATACTCATGAACAAACACGCAAAAATGTACATTTCAATATTCGTACATAAATAAATCCTGCAATTGGCTGTATGTTTGATTAAAAAATAGGTAAAATAAAAGAAAAAAATCGGGAAAAGTGATAGCACCGAAAAAACGCAGGTCTTTTAAAGTCCTGAAGCAAATTTATATGATTTTGTCCGACTTTATAAACAACACAAGGACCTCTGATTCTGGTGAAATAGTGCTTGTACTCGCAACATGCAGTTTTGAAGGAAAATCTCTTACCTTGCTTGTTGCATTCACTTTGGATGTCTGACTTTCCTTCGTTTGCTGTGCAGATCGCTTCTTTTTCGCCTTTCTATTGCTTCGTTTACTTTCTGAAGCTGCAGACATCGTCGGACAGTAGAGATAGTTTATCAATGTGGCACAATAATTGATGCTCGTTCAACGAACTTATCTGGTGTCAGCTTGCTGAAATACCTTGGCAAGATATTAAAGGTGTTGTAGATGAGAAGAAAATAACAAAAATTCACAAAGAAATACTACAAAAACACGAGAAATAATCGATATCTTCATACCATCCACCCTTATATAAAATCAATATGGCTCCACATTACTGTCCCAGACTCCTTCGCGCCATCACTACCAACAGTCCTTCTTAGGAACATCAAAATCCTGTCAAAAATGTCTAAAACCCAACAACTTCTTTTCGTTTTTCTCCGTTCTTGAACGCGCGAAAGTGGCTACATATAAAGGAATCTACTTTGCGAATGAATTTCCTTTTACTATAAAACATCTCTACACATTATTTACATTCTATTCCAATTTCCAGTCTTATTTAAATTCAGTCTTCGACTTGCCAACCTAAACTTCGACCAGTCTCATACAGTCGATTTAAAGTTCCATGAAACTCGTGTTCACCTTTCTGCATCAATTCTTTATAACGTTGATACAACCTGAGTGCCGTACACGCGTCCTCTGTACTGTCGTGGGTGTTTGACTGAATTGTTATACCTGAATACGACACAAAACATATACAATCAATACCTTCTTGGATTATTAACAGGAAACTAGGCTTCAACCGTTCGTTTGGCTCCCTCTGATCCTATCCAACGTATTCTCCCTGTACACTCATAATCATTACAATCTACCACAGACAACTGTCACTCTGAAAAGTTTATACAAGCCAGTACACCTAAGAATAAAACTCACCGAAAAAATACCAGGCGAGAAACCGTAGCGAAATATATCTTTGCTGTCGAAGATGAAACAGTTCAACTGTATCAACAATTTGCGACTTTGGCACCTGGAAAAGCATAATTCGTTTAAATGAAACGTAAATTAAAAATCAAAACCTCGTGAATGATATATACTGCACAATTATACACAAAATTTACCATGATATTTAGCACCCTGAAGTCCTTCTTTAGTCCATGTCCCACAAACAGCACGTTATGCTGTAACAAGTATTTTAGTTTTAAATAAGTTGTTTTTAATGTTGTAAGATGCTTGGTAGAGATCGTTATATCCAGATCACCAGGACTAATACCAGAAAACTCCGTGAGGTAATCCACGACCTGGAAGAATAAAGCGGTTAAGTTTGATTGGAGAGTGATGTTAGATGAATTAACTTATATCCACAAGATTAAAAATATTTACCATACCTGTTCAGACGTAGAAATATAGTCATCAATAAATGGAATTCCTTTCAATTGTCCCTCGCTAGAAAGATGATAATTTTTACAGTAAATATTTAGCTTGACTCTGAGATAGATCTGCAGTTGGCCTGCACTCCCCAATCCCCCACCTCTGATCTCCCCCTCTGGATTCTATGGGTTATTTAGGAGTGAGAGAGGGTTCATCTGGAACAATGATATGTGAACTCCGCAAACTCACCCTCGTATACAAGTGACCCTAGCGACGCTCATGTGGCTTGGTTTTATAGTTGAACGAGTTCCGTCGCTCTTTATTTCAGATTCCTCCTGTAAATATTGAAAGAAATACAATCACAAACTAATCTACTATAATATGGGCACAAAGTCACAAACAACAGCACTTGCATGCAACAACTATGCATCATTCTGAACACACAAAGAACATTCACTCAAATCTACCGAAATTGGCTAAATTTACCTGATTTAATGTGACGAACTCACAATCGATTCCAACGACAAATCCTTCTTGTACTACTTCGTTTAGATTAAGAGGTGTGAACGTTTTCTGTGTTGATGGATTGTGGCGCTGAGCAAGGGAAACATCGGCGAGTATCATCTGTTTATCAATAGCGCGAAACACTGAAGTTGAAAGAATAGCCACCGTTAATAATACGTGTGGGGAGAGAGAGGAGGGGAAAATCTCGCTAGCACCGTATCTAAACATAGTCATCCATACAATACCGTTAAGATCATAGTCTGTTTTCATATTTCTACGGACGAACTGAAGAACACACGGTGTTTTCCACGACAAATCAAACTCAACCGCTTCTGCCTAAACAAATAAAATGATTTTAGGTTGACATTCAGGAGAGTAAATAAACGCAGTTCATGGAAAGAATATTTTCATATGTACCTGGCTAATTTCACAAACTCCAAAATCATTGAAAAGATGCCAACCACAGTGTTGATCAGTCTACACAAGAGGCATTATAATATTGTTAACTTTCGAAAGTTATAATATGGCCGGAATTCATTCAGTTGCGACAAGAAATCAATACCGTTGGTTCTTTGCAATACGACTTCTCCACGTTTATCATCGCAACGAGGTTGCCGGGTGAATTATAATCTTGGATATGAGCAACTGATGATTTGAGATCGTAAATAATGTATTCAGCGTCCTCTGAACTTTCCTCTACAGAATCCTGAGATAAACAAGCAACTCACATCAATAATTCACATTTAACGCTTGCTTAAAAACTTTAGACAATACCAATATTTTTTTCACCCTGTCTTAATTGCTCACATAAGATAACATTACACGCACCAATTCTGAGCAAACTAATGTCCCGTCATTCGCTACTCTTAGTTTCAAAGAGAATGGAACCCAGGTTAGTTTACAATCTTCTTTAGAACTTTCAAAAATCGGTCTAGAAAAGAAATAATGCAATCAGAGTTTGACTAAAAACGACAGGTCAGTCAGCGCTCGAAATAGCGGAAAATGGACAGTGAGAGGTGACGAATGCTTGTTGATTATTAGCCACCTTGACTGGAGAAATCTCAGTCGTTATTTGAGTGTCACTTACCCTGGTTCAGTCCCAGTCTTCTCTTCATCTTTTGGGTGCCGGAACGTGCAACCAGGTCGTGTACAGCCATCTCCAAAACGACAAGGAATGTTTGAACTTGATCGAGTGTTTTGAGAAGGTGGGTTTATCGCTTTCTTCTCTTCTAACTAAAACAAGTTAAGTTGCCAACATCAACGTCTGAACCTCCTCACTTCATGCTCAATCTTCAACCTCAGTTATTATGTACGTACATTAACATTACTTTGGTTCCAAAATTCTTTATGTTTGCTTGCATCAACTTGACAGTTTATCGTTAAAACGTCTGGTAATCTTTTCAAATTCTTACTGTGAATCTAGAAATATACAGAGGACAGCATCCCAGGTTAAACCTCGGTGAAACACAGTCTGTGATACGGTCGAAATTGAAACTTTTAGAAAGTATTCTAAATCAAGTAAAGTGCCCAAAATCATAACTGATTTACCCTCTCTAGAAAAACATAACAATATTACCGTAGATTGGAATTTATTGCAATTTTCACACCACGCTGGGCTCGTCTGGATACCAAGTAAACTGGACTGCAAAACATTCACAAAACTGACGGCTTCTATTGGAAGAGAAATATTCACTCGTTTTATCTCATCTCAATCATCTAACCATTCAGGAGACAAAGAAAACAGTTCTCTTCGAGAGATCAGGGTTCTCGTGTTAAAACTAATTTTACTACATACGTTTTTCGTTATTGTCAGGATAAGCCAGAGCTGTCAGTAAAGTGATTTCATCCCGCGTGGTCTGGGCGCCACATTGACTACACTGACTTGTTCTTTGGACTTCACATCCAAATAACGAGTTGATGACAGACGTCTCCCTATAAACGAGGAAAGAAACGAAATAAAAATTGTGAACATATGTGATTGAAATCTGGCGAATATGAGACAATTTACTACAGGCCAGGAGAAAGAGTTGACTAAAAATAATAAGCACGTACCTTATTTCCTTTTCTTCACCCATTTCTTCTTTAATTTCTGTATCCTGAAACGATTAAAGAAATCAAATTAAGCTGGAAAAATTCTTCTGTTATCCACACTTTCCATTCACGAAATAAAATAAGCTCTCTCGTGGTCTAAAAGCGCAGACTGTTGCTTACTTTTTAAAGCATCAAATAATTCATTCATTCTCAGTCTCACCCACCCTATGAAGCTGCTGCAGAACGAATCTCTGCCAACTTTGAATCAGCCGAGAGAAGTTCACTCGTCCCAGGGACTCATCCGTGTCAGGCAGCAGTAAACCTAGTGCCGAGGCCTCTCGTAATGTGCGGAACGCGCGAAGAAAGTTACTCGCCTGGGAGGAAACAAGAAGAACAGGTTTAAGTTGAGATACTAAAGTTGACATTGTTTTTCATTGAGACTTACTTGACAGGTTTGACCAGAGGATTGATCCAACATGTCGAAAAGAAATCCCAGCTCACAAGCCAAGCAAAATTCCTTTTTACACAAATGATTTTGAAGAGAAACTTTGAGCGGCTCCAGAAAGTAGAATATCTAAAAAATCAAACCTCAGATTGTTTTTGTCTCTCATAAAACACGTCAAACTTTTACGAAACATCCAGAACCCAAAATACTGTTAGCGAGGAATATTTCTTACCTGTAACATGGAGTTACAATAAGCATTAGGAATGTGGATCTCAAGACCAGCAAATGACGTTTTATTATAATGATGAAAATTAAAATCATCGACACCTGGCATAGAAAGATGTTTTATCACGTTTTATGCTGTGACCAAAAAACAAAATCACGCTTAGATGATGTCTTTCAAAGAACATCAACACATATTCTATCACGATACTAGATTAATCAATAATATTGATCAATACTCGCATAATCAATAATATTGAGTATACCCCAGAACTAATCATTAATATTCGTACCTAACTTGGAGTATCTCATCTCCACACGTCGGTATATTTTTGGCACAAGGAATGAAAAAGGATTTTTCTCTATATGAAGATATTCACGAAACAAATTATCAGCGAAACGAAACGAGAGCTTTAGTGAGATGTGAATTATTCTCACCTCTGTTCATCGGAGATTCTGGGACTTGACGTTTTTGTTTTGTTGAAAGCCATATGTCAGGAACCTGGATAATAATTTAAAAAAAACTATCAAATCCTGAAATGCTTCTGTTCAGAAAGAAGACATGAAGTATTCAACCTGATTTCGTAGCCGATTTCCAGGGTTAGGAGCTTGTCCTATGAAACCTTTCATTACCATCGTTCTCAATATCTCCGGGTCGATTGGAGGAGTGGGTCTGGGAAATAAAATTAATTTTTAGAAATGAAAATTAATTTCTGAGAAATGAAAAATGAAATTATTCACTCGACTCTCGTTACCTGTCCCGTCGTTTCAAGAATTTTCTTGGCCAGTCAGAAAGCAATGGTTCACTAAAAACACAGAAAAATATGGAGGGCTCTGGAAAATCATGAAAATGAGGTCCTCATGAGAGTTGTTCAATGACTAATCTTCATGCAATAATTTGCAATTTTATAGATTACTCTGACTAATTGATACTCTATATAGTTAATAATTACTTGATAATTGATACTAATGATTATCAAATTGTGACTAATACATTGTTAATATACAGGCCTGCTTCTTAAATCCATTACCTGCAGTGAGGAAGAGGGAATGAGGAATATGGAACACTGTCATCATCAATTGCCAATGGATGGGAATGATGAATCTGGAAACAAATGAAAAATTTGAGTTAAGGCAAGAATTACATTTTAGATCAGTAGGGATACAAGAAAGTCATTCACCTCATCAGCAAAGTTTGTTGGTCTTGAATAGATATTAAAATTCAAATGCTCCATGCCATGGTCAACCCAAAGATGGACCACACCTATAGGAGGATATTCTAATGAATCCTGGAGGCTTAGAGATCACTGCAAGATAATAACAAAGTTTACCAGCAGAATCACCAAATACTGATGCTTGACCATTGGGTGAAATGTCAAAACCAGTCAGCATCCCTCCCTGTGTGTTCACGTGATAAACATACATGGATCTTGCTGTCATGCTTCCACCAATATCAAGAAACTGCAGTTGACCACTCTAACATAAAAAATAATTAAAAAATCTTGTATAAAATGTATAAAGAGCAAATTTTATTCAAGGGAATTAATTGGATTACCCTGTACAACAGATGTTCTAAACACATACTAACATGCTTTATTGACTTACATGGGAAGCAACTTGAACTGTGGATGACATTGTACCAGAAAATTTCAACATGAACGGTTCTAGCATTGGCGTCTGGAAGAGGAAAGACAATGAACTGATTTTTTATATAAACACTCCATGTTTGCATTCATATGAAACAAGATTTAGCAGCAAAATGTACCTGAAGAGGTTGTAAACTTCTCAACATTCTCATATCATACATCATCAAAAAACGATCCGTTGCCAAATGACCTAGTCTGATAAACCACAAGAGGTACTGTGGTATATATTTCAAAGACTAAACTAGAGAGGTTTATTACTGTAATGTGTTAGTTACTACCTGCTGGAAAACCCACAAGTAATCAGCGTATTTCCCAGGACATCAAAATCAGACAATGTTCCAGAATGAGCAGACAGAACATGCTCACATTTCAAACTTTTTGGATCTCTTAAACGTATCTGAAGGAAAGAAATCAACCTTGACTGGGACGGCAAGAAATGTTACGAGGAAATGAAACATGTTTACCTTGCCTGATGTGTCTCCACAACACAAATATTTTGATGAAACTTTCATGATACAAGTCCCTGGTTCAACTGTGTACTAAAAATTAGCAGACATGAGAACACTTGTAGGGTGATTCTCTGGTCACACATGTGACAATGTTATTCTTTTTTGTTACATGCAAAATATGAAGAAACAGAAATGTCAGGTGTGTGACCAGAGAATCATCCTGTAGTATTTTTTCATTACTCATATCTTTGTGTGATAATCTTACTTTTATTGTTTAAACAAGAGTAGCTTTAATGGAATTTAAATGAATTGCAATAACATACTTCTTTTAAAATTTTATGACGGTTAAGATCTAGCTCAAATATCTCATCCTGATGACCAGCAATAAGCAATGTTGCATCATCTCTTTGCAACATACATTGCATATCAGTCATGTTCGAACCACTGAAAAATAAACCATTGGGTTTTATTACTTGCACAAAATGTTCATTATGACTTCTACATAATGCGCATGACACCCACCTGAGGCTAAATAGTTTGAGTCCTTGTCTTTTTGTGAATCTGATCTCATTGTTTGTTAGTGACAACACACCAGCATCATTTGTTAGTAAATGACGGATTTCATTCTCGTGAGCTTGAAATGATGTATATTTCTGCATCTCTGAACCAAAGTAGGATGTGATATGTCCCTGGAAAGGCATAGAAGTTACCAAGACTATTATGATCTAGAGGGTTTATAGCTGATGGAAAATTGAGCTGGATGTACATACTTATGAAAACATATTACATGAAACACTACAATAGTAACAACACAACTACATGCACCTATACAGAAACTTCTATTCAGTCTGACTTAGATGTTTAATGTTGTTAATGAAGATTGGTATGCCATTTATTACATGCTTTAAAAACTAGAGTGTATTGATGATAGAATATAATATTGCAATAGCAAAACACAATGTACTGTACACACCTCTTCATTGCCAACCCATATCAACTCCTCGTGTGAGTCAAAAAGGACAGTAGATACACCAAAACGATCTCCTCCATCCATCAAAATACTACATAATTCTCCAATTTCCTCGCCAACAACGGTCGATGTCATATCCATGTTGAAGAAACGAACGTTTCGCTATATTCTGGATTTCCAAATTCCCTCCTCTGTATTGGCAGCCATATTGGATTTCACCGAGCAGCCCTGAGAAAGTTGTCCTCCACCATCTCATTTCCACCAATCACATGCCACCACTATATCGTTTCCACCAATCACATGCCACCACCATCACTTACCAATTTTGCTAAAAAATCCAATGCAAGATGGCGGCTTCGTCAGGGGCGACGCCAACAATTCGGAAACTAGATGAAACTGTAGTGAATCGAATTGCGGCCGGCGAAGTAATACAACGACCGGTGAATGCTGTTAAAGAAATGATAGAGAATTGTTTGGACGCAAAAGCAACCGCCATTCAAGTCACGGTAAAATCTGGTGGTCTCAAGTTCTTACAAATACAAGATAATGGTTGCGGAATTCGTAAAGAAGATATGGGCATTGTTTGCGAGCGGTTTACTACGAGCAAACTATGTAAATTTGAAGATTTAAATAAGATTGCAACGTATGGTTTTCGCGGAGAAGCTTTGGCAAGTATAAGCCATGTAGCACATATTTCAATCATTACAAAGACTGCAGAGTCCAACTGTGCATACAAAGCACTGTATTCTGACGGGAAACCAAAAAGCGATCCAAAACCCTGTGCAGGCAACAGAGGGACACAGATAACTGTTGAGGATCTGTTTTACAATATTACGACAAGGAAAAAAGCTTTAAAAAGCCCTGGTGAGGAGTATGCCAAAATTGTTGATGTTGTTGGCAAGTATGCTATTCACAATTCTGGGGTTGCTTTCACTGTCAAGAAACATGGTCAGAATCTGGGAGATGTGAGGACCTTAAACCAGTCTAGCATTGTTGATAATATATCAACAATTTATGGTACAAATGTTGTTAAGGAAATTCTTGAGATATCTTGTGACAATCAACAATATGGCTTTACAATGAGTGGTTATATAACCAATGTTAACTATTCTATGAAGCGACTGACATTCCTACTTTTTATCAATCATCGCTTGGTAGATTCTAGTGCAATCCGTAAAGCAATTGATGCTGTATATTCTGCATACCTTCCAAAAGGGACACACCCATTTGTGTACCTGAGTCTTGAAATTAATCCTTTGAATGTTGATGTTAATGTTCACCCAACAAAACACGAAGTCCATTTCTTGCATGAAAACTCCATCATTGAGATTATCCAAAAGCAATTTGAAGAGAAGCTACTTGGCTGTAATTCCTCACGAACATATTACACCCAGAAGTTGTTGCCGAATGCAATCCTAGAAACAAGTGATATATTGCCAGGTAGGTAGACTGGGAAAGTTTTGGCGACCATACATAAAAAATGGCTAACTATTGCATTTGTGTTTTAGGAGAGAGTGTCAGTAACAACAAAACAAATCAAAGAGTCTATGACCATCAGTTGGTGCGGACTGACAGCAGAGAACAAACGCTTCATGCTTTTGTTAAACCTCAATCAACTGCAGTTTTAAACACAAGGTGAGTTTCTGAAGCACAGGCTGATTCACACAACCAGGTACACCGTGATCTGACCGGGATTATCACCTGAATACTGAACAACATTTCAACTCAACCTGATGAAAACAGAAAACATATAATAAGCTTGTCTTGATGTGTCATCATTTATTATGTTATATATTTGCACATGCAGTATCTGTGAGCTATTTCCTTGCAGTGAAAAGACTGAGAATCAAACAAAAGAAGACTCTGTCATTGATTCAAATAATGAAAACGAAATTATTGAAGTTGAAGATGGAGATGAAACATCAATGGAGACTTCTGGTAGTTGAAATGTTTCATGATTCTTTATTGAAAGAGGTGAAAGTGTTATTATACCACAAGAGATCCGAGTGTGTTTACTTTCTTTTTAGACACCACAACGCGTAAATCTTCAGACAAATCATCGCTCTACCCACAGCGACGTGAAATTCGTTTGGCAAGCGTCCTAGAACTACGAGATGAGATTGACGAAGCTGAACACAAAGATCTTAAAGAAATGTTTCAAAATCATAAATTTGTTGGTTGTGTTGAAAAATCGTTTGCTTTAATGCAGCATGGTACTGGACTATACCTGACTAACGTCACTTCCCTTAGCACAGAGTTCTTCTACCAAATTGTTCTCTTTGCATTTGGTAACTTTGGATATATCAACCTGAACCCACCTGCATCTATCTATGAACTAGCACTTCTTGCCCTAAATGCTCCAAATTCAGGCTGGAGCGAAAACGACGGTCCAAAGGAAGAACTGGCGGAATACATTGTGAAAATCCTGAAAGAGAAATCTGAAATGTTGGGCGATTATTTTTCCATGGTGATCGATGCAGATGGAAAGTTGAAGTCATTACCTCTCTTATTACATGATTACGTTCCTAATCTTAATGAACTGCCAAAGTTTGTGTTACGTTTAGCCACTGAGGTGCGTAACTAACTAATTTAGCAATGGAAACAACTTGACGATCCTGTCATACTACAGATTACAGGAAGAAAAACACAGTTTTCAGTAGATCTGATAAAGCCATCTGGTATTTATGAATGATAGTAATTGCTGGGATATATCTCATAGAATTATCTTTTACAGGTTGACTGGGAAAAGGAGAAGGAATGTTTCCAATCATTTGCCAAAGAATGTGGCTTGTTCTACGCGTTCAAACCTGATCCTTTTACTGGAGAAGAAGATAATGAAAATAGTCATGACAAAAACTGGAAATGGACAGTTGAACACGTCCTTTTCCCTGCGTTTCGTGTTGGGCTCGTGCCACCAAAACATCTCGCTGAAGATGGCACTTTACTTCAGGTCGCTAACCTTCCTGATTTATACAAAGTTTTTGAACGATGTTGACTTTTAGCAATATATTACTTTGCCTAGAGCAGAACACTCTTTTGAGTTGCTAATTTTGATTCACAAGTGTTCATATTATCATGTTTCTTTATAATTTAAACTATTGTTATTGGCTCAATAAATGTTACTGAAAGCTTAATGCAATGTATGTAAACAGTAAACAGTGTATGTTTTGGATGTTTGACCAGATTGGACAGCTGGCGAATTATCCTACCCAATAAAACGATTCTGTTCATTGTTTTCTTGCCTGTCCCATACTCAATGGTTGTCCACGATCATTCCTGCCAGCAACACGACTAGAGTTACGAGGAAAATCATGTGAGCGGGCATGAAGACGTTGTTGGCATGACTGTAAGGATTGCAGAGATTTTCACCGCAACACGTAATGCCGCAGTCCGTGTATTCAGCGGTATGCCCAAAGTCGAGCACACACTGGTCCGAGGTTGTATTACAAAACTGACTTGTTGCGCATCTCTTGCGCACGAATTTTCTTCCAGCATGCTCTAGTACTGCGTCTGCGCAGTAAATTTCATCGGGGGCACAATCCAGTTGTTTACAATCGATAGAAAACTCTTTTGAAACGTCTTCATCGTAAGTACACGTAAAACACTTCAACAGTTTTCCTGCAAAACAAGAATACTTGAAACAAGTACCCGGGATATTGGTAGACTAATATAGTCTTTGTTTTACCTGCATCCTTTTTCGAAGTATTCTTTCTTTTCTTCTTAATTTTTTTCTCTTGAACTAATGAGAGTTTTAAAAAGACTTTTAGTGGATTAGATTATTAATAGACACGGAATGGAAAACAACCAGAAACATTAAACAAACACATTACCGACTGTTGGGATTTTAAACGATGTTGTTGTGACTTTAATAAACTGGCTTGACGTGGTGGGGCTAGAGGTGAAGAAGCTCCAGGTGGGGCTAGAGGTGGGACTAGAGGTGGGGCTAGAGGAGTAGCTCGAGGTGGGGCTAGAAGAGTGGCTCCAGGTGGGGCTAGAGGTGGGACTAGAGGTGGGGCTAGAAGAGTAGCTCGAGGTGGGGCTAGAAGTGGGGCTAGAAGAGTGGCTCCAGGTGGGGCTAGAGGTGGGACTAGAGGTGGAGCTAGAGGAGTGGCTCGAGGTGATGCTAGAGGTGTGACTCGGGGTTGGGCTCATTGATGTCTCACAAATTGCTGGCACAGTAACATATGACGTCATCCATACTGTCATAGTCTTGATAATTACAGAGGTGACAATTTGGTCAGGAATTGTTGGAAATGTTGTGGGTAAAACCTGTGTTGTTTCGTCAACTAGTGTAGCAAAAGACACAGGAATTTTCGTTAGAGTAAAGCAGTTAAAGGGATTAAACATTAGTTGATTCTCAGAAGCGGAAATGCATGACTTTTTTATCCCTTTACCACGACCTAATTAATCCTCAAGCTTAAGACACACTGAAACAAAATTTATTACACCAATACCTGAAGAGACCACAGTGATGTTTGGGCAAAGAGTTGTGTCTAAATCCTCTACCAAGTACAGTATATCATCGTCTGAGGACCAAAAGACATCTTGTGGACTGCTTGCCAGAGAATACAGCTCTTTTTGAAATTCAGGTGACGATATTCGTCTACCTACACCAATAGCAACTAAGTGAACTCCAGCGGCTTTTAAGTGCTTTGCTTCTTGTAGAACATTCTTTACAGGATAAGTCGACGTCCCCTCAGATATCAATACCACAACATTAGGAGCCCAGGCTCTGTCTGTTGTATTTTCACCATTGAAAACCTAAATTAAACAAACGCTGATTAAAGTAGAATACAAAGCGTCCTCTGTTTACGGCACCATTGAAAGCATAGTTCAGCCACGAAACATAGCTTGAAAGGAAGCATCGTTTTGGAACTTTACAAAAGACATACTTTGCCGGAAACAATATTTCCTGCTTGTAAAACTCTTTTCGTAAGATATGCTAGGCGAGAGATTCTTCCAAAAAAATGTCTCCCTGCCTGAAGATTAGACCTTACCTTAGTCTCAGCTAGTCGCAATGCAATCTCAGTCTTTTGCAAGCTCCCGTATTGATATTCTATCTTCTCAATTGCATTAAGCATTTCCCCAACATCCGTGTAATTGGTAATTCCAAATTCAAATTTCGTTTCCTTCACGTCACTAAATTGAACCAGTGCGACCCTGGTTCCTTCCTCAACGACGTTCAACCGAAGAATCAGTTTCTGCACAAACATCTTAAATGAACCAAAACGACTTCTTCCAACACTTCCGGAGCCATCCAAGAGAAATACTAAATCAATTGGATTTTGAATACAATCTATAATCATACAAAACCAAAGTGAGTTTCTTTGTTAAAAAGATGGCAACGGAATGGAAAGATTGAAGGCAAGAGATTCAAGGTTGTACTCTTGCACCATTCATATTTCTTTCAGGATAATTTTATTACTTACTTGTCCAAGGATCAGGCCATGAACCTGAACTCAACTTTAAAATTCCAATAAGAACTAAAGAAAGAAGAACAGTGTGTTTTAAGAAGAAGATACAAGATTGAAGAGAAAGGTAAAAGTCGCCTAAAATCTGAGGATTTTGTCAGACCATGCTAAATGCTAATTTTGAGTGTATCTAAATTGAATACTGGTATAGAGCCTAAGGAGGTACAAGTGAGCTTAAACACTGAGGAAAAGGAGGTAAAAGATTTTCCGTGGAAATAACGATTCTATGGAAAATATGGCAAGAATGGAGGTAACTCATGTAAAGGAGGAATTACATGAGTTATCTGTATGTTTCTAAAACAATATACCATTTGAAAAAGTACGGCGTATGACAAAGTATGACGCGCGCAAGATTAGCAAGATCTTAAAATAATATAGAAATACAGTATACATTAAACTTCCAAATGTATAGGTTTAATCTGCAAGCAAATATGTAAGACACGCACATTATTCCGGAATTTCTTTTAGAATAATAGGGGACTTTTTTGAAAGCGAGATTAATTGTAAAAATGGAATTGATAATGAGAATAGGCAAATTTTTCCACATGACGTCATTGTAATAAACAAATTTCAGCAGTGTTAGCGGTCTTCGGACTGCAGAGCACCGAGCTGAAGTACTTTGTGTAAAATGAAATTTTTGGCAGTTGTTTTGCACATGGCGTCTTTGTTGGATTATTCAAAATTCAAATGCAGAATACGATTTCGAGAACAATTTTGAAAATAATCGGAAGAAATTTTAAGAACAATGGGGTAAAGATTTGGGAATAAGGGAATAGAATAATAGGTAGATTTTTGGGAATAATGTGTGTGTCCCTAACGAAGACAATAGTCGTAAACTCAGATCTATCAGTAAACCATACATTTTGAATATCTCACACGATAATATTAATCTTTCATACGCCCTTGTTTAGATCAGTCAAAGGAAAGAGAAAACGGCCAGCTGAAGATTATGATGAGAGTGTCCGAGTAAACATTGGCATTATGCTATATGATGATTCCATTGGACTTAAAAAACAACGTGGTAAAGGGTTGTATATCAGCAGTTTGAAAAAGAATACAACAAAAATGGCTTTTAAAAATCGCAACAGACAAGCATATGGCACATTCTGAGGACTTAGTCAAGGCAGAGTACTAAATTCTATACCTGGACGGAACAATTGTTGATAAGCTGAAAGAAACTGATGAAGAATTTGTATTGTATAGATACAAATCTAAGTGTGGAAAACCATACGATAGAATATCATTCTTCCTGCGTCGTGATATGGACTATGCCAGCGCGACTATGCCAGCGCGAGAGTTGTTTAAAGAGCAACTCTGAGTTGACAATTTTGAATTGTGAGTTTCGAATCTGGAGAGACATCCTTATATTTGGAATTTGGTTTTTGTCTATTTTGACTCCTGTGGCTGTGAGCCACTGTAGGTTATATAGTGGTCTTGAGTTCTATAAATACGTTAGATTGCATCATTTTGAATAAAAATAGTTTTCTCCCTAGGAAATGATGGCCTTAATGAATATTCAATAAACCACAAACCGCACACTCAGCTTATAGCTTCTGAAACATGGAAAATCGTCAGGAAATGCCAGTTTTGTACTATATTCCAATACAATTATCCCAAAATACAGATTCTTCGTGTCAAAACACAACCATTTTGAACTCTTTCGTTGGAAATTTCGACGTTAACCGACGCGTCAAGAGTTGACACGGGAAAATTGACGAAATATTTCCACAGCTATTTCAAATAGCAGACTAAATATGGGTAGAAACTAATGAAACATAACTCGTTACATCAACAGTTTAGCAAAACGGATTAATGGAATAGGAGGGCATTTAATCCATATGAAAATAGGTACACCGCCCACAACTGATTTGTATTCTTTTGTGTTTTCGTTTGATATGCTTGGGAATGTGGATAAAATATTCTGACAAATCCTATGAGCTTGATCACTTCCACAAAATTCACGCCAAATAAGGACCGGTTTTAAAATAATCGCGGATATTTGACAAAGTCATGAATTTCATCCACACATGCACAACAGACTCACCTGTTACGGAAAAAAACGTCCTGAATGCCATTTCCAACATATGATTTTACCTTGGGAAGAAGACGTCCTCTCCTGAGCATGCATTAGCATGATGAACTACAAATCGCGTGTATAAAACAATTTAAAATAAGTGAAATGATTAACATCTCTGTTGTACTTCGACCACAAACTTGCTGAGCACACCATGAATAAAATTCTCTGAGCAATTAGCTCGACCTTGTTTTCTTGCAAACAATATCATTCTCGTTAAGAGGATGCAAGCGATATATAAATATCATATCTATGATCGTTAACCTAAACTGCTCGAGCACATAACCATCTGCCCTTTTCGGTTGGATGAAGCAAGCTGTCATTGACGCTGTTACCGCCGTATAATGTGTCTACAACACTGCCAGGATCGTATTTTATACTCTTTTATTACCTCAAAGTCAACTCACGCTTCGTTGAATCTCGGCTAAGTGCGGAGTGATGTAAACCTCTATTAACAAAATATCTTTCACACGTTTACAAAAACTACTTTTTTAACATATATTTCTTTTTCAATTTCTCCATGCATTCTGACAGTTTCAATATTTTTATGTTCAAGTACCTATAATTAACATTACTCTTTGTATCATAAATACAATTGCAAACAAGCAGTTCGATATTGAGATGAATGTATGCTGTGAACCATCATAATTGTGTTTACAAGGCAGATATCAATTCCTCAATTTGATTAGAAGATGATCTGTATATCCTGCAAGATATAAAAAAAAAGGTTATCAAACGATCTTTCATCTTCCTATCTATTGAATTGAGTAGGTAAGGAAACTCAGTCGATTAATACATAATAAGGACACAGGATGGAATTCAACCATATTGCTCACCTTATTTTCTGCAGTTGTTGTTTCAGAGTGTGGTTGTCGTGTCGTTGAAGTTGTTTTTAATTCTTCATAGGATAATTCAGTGATTTCAGTTGGCTCTTGAGTGGCTTGAGTAGTCGTTTTGGAATCATCATCGTCGTCGTCCGCATCTCCAGAGAACAAATCAATAACTTCAGTAGGCTGTTCTGTTTCATGGTCTGGAAGCTGAGTTGTTCTCAATTCTTCTTCAAGATACAAGTCTGTTTTAGTAGGTTGTTCTGTTTGAACCTGACTTGTTCCTTCTTCAAAATACGTTTCGGTATTTGGCGTTCGAGCGTTAACTGCAGATTCCTGATCATCATCCCCAGAGCCAGAGGAAAACTCAGTATTTTCAGCAGTTTTTATTAATGTTTTGTGCCATTTTCTTGTAAGCTATATTATGAACATATATAAAATGGTTCTTATAAAATGTATACAATGTATATCCTACAAGATATAAAAAATTGTTATTATCATACGATCTTCCATATTCCTGTTTATTTAATTGAGTAGGTACGGAAACTCAGTCGATTTAATACGTGCATGTGACAGCTGGTTTTTAACAAGGACACAGGATGCAATTAAACCATATTGCTCACCTTATTTTCTGCAGTTGTTGTTTCAGAGTGTGGTTGTCGTGTCGTGGAAGTTGTTTTTAATTCTTCATAGGATAATTCAGTGATTTCAGTTGGCTTTTGAGTGGCTTGAGTAGTTGTTTTGGAATCATCATCGTCGTCGTCCGTATCTCCAGAGAATAAATCAATAACTTCAGTAGGTTGTTCAGTTTCATGGTCTGGAAGTTGAGTAGTTGTTTTGGAATCATCATCGTCGTCGTCCGCATCTCCAGAGAATAAATCAATAACTTCAGTAGGTTGTTCAGTTTCATGGTCTGGAAGCTGAGTTGTTCTCAATTCTTCTTCAAGATACAAGTCTGTTTTACTAGGTTGTTCTGTTTGAACTGGACTTGTTCCCTCTTCAAAATATGTTTCGGTATTTGGCGTTCGAGCCTTAACTGCAGATTCCTGATCATCATCCCCAGAGCCAAAGGAAAGCTTAGTATTTTCAACAGTTTTTATTAATATCTTGTGCCATTTTCTTGGAAGCTATATTATGAACATATATAAAAGTGTTCTTATAAAAATCGACAACACGAAAGTTTGGAAAGAAAAGGATAATTTGATCAAATACAACAATACGATTCGATTGAAGTGGGAAAGAGAAGAAGGGACAGAAATATTTATAAAATATATAAAGTTTCTACATACCACAGTAGCTTTTGTTGGCGGTGTTTCGGTTCTTACGACTTGATTTCTCAATCTACAAAAACCATTTCTATGATAAAATATCCACGAAGAATATTGACAAATTAGACCTTGGTCGCATCTTCCATGAAGGTTGAACATTCCACCACATCTTTCACCTTCCAGTTTGGCACATGTTTTACAGCAGTGACAAGCATCAGACACTAAACCTCCCTTACATTTTTGTTTCAGTATATCTAGAGTGTCGCACATTTCTTCACGACATTGGCAACTGAGTCCTTCAGCCCCATAGACTGAGAGAAAAAACAACGTGATAACGCCTATAAGTGTGTTCATATTAACGCCCGAGTTTTTTAATTCCCTTGCGGACCAAAGTCTTCTAATGATGCGACAATAATTATATTGCGACCTTGACCAACGTTAACTTATATAAGGTACGGACAGGAAATCTGATACGTTTTCAGCAATGATTTCCTGATAACAAGTGTCAGCTAGCGTTCACCTTGATTGATTGAACGAGTCAATAGCGCGAACTAGAATTCGAGACTTCGTAAATGTTGAAACACACAAAGACAAAACTGTTTGGGGATTTTCATGATGTATACGCAAGTTTTATAGCCTGGGTTTTGCGTCAACGCTGCGTTATTTTGCGCCTTGTTTGCGTAGAAATGTTTGAAGTCGTTGACAGTATTCATCATCACCTTGCATCTCCCTCCTGGGATCCAGCAACGCAAACGTCATAACTTATCCGCATTGTTGTATTCAATTGCAAATACTTACACGTATTCAGACATCCTCTTCAGCCCAATTTTGATCTGAAAGAGCCGAAGAATACGTGCAGAAATACTTTAATGATATAAAGCAACAAAGGGTGAGGTTTCACATCTGGAAACGTGAAATATAGGCGGGAACACAGCAAACAAGACACCCAATGAGTTCGTGTATCATGATATTTCGATTTTATTTCTAAATCGTCATCAGCCAGACTGATATCTAAAAATATAATCGGTGAAAATCTTCACCTAATTTTAGGTTCAAGATACTAATCTTTGGATTATTCTTTGTTTTTTAATAACGCCTTCATCAGTCGCACTTTATAATAATAGAATGATGTTTAACGGGTTAAGAGGGGATCCAACCATAAATTCATATTGGTAATTAAAATGTCTTTCATTCAACAACATGACCAGTAAGCGCCACCAGATATGCTCATAAGCAGCCGGGCTCATAAGCAACTTAAAGAAATGATCGCTTTAATATAAAATCGATTTACGAAATACTAAATATATATATAGACTTCTGAAGTGCCCTGAATGTGAATGAAGGCTACAGACTTGATAAGTTGATAACAGAAAAGGGTTAAATCGGTTAAGAGGCTATTTTTGCGCATATAATTTACCAATATGTTGAAACATACGATGTTGACTCATCCGATTGTGTCAGGATTATGTATTGTTTCCCCATACGTCAAACAGAACCTGGAATTGATCAAATATATTTGCGTGCATGTTTGTATCTCGCCGGTGCATTTTTGCCTTGCCTGGGATGAAATAGCTTAGGAAGCAATATTCAAGCGGGAAGTCGCTTAGGAACACAATGTATCACATCCTGCCTCAGCTTCTGTCTTCATTTATCATTATATACGCGTGTACGAGATTCTTTCTCACGTTCGCGCAGTGCAGTGTGATGTAGTTTGTCTTATACCGCCACAAGCTGCAATATGGTCATTTTGGAAATTTGCGGACTTCAATTCGAAAAGTTTTGGCATGCTTTTAGTTTTCCATTTCACACTATGGAACTGCTCATTGCAATCCATGTTTATATTAATATTTTGTATTGATATATTGCTTTCAACGTGCTTTTATCTCAAAAACAACTTTGCATTATTGTATATATTGCGTCATGGGAATGCAATTTTCAACAAGATTCAGCCCAGTCTCCCACATGTTCAATTCTTTTACGTCAGTGCTCTGGGAATTCAACCCAGAAGCCAAACACATGCCTTTTTAACTTGCAGTTCATGCATGTTATTTTTTTTTAAAAAATGCTAGAAATCTTTTCACTATCAACGAACACGTTTTGGTTTGGCCCCAGACATGGACACTGTTTTTTAAAGCCAAAAGAAAAGGAGGGAAACCGGAGTGCCCGGTGAAAAACCCTCCAAAGGTAACCTGAATTTCAGGTTACCTGACCGGCGGTCCGAATTTGGTATTTTTATTTAGAAACCGTCCGCAATAGAAACAAGTACACGACACCTCAGTTTTTATCTTAGTTGACTGTTTGAGATCCGCTATTTTTCAGAAATCGTCATGCAATTTTTCGGCTTCGTCAATTATTTCTGGTGGTGGTCTAACAAACGAAGCGCGCATATGGTGTATGTTGCAAAACAGCAGCGGCTAGGATTAATTTAACTGCGCTTGCGCTTTGTCCGACAATGGCAACAAAAATTATTTCAATTATTCAAATGTTCATGCTTTTTTGGAAATCCGGCATTTTGGAAGAAATGATTCGTATTCATGCACGGTCGGTAGAGACAACAACACTCTTCTGTTAGGTCATGCATGCACCTCATGTAGTACGACTTGCAACCTAATGTATTAATACTCATGCATAATTTTATCTTTTTTTATGCTCTCGTTTAAGGGAGTCGAAAATTGGGCATGCAACTTACTCAATATGGGTAATCAACATGCAGCTTACTCAAAGTATGGGTAATCAATATAACGTTCTTTACCTTGATTCGCGCCGTACAAATACAGCATTTCACTCAGCGCTTCTTTGCTTCATCCCAAACAGTTGAGTTCTTCAACCACATCTCGACGGTGGAGCGTGTAAAAAATTAAACAACATAGTAAGTGTGTCAAAATGCAAAGGCTATTAAGAGGGCTAATCAGTCTTTTTAGGCAAGTCAGTGCAATGAAATATATCATGTAATGTAATGTAGGAGGTATATTTTCTTTTTCATACAAGTCAAAGCAAAGATTATATTTTGGACGTTTACTTTCTCGAGAGCTGAACTGCAATCCGAAAAATTAATAATAAACAAGAGAGACAGAAGAGTGTAGTGTCTAAACATCAAATGGTCATTTTTTCTTCTTCATTTCAAACTTCGAAATTCGGTTAAATTCCATGCCGCAAAAGTATAATTTTTGTTGCCATAGACGGACGGTCCTTCGAAATGCTCGCATTATAATAAGCTGAACAGAGAACTTATGTAATCATATAAGTACTCGCGATTACATTCGTATTAATCTAAAATTAGGCTAATACGAATTCGATAATATCATAAATGCTAATTGCATTTTCTTATTTTTATTTCAACGCTTTAAAGCCCCTCATGCATTATGCTCCCGCAGTAGCATTAAGGTGGTCTTATAAGGCAAGAATATAAACTTAAGTCGTTCACACCAAGTGACAAAACTTTTCCTCGAGAAACCTCAAAAACGCTCTCATAAGAGCTGTGAGAAATTTCCTGTTATCATGCATTGTCGAAAGAGTGAAAATGTCACTTGGTGTGTGAATATACTAGGTTAGACCACCAGCAGGAATAAACCATGCACTACATTAATCATGCATTACATTAATCATGCACTACATTAATCAATAATCATGCACTACATTAATCATGCATTACTCTGCCTATGGTATGTAATAATACCTCAACCAGCTTCTACTTGTAAATCTGTTTCATCGACCAACATCTGATCCTGCGACGATCCTTCTGATCCTGCGACCATCTTTCAACATACATCTGATCCTGCGACGATCTTTCAACATCTGATCCTGCGACGATCCTTCATCACAAAGATATGATATTAATTTCCAAGTCACAAATACCACTTGGGTGCTAATACCATACCATTTGATCCTGCGACGATCCTTCAACATCTGATCCTGCGACGATCCTTCATCATCTGACAACAAAAGTGTGATATGAATAATTTCCAAGAGAGAAATGTCACTTATGTATAAAGCACTCAAGGATAAATTATACCGAACCTCCAACACTCCAACGTAAGTCACTCGTAAGGCCTTCGCATTGCGCACGCGAATACAAAATGTCATGCACGTTTTAATACAAAATGTCATGCACGTTTTAATACAAAATGTCATGCACGTTTTAATACAAAATGTCATGCACGTTTTAATACAAAATGTCATGCACGTTTTGGTATAAAATGTCATGCACGTTTTGGTATAAAATGTCATGCACGTTTTGGTACAAAATGTCATGCACGTTTTAAATACAAAATGTCATGCACGTTTTAAATACAAAATGTCATGAACGTTTTAAAACAAAATGTCACGCACGTTTTAATACAAAATGCCATGCACGTTTTAATACAAAATTTCATGCACGTTTTGGTACAAAATGTCATGCACGTTTTAATACAAAATGTCATGCACGTTTTAATACAAAATGTCATGCACGTTTTTGTACAAGAAAGCAAGAACACTGGACTATCATCTCCTTCTAGAAATACATATTTCATGTTTTTATGTTTTAGGCGCTCTCTGAGCGATATTTTTGTCCGGACTATATAGTCGTCAAGATGGAGAAAACACAAGTGATTGGGGCCCCAGAATCACTTGTATTCACTCCGCATGCGCTTGATACGACCAGACTTCATGCAAAAATCATGCACAGGCGGAAAACTTGAAAATGAAGGAGGTAAACAGAAGAGTGTTCAGTTTATATCTCAGTCAAAAGCCAAATTCCATGCAATTTTAACTCATGCATATTGTCGAAATCGAGTTTTGTATTTGCGTGCATAAATGTCCCAAGGCAGGTCCGACATCTCTTTACGATTCTTTCGTTCTACAAAAACAGAACTTCGGTAAAACAAAAGGACAGGGAAGTCTAGCATAGTACATTCATATAACAATACAAATAATTATATAGGCATTGAGTTTCAATCCGTCTTTCTTCTTCAAAACGAGTATTCCCGATATGACAACCCTGTCCGAAAAACGAATAGGGCCAGCCGGGAAAGTTAGTTACGGTCATAAACTTCGAATTCCTTTCTATATATCAAAACTATTCTAAGTTTCGTCCACCGTGACTGTCCGTGTACAAAGTACAAACGTGTTTTTTCAAGTCACAAATGCAAAATACACATATATTAACAGAACAATACCTATTATTCGCTGCGAGCAAGCGTTTGTGTTTCTCCTTCCCCATCTTTCGGCGCCGTAGTTCGTTCTGAAATCAAGTAAGAAAGAAAAAACATAATCAAGTTAACAGCTCACTTGCATTTGGCATTTTTCAATCGAAATATAGAAGATATAGCAGTGAAAATCAGCAAGAATATGCCTCCATGCACTAATGTCTTCTGTCTATTCAAATCAACACGGCAAGGAATTAATTTGCAAAGCCAAAGATCAAGCCAACAGATTCTTTAAAACAACCAGAAGCATGTACCTGAGCAGGATTCTTCCAACTTTTCCCGAAGCTTCTTTTCAAGATCCTTCTTCTTCGAGACTATCACCACATTATGAATTCTTTCCCGAATTCAACCACGTTTTATTGCCTCAACTCATCTGCCACACGACTCTTCGATTGGGTGAGATCATCGACATTCCAAAGAACAATGCAACTTATGCATCGATAACACTTTACAGTAAAAGCCTCATGCAAATAATGTAATTTCCCCGACCCAGTTTGGAAGAATAGCCCGGAATAAATGAGGCAAAGTTTTACACTCTCAGGGCAATATGTTTTGCATATTTCTATTGTCCATTGCAGTGGTCAATAAAATGCCGGTGTTTTGAACAGGGTTTTTCACACTCGAGAGGAGGAATGTTGGCTTATTCGGGACAATTGTACTGTACGATCATTATTCTGAGCATTGCTCTCAACTCGTACAGCTTTACAAGGTCACTAACTATATCTACCCGGTTTGCAAGACTTACCCTAACTATGTGGATCAACACTTCAAACACTTTAAGCCGGTTTTCCACTAGCGATATTCTTCGCGCGAAGCGACTTTATTCCTTTGTATTTGAGCAATTCGTTCCAGATGGTTGCAGTTGAGAGCTCTGAAACAAAAGTAAAATGTCGCTTCGCGCGAAAAATATCGCTAGTGGAAAACCGGCTTAACGTCTGAATAACTGACAACGACTACGAAAGCCTAAATGCCTCTAAACAACAGTTTATTAATTCATTATTATCGCGAAATATGGAAAGCATAAAGATTAGGGTGCGGCAAGAAATCCGGAAATCGGAGCAAATGCAAGTATCTCGCTGCGTCTCAAACGACGTAACATCCAGCCGTGGTCCGTGAGGTCACGATTAGGAAGTGTTTTCCTTCGTTGAACGCAATAAGTACTGTTGAAACTTGTATTGTGAAGAAAATCCTCCTGCTCTGTCATAAAAATCATTGCTGAACTGGGATGAAAGGTATTTTATTAAAATATCCAGCTTTGAAAGGAAGTGTGTGTGTGTGACTTTGGAAAGATTTAGCCTAGAATCTCGTGAAGTGTCCTGTATTAAAAAAATAAACAAACCGGTTCTATCATTTAATTTAGATTAAAAGATGAACAAAAAGCTTGCCTACGTCTTGTTGTTCCTTATTGCCTTTTCTGCGTCGTGTCAAGCGTATGAATGTTTTTGTGAGTATATGTACTGGCCATGCAAGAGCGTCCAGAGTTTGAAATGCAAAGGTGGTCTGGCCTGGGATGAATGTGGTTGCTCTCAAATTTGTGCCAAGATCCTGGGTGAAACTTGCAATGGTTTTTGGGGAACAGATGGCACTTGTGATAAGGGTTTGGTGTGCGACACAAATAACAAACCTCAATGGCAAATGCCGCAAGGAAGATGTGTAAAACAAAATACTACCAACAACGTCTGGGCAAATCGCTAAGTAGCCTGCGAAAGTTGAAGGAGAAACCACTCAGTTTTTATGGGAACAAATTTAATACAATAACTCTGTGATTACATAAATAACAAAATCGACAGAAAAAACTGCACGTCACATCATCACATCTTTATTCAATTTTGTCTCAGTACACTTTTGGATGGATAATAACGATGTATATAGGTATTGATCAATTAAATAATAAAATATGACATCTAAAATCGTCTGAATTCATTACTTGGTTTAAAAGTAATTTGCGTCGATTTGCGTCGATTCCTAAGATAGTAAATGAGGGAATTCACTCGGTGAGGGTTGATCAAGGTCTGCAGTTGTTGGTGCCAACACGGTCGTTCGTATCTCCACGCTTGGCTGAGTGCTGGTCGACATTTCAACGCTGCGTGTTTCAGGGTCCTGTCTGGGATTGAAGAGCTAGAAAATATAGAGTACGTTATAACATCGCATAAAAGAAGAACTCTTGATCATGCTGTGAAATATGAAGTATTTACCTCTTTTGCAGCATCATAACCTTGTCTTGTTTTCTCGTAAAGCATTCTCTCTAATTCCAGAAATGTTTCTTTCAAATCTGGGAAAAAAGGTGGGCAAATTGCTCTAGGAAAAGACCAATAACTTGTTGTCGTTGGTGTAATTTGCGTTGGTGCATTCGTCCTAATTTCTTTCAGTTCATCGCATCCGTCCTGCCCAAGGCATTTCGTTATAGGAAGACATTCCAGTGAAGGCAACGATTGAGTTAGGATAACAATGTAAACACAAATATATACCAAAATCCTCATTTCTGTATTCGTATTTGTTTTAAATTCCTAGTACAACTGCTTCAACTTTACCTATAAGCAAAACAGAGTCTGTTAAGCTGCTGGCGTATATACCACAATTGTAACACTGATTTGATAATTCCACTTACCGTCCTAGAACTCTTGCTTGTACCAAATGCTTGGTGTGATAGCAAGATCGAGTCGCTTTTATAGAGATCTAATGATACGTGATCTCTCTCAAAACACTCCCATGCTTCAAATTACGTTCAACGCACTGCAATTACCTCAAGTAGGATTAATGCTTCAATCGCATACAAATGATCATCCATCTCACCAAACTGGCAAACCATAAGCTATTCTCTCGTTTACTGAACAGGTTAAGAATATCTAGAGTGCAAAAAAATTTTTTCTACGACGCATTATGGAGTGGAGAACCATCTTGTGTTGAAGATCACCAAGCGACCATGACGCAAAAGGCAAAACATGGGCGCTACCTTGCGTCATTTTTAATTAAACGTCCCGATGCCGATGAATTAAAACTTCATTCACAATATTCCTGCTGTTATAATCAGCTGTATTACCACACCTCTTAGACGCTCGTCCGAAGAGTTTTAATAGACTTGCTATAAGTGTACACGCGATCACAAAGATCAAAGTCTAATTAAATCGCAAACAGATAAATCTACAATTTATTTCAGCCGCGATAGTCGAATAAACATAGACATGTTATGTTATCTCACGCGCATTATTATCTACACTCGAAATTTCTGCTAATTCAAGAGTGGTTTCTCACTCCAGTTTAGTACACAGTTGTTCTTTTTGTTGCGCTCATTTTCTTGGGTGGCGCGGGGGGCAGGGGACTGGTATTGTTCAGCTTCTTCTCGTGGACCGAGAGGTTTGAGACGGGCATGGGCTCAAGTCTTGATGACGTCAGCATCATGGTGCTTCCTTGGCCTGAATATTGTTCTTTGCCTTGTTTTTTCTGAGAATATAAAGGAAGATGTATGAACGTCAGGTCTGATGATGGCACAACACAAAATGGTTATGGTCTTACCTTGTGTTGTAATGGGTTGATCACGCCAATATTAGGTGCAGATTTGAACACTTTATTGAAATTTGTCTCTCGGTTTAATAGTTCCAACTGATAATACCTCTTTTCATCCTGAAGAATAAAATCCAAAAAATCAACACTGAATTATTCCACATTATCCTATATTATCATATATTAGTTATTATCCTATATGATCCTACATTATCCCAAATTATCCTATATTAGCCATTATCCCAGCACGAACCAGAAGCAACGTTGTAGTGTACGTACCAGCATCTTCTTGAGTTCGAGGTCTCTCTCAGTTAAAGCTGTTTTCAAACTTTGCAGAACCTCGACGTCCTCATCTCTTGATGGTCGATTTCTGAAGCGAGCTTCTGCTTCTTCGAGCCTAAAAATGAAATATATTTACGTCACGTAAATCGCTGTTGTTGCAATCTGAACAAGCCCAAGAATATCAATAATGAACAACACGTTCTAATTTAGACCTTACATGAGTTGCAAAGCAGAGACTTTGTCTTTTAACAGTTCTTGAGCTCGGTTAAATTCATTCACCATATTTTGTGTTTCTCTCAGATGTTCAGCAACTTGGGAATCCATTTCTTTTTGGTGCGCTTTTGCTAATTTTTCCTCACTTTTCCTAAAGCACAGGAGCCGTACACATTACTAAAAAATATCGTCCTTTTTCAAGTCATCCAGACTATAAAAACTCTTACCTTATGTGACTATTCGCTTCTCGTCTGACATTCAAAATTTCTTGACCTTTCAATTCAATTTCTCGATGAAGTTGTTTCGTTTGGTTTTTACTTTCAGAAAGTTCTCGGTCAAGTTCACTAATTTGAAGTTGATTCTGACGAATGGTACTGCTCAATTCTTCGATTTGAGCTGCATGTCTGTCCGTCTGAATAAAGAGGAAGGTATACATTATATATCATTATCAGTTGGTAAAGGCCTGGAAAGCACAAATCCTTTCTCTGAGAAATCAGGTAGGTGTAGTTTGACGTCCATGCAAAGGAATGAGACAGGAAAGCAGCCGAAAGCTTACTGTACCTCTTTCGTACGTAACTCATCACTTTTCTCAACTTGCAACTTCAAAACACTCAACTGTGTCTCGAAATCATTCTTCACCTTTCCAATTTCTTCTCTCCGTCGTCGTAAAAGTTCACCCTCAAGAACGTCCTTTTCTTTTTCAAACTTCACTCGTTCTTCAGCCATTTTCTTATTGCTTTCAATCTCAGCTTGTGATCTAACAACTTCTAAACTCAGTTGAGACGCTTTGAGTTGTGACAAAGTCTCCTCATCGTGCGTGTTCTTTAATTTAGTTTCCAATTCCTGCGTGTTGAAAACATAATTAATTTACAAAACCAGAATAAAGGTTTGGACAGAATGGTATTAAAAGATCTCTACCTTTAATTCTTGTTCTTTGATTTCTTTTAAAAGAGCAATTTCGTCTCGATATTTCTCTTCAATATTCTTTAGTTTTTCGTTGTATTCCAAGGTTTCTCTGGACCGTTGTTCTTCAATTGTCCTTCGCTGTTGACTCGCGCTTTCCCTGAACGTTCTCTCAGATGAAACAAGTCTTGATGAAGTTTCCTTTAGTTCTTGTTCAAGTTGACAGATCTAGAAGTTGGGATCTCAGTTAAAGACGCCACTTCAAGAAAACATAGCTACTGATATGAAACACGAAAGGAATGGCGTATGTACCTTTGACTGAAGAATGGCCATATTTTTCTCTGAGTTCACTCGAATCTCTTCCTTTTCCTCTTCCTTTAACTCTGAGAGTTGTCTCAATGCCGCATGTTGACCATCTTCGTGTTGTTGATTAAGCAAAGCTCGCAGCGACGAGTTCTCTGATCTACGATAAAAAAATATTTCCAGATTTCCACAAAAAGTAAAACATTCTGTGAAATATTAAAAATCTTACTTCAATCTTTCGCTCCATTCTTGAGTTAATTCCTTCCTCAGTTCTTCCAAATTCCTTTGATGCGAAAGTTTCGCGTTTTTTCTTTCTTTTTCTAAAGAGTTATTGGTCGCCTCAATTTCGTTCTAAGATAAAAAGAAATTGTAATGTAGCACCAGTATTATATCAAAAACAAATTCAAGAAGTACCATAAAATTTAGCTCTTACCTTCAAACTGTCCACTGAAGTCTTCGATGATGCCAGTTCCGCCTCCAAAGAACTGATTTCTGTTTGTTTTTGTTTCACAATTTCATTCAAACGTGATATTCTTGACGATGCTGAGCCAAGGCCAATTTCACTTTCATGTATTTGACCAGAAAGTGCCTCTACCTTAATATATGTTTCCTCACACAATTTCTGAACTTTTTGAAGTTCGCTGTTCTTTGCCTCAATTACAGCGTCTTTTTCTAACATAAGTTTTTCTTGTTCTTGTTGGGACTGCATATCCAGCTGTGCTTTTTGCTGACTTAACAATGTCTCTGAACTCATCTTAAATTCTTCAAGTGCTTGTTCATATTTGTTTTTTAAGTTTACCAGTTCTTGTTCATGCTGGGATTTCAAGTTGTTTTCCTTCTTGGCAGATTCATCTTTAGTAAGAACTACTTCTTGGATATATTTAAATTTAATATCTTGTTTCTCTTTCTCAAGGGCTTCAACATTCTACATAGAATATAATATTTAATTAGAACACAAATGATCAAAAACAGAAGCTTAAGATTGGAAATAGAGACATATGATTGCAACATCGTTTGAATATTATACAGTAGTGTACAAGTGTGATTACCTTCTCCAGTTTGCGCAATTGTTGTTGAGAATCTGTAGCTAAACTTTCCTTATTATTCTCAAGCAATTTCAAATCAGACTCAAGCTTGGAAGACTTGTCTTTGGATAAGTCTAGCTGTTTCTTCAATTCATTTATTGATTGTTCTTGATTCAAACATGTTGCTTCTAGTTTGTGATGAGAACCTAAACACATATTTCATTATAAATTAGAAATAAAATAATTTAAAAAATTGATCCATAATAAGTGCTGAGAATACACTACAGTCACATAATTGTAACCTGGATTAATATTTAATTACATGTTACATTTAATATTTAATTAGTATGTTACAACTAGAAAATTTTGTGCATAAATTAACTCTAATTAGATTAACAACCATACAGAGGCAAGTGTAATTTGATTAAACAAATTACGGCAATAGTTTTTTTAATAAAAAACAGAATAATTATCGTGACAGTTTATTTGACATGACACTTTGTTTTACTCACGTGTTTTATTTGATAGTTCATCAGTTAAACCTTCTGAACGTTTCATCAACACTTGCAATTCATTTTTTGACTGTCTCAATTCGTTCGTCAGTGAATTAACACTTTTTACAGCTTCATCCAATTTTCCTTTCATCTCCATACTACCCTCCCCTTTCAGTGCTGCCTCTTTTGAAACATCAGATAATTGTCCTTCCAGCTCTAAAATTTGATCTTTTGTAGAATCAAGATCTTTACGCAAAGATAAAATTCTATCTTTATATTGTTTCTCTTGATTCTTCCATGAGTTTCTCAAATCAATCTCCTTTTGTTGAAAAGTTTTAACAGATGCTTCAGCTTTTATTGTCGCTTCTTTAGCATGGCCTAATTCCCTCTCGTAGAGTGTTTTAAGTTTGTCCAACTTTGCGATGTATTCTCGTTCAATCTTCTCGCGTTCAGCACGAAAAACTTCCGGAGAATTACTAAGATCTTTGATTTTTGCTTCAAGATCTTGTTTTAGTTTTTCTTTGTCCTTAACAACCTCATCATACCTCACTCTATGTGCTTTCATGAGTTCTTCCAGCTCTTCGTGATGTTTACCAACCAGTTCTTCCATTGCTTTATCTTTATCCTTCTCTAAAAGCTCTCGGGTTTTTCTAAAATCCTCTAGCTGCTTCTCAAAACTATTCTTTGTTTCTAAAAGTTGTTTCACGTTCTCGTTAGCCTTCATTTCTCTCTCTGTTCGTAGAGTCTCCTCTTTTTCTTTGACAGAAATCTTGTACTGTTCAAATTCCCTTACAACAAGCGACCTTTTTTCGCTTTCTTCGCGAAATCGCTGCTCTAAATTGCGCACATCTGCCTTCTGCTGTTCATATATTTCAATTCTCTGCTGAAGTTCGTTCACTCTCCCTTTTGTTTCCCTAAGTAATTCCTGCATTTCATTTTCATGACGTTCCTTTAGGTACCCTACGATACTGTCTTGCTCGTCGTTTTTCGTGTTTAAAGCATAAACAACCTTAGTAAGCTGTGCGATCTTTTTGGACATTTTAAGATGAAGATCTGGTGAGACATCTGTAGTGTTTCCTGCCTTGAAATTCCCGATGAAAGTACCATTTTTATGCGGCATTTTACCAAACGTTGTCGACTTCGTCGCCGCCATCTTTCTTGTGTAAATAAATCGTCGTATTGTTGCCATGGCAATGGCGACGATCTGTCAACACAGGCAATATGGCCGCTTCATCACAGTACGTTCCTAGTGATTGTACTGTTTTAAACGTTATTGAATGGCTACCAAAAGACGATACCTTGCCAGGATTTGTAGTTTTAACGTTCCTAGGCTTCTTTGTAATCGGAGCTATTCTCGCACTTCTTGTCGTGCGCTGTGTGGCCCGTGAAGTCGAGGCGAAGCGTAGAAAGGAAACTACGACTTCAGCCGTTCGCGATCCTTCGAAACATGTTTGGATTTTTGGATATAAAGTTTATATCGTAATCGTGTTTGCATTGCTATGCGTCTTTCTTCTCAATCTTCTTGTGGTATTAGTCGTGTTTGCCGGGCGGGAAGAAGGAGAAAAAAGACGCAGCGAGAAGCATATGTCAAACAAATTTTCAGCGTCAGATTGGCTCTGGGCAATCTTGGTAGCTCTTCTTTTGTTGCCAATTGTTGGATATTTGGCGCTTAGATGTATTATGTTTCCTGGGATGTTCCAGGCATTAAACCGTAGATATGAGGTAAATAAAATTTAACTTATTATCCTACTAAACTCAACTTAAATAATATACGAACTATCATGCAATCAGAATAATACATAATTTAAAATTAAAAAATTAAAAAAAAATTAAAAGACAATTCAAATCAACGAAAAATCAGTATAGTGAGATAAAGTTTGTATCGCGCAACAGAGATATCAAACGCAGTTTGCATACTTTCCATTGAGGAGTAACACACATGACACATAACACTTTTTATCGATAGATAAAAGTGACATATAATTGTAAAATTAGAACTGAAATATTGAATTAGAATTCAATTAGAATTGAAGTATGAATTAGAATTGTAGCACATGTTGCTGAACGAGTTGGTGACAAAGAAATATTATAAACTCCGTTATCTAGGAAAACAAAGAACGAAAACGACAAAACCAGAAGAAAAAGAGAAAAGAAAATATAGTGATGGTAAACATTGACAAATCTTCACCAACTATGCAAGATGGTCAACTACGGTCTAAAACGGTCAGTGTGATATGTCGCTTTAAGTGTCGCTTGTATGTTAAGGAAGATGGCGTTTGTTTGGCATCAAGCAAAAAACAAGATTGAAATACGATACTGATTGTGTGTACGAAACTTTGTGTGTACGAAATTCTTTTAGGGTTTCACTCGAAATAAAATTTCGCCTCTTCCTCCTGTTGACGAAAATGGATCAGGTTTTATCCAGGACGACGCTGGATCTAAAACCACAGGAACAAGCCTGCCAAGTTTACGAAGTTCTGTGGATATTCCTGAGAACGAAAACCCGACAATTGACACACAGGAATATGGCTTCTCAATCATTGAAATCTTGACGAAAATGTCAAGGTTGGTAGCGTGTTCAAAGGCTCTTTCAACTCTCTGCTTTCATCTGTCTTTTCTTAAGCAAGTTTGATCAGAAGAAACGTGATGGCATTTGTTTCGTAGACGGCGTAGTCGAATTTAATTTTTTTTGGCCAGTTCTCAATTCATTTATTTTATTTCATTTACTTTCATCGTTTAGTGAACAGATGGAGGTGGAACTTCAAGGTCAGGATCTCAAATCTGTTCTCGAAATGGAGGACAAACTTCTGAAGCAAAAGGGGGAGGTTGGTTTGCAAATTATATCATTTATATGTACGATTGATAGCTTAAAACGATGCTTAAAAATGTACATGCATATCAAATATCTTTTTTTTCTTTTCTTGCAGACATTTTTGCATATATGGAGGATGATTTTGGACGTTCTTTTCAACAAAGGTCGAATTTCAGAGATATATCGGCGAGAATCAATTGCAAGATTAGAGCAGGTTCGCCTCTTTGTTATACAAACCTCTCAATAACCCAGAAATCTTGTGGAAAATAGTTCAAATTTATTCCTAGGCGGTCGAAGATATTCACAGAAATAATAAGTTGGAACACGAGAAGGAAATCAAGGTTTGTCATGGGATATCCTGCATGCTCAGAGAATTTATTTGTGATGAAGTTACGTCTTCTCTCAACACGATACTTCATAAAATGAAGACGATTTTGTGATGTTTTCAGAGATTAAAGTCAGAGATTAAAGACCCGAATGAACTTGAGGAAGCTCTAGAGAGCTTACACAGCAAGTACAGCAAGAAAACTGTGGCTGAATTAACAGAGCTACAAAATTCGGCCGCGAATGATTTTAAAGAAAAGTCACAATTGTCAGAGGAAGAGGTGAACTATTGGGATATTCACCTGATATTTATCATAAATTAGAATAAAGTGATTTTATATGGAAAGCTTTTGTTTTTGTTAGGCAAATGGAATAATAATGAAGATACAAAGTAATTTGGCAGCGAGTGAGAAATTCTTTGTTGAAGAACAGACAAGACAAAGCATGGTCAGTATCGTTCGTCTGCTAAAAATTTTAAGTAGATTCCTTAACAAAATAGAGGTAAACAACATCCTTTTACTCTCACAAGTACATCCTATATAAGGCTTTTGCTTTTTAGGTTTTACAAGAAAAGTTGCTACGTCGACAGGCACTGGTTCAATTGCGCGATCAAATGAATGACCAGGTATTGCATGACTAAGAACTTTAAGTGTTTTTGTGTGTTCTTGAAGATTTTAATGTGTGCTTTTCTAGGAAAAAGATGTGATAGAAGATCTACCAAAGAAACACAAGGAAGCCTTTGACAAACTTTGTCAGGACGATAACAACCTCGAATCGCAACGAGACGAGTAATAATTTGATTGTTCAAGACTACGTTTGAAATCGTTTCTGAAACTTATTTTCTTTTGCTCTATTTTAAAGGATTTTATCAGAATACGAACAAAGTTTAGCTCGACTCCAGGAGAATCACGAATACAGTAAGTTTCTTCCCTCAGTGAGGATTCCACAGAAATCAGGCTGTCATATGGAGCTAGTGGTTGACCTGGGACAGGTCAATCGTAGACAAACAGCCTCCATCAACAAACCTTTGACGAGACCATGATTTACTCTCGTTTTTAGATGTTCTTGCTCAGCAAAACAAGCTGTCACTTAGATTGAAAGAGAAACGAGAGCAAAGGATGCGAATGCTAGCTTTGAAACAGCAAGAAGAGAGTGAAGAACACTACAAACAGGTTACTTAGGAAATTACTCTGCGTGAAAATTACAGACAAAATTTTAGATCAAAGGAAGAAGTATTGAGAAGTATTCTTGTGTTTCATTTAGACATGCCAACAAGTGTCTGAAGGTGAAATGAATTTGGAAGCTTTCGTAGAGGAACAAACTAAACTGAAGAAGAAACACACAATGGAACGAGAGGAAGAAGAGCAACAGGCTGATAAGACCGAGGCAGAGGAGTTGGAGAGGTTGAGACAGGTGTGTGCGGTTTGGATTGCACAAGAGATGATGATGAATACCAGTAGTTTTCCTTCTGCTAAACCTTGCAATTACCTTTCAGCATCTTGTTGAAGAGAGAGAGGAAAAGATCCAATCATATGAAGAGGCCATTGTGAAGAAGATGGAAACCATGGCGCAGTCGTCAGACCAAGACGTTGAACAGTTTATGGAAGATCACAGAAGAGACATGGCTTCATATAACGGTGAGTTTAAATACCAAATAGATTTGCACTTTTACGTTTACATTTTCTGCACTCTGAGCTTTGCCTCTCTAACGCTGGATTGAATTTGTCTGCAGAGAAACAAGAGGAAACGAGGAATAAGCAACGGTTACAGTTGAAAGAACGAATTGAAGCTCGTAAAGTAAAACTGGAGCGTGAACGAGCTCAGCACAAGAATGAACAAACACAATTGATAACTCAACAAGAGGAGGTCATTGATCAAGTCTTGAAGATGCAAGTTGGTCTTACAGAAGAGTATGTACGAGACGTGGCTCTTTTGATTGGCTAGTTTGACCGTTACCGTGCTTGTGATTGGTCAATCTGATACACTTATTGTATTTGATTAGTTCCTATCTATTTCGTTTATTTAAGGGCGAGAAAACAAGTTATGGCTGAGCATGAACAAAATTTAATGAACTTGAATAATCATTTACAAATCACGCGATTACGACAACAAAAACGGTAAGAAACATTTGTGTGGTTTAAACCACATGTTTAGCATTTTATGCTGCTTGTTCTGGTAAATAAACTGATATTAATCGCGACAGACTGGAGGAAAGATTGGCTCAACGCAAAGCAAAACTGGCGGAGATGAAGAAAGCCCAAGAACAGGAATTATCCAAGAATGATCCGGAAAAACAGGAAAATCTTGCGAGAGAACAGGTTGGTGGATGTATGTACTTCATTAGTTACCACAAGGAAGATTCAAAGTACTGTACCTTTTCAAATCATCACTGCTGGGAGACATCATGCGCTTTGAAGCGCGACAATCCAACATCACGGTCCAACATCACCTTATTTATGTCAGTTTCTTTCCGTGAAATACTATTTCTAACGCTTATGTTTTGCCTGTATTTTAGAATAAAGCTTATGAGGAAGAAATAAAGAAGTTAGAAAACGACCACGACAAAGCTTTGGAGGATCTAAGAAGGTACACAACAGCGCGAGTGTGAACAAAATATTATAGAAAGAAAAACTTTTTTAAATTGCAAGTAAGACAGGATATTTAAAAGCTACTCAAGTGGTTATGTTTTTCTGGTACAATATTAGGTTTTATATAGTAATATTCTTATGGCTTGTGTTCAGGCGGTTGGCATTGGAAACCGAGGAAGCTTTGAAGGAGCAGGATAAAAGACTAGGAGAGATCTTAGGCAAACATCAAGTAAGCGAGAGTAATCTTGTAATATAACTAACGTTCCCACGGCATTTGAAGTACCCCTTCAAGTAAATATTGCTGCGCTTTCAAATTCATGCAAGTCGTTTCTGTTTTTACAAATGTCTTTTGAAATAAATCTTACTTTTTACCGAAAAATATTTCTTAATATAGTCTCAAAATAGGCTTTAAAATTACATTTCTTATAAGCTGTGAATCCTTTTTGATAAAATCTGTGATATTTAGGTTGGCGTTGCAAGGCGAGATGAAATCATCCGAAGACAGAATGAAACTATTAAAGCCATCGAGGTTCATAACTCGTTTAATTTGACTTTGTTCAAGTTAAAATTAAGATTTTTAAGATCAAAATCTTTGCAAGATTTGTGACGATACGATTGAAACAGCAAATTTCACATCTTCTTCCTCTGCACAGGAGAAAATGGTGGATAAATTAACAAAAGAGGAACGTTTGCTGAAATGCCACGGATAAAATCTTAAAGCAACATCAGCGTCAAATTAAAACATTGGAAATAAAAATTAACGAGTAATACACGCTCTCATATCATTTGCATTTATTTCTTCTGTCCTTTTCTACTAGATTTTCTTTCTTTTCTTATTCCAAAATAATTTTATTTGATTCCAGAGCAAAGGAAATTCAAGAGCGTAATATGTACCAGAAACTTGAGGCAAAAAGATTGAAGAAAGAAAGGTAAAAACCTTCGTCAATATCCGTGGATGATCACGAACGAAATTCCGTATTTCTCAATCACAGCATTTGCTGATGTATAGTTTTATCAATCTGTGAAAATGGAAGGTAACCAGTTTTCTGTTTTGAATATCTTACAGAGCTTTATCTGCCGAGGTCCAAGAGAAGGCTGAACAACAAAAGAAGCAGGGCGTGAGGTTGTGTATTATAAGTTATTATTCAATAAACAACTCGTATCTAATATGTTGTTGAGATGAGGCGTGATCTTTAGCACGCGAGGATATTTGATACTGTATCTGCGTGCGTGCGTACATAAAACAGTTACTAAATGTCAAACTAAAGCCGTTTATTTAAATCTGCATGATAATATGAACATTGCATTAACCTATTTTTGTTTCCAACAAAATCCACAGATCAGCAACTAGAGTGATGATAAATGCTCTCGCTCAAACACAACTGAAGCATAAACTTGAGGTAATATTCTTACCTTTTACCGTAGTCGCATAAAAAAAGACCTAACATCCTTCGTGTATCCAAAACACTACCTAATTCCCGGAACTAAAATAACCGTTTTCAGGAATTACGACGGGAAATGGACTTAGAGCTTTCAAAACAAAAGGAGGAATTAAACCGCATAATGGAAGAGAAACTCTTGGAAGAATTACAGGTTTGTAGTCCCGGTATTGGATTGCCTTTGACAAAAAACTTGAAGACTACGGTCCTTATTTTAATAGATCCACGAAAAGAACTTCATCACCCAATTGGCATCAATTAGTCATATGAACGAAAATGAGATAGCGAAAATTTGCAAAGAAGCAGTCACAGGTATATATTTGAATATTGCGTTACTAGTTTATGCTGTGATATTCATTATTGACAATCATTTCTTTCTTTGTCATTTAAGAATCAGGAGGTGATCCACAAATGTCAAAGAAATTTTCTAAAGATCTTCGAAAGCGAATTCGCAACACGCAGCAAGAGGCTTTTGTTTAGCTGAAAGTGAAAATATTTGAAATTTTTGTTTTTGTATGTTTTGTAGGATTCTAAATCCCATGGTGAACTTTTAATGTACATATTCATACCATATTTAGTATATACTATATTAGTGTTTATTGCAACACATTTTTATAAATCCAGTTGGGGTTTATCATAATGGATTACGGGATTAAAATTAGGATCTGGTTTGAGAATTAATTTATATTCTTTAATGATGTATTATTCTTAAATTTTCAATGACAATTGATATGGAATAAACATGAATAAAAGTAAAAAGAGGACTGATGTCTTTAATTAGGTACTTTCTGTTTGTCTGTCTGTTTGTTTTCCCAGGCATGGATGAAGAAAATAATTGAGATTTTGTTTATCACAAAGGGGTACTATGAGAATAACCAGGTTCATTGTTTTGTACTTTAAGCGAGGATGGAGCCAGAGTCATACTTTCATTCGACGTGGACGACACAGAGGATCTCTGTGATCCAACGTCAACTTCAATTACAGGGTCAAGTCGTTCATTTCCAACCATGAAATGTTTAGGTTGATGCTGTAGTTCTATTGGATCAGTCTCTATGTTTGATATCTTGGCTTTTGTAAGGGACAATATTGAAGTACTGAGATAGGGATGAACTGTTTTTGCCACAATTCTTTCCAATTTCTGATAGTTCTCAACATTGCTATCATGAACACTCTGGAAAATAACACTTCAACACTTCAACTTTCATTGACAACAAATAAGTCTCTGAAGTAATCTAAAGTGTTTCTAAAGTAATGTAAAGTCTGGACTAACATGACTAGTCTGTTTTTAACATCATTCATGGCACTGAGAGATTTGTTAACCGTCTGTTTTATGAAATGGAGCTGTTAGATTTCAGCTAAAGAAGATGATGCAGCAGAAAATAATATGTCTGTTTGAATATGATGTGTGAATTCATTTAAGAAGCTTATAACTCATATTATTTTATTTTTTAAGGTGATATTAGGTGACTAGACCAACAGTCTATTAGCCTCTAATATAGATAAATTAGGTAAATATAAATAAATAAACTCTAGAGTCTGCGTTAAATCCTAGAACTTTGAAATCTCACCAAATCCTAGAATGCATGCTGTCATCAAGTTAACCCCCCTGACATGCAGCATTTCCTTACCTGCAGCACGAGCAACATTTGCACAATCCGGGGGGGAACCTCTCTTCCTTCACCGATCACCTCATCCAACTTCGTTTTCAAGACCACAATATCTCTGAAATACACCAGAGATATCTCCCGTACTGCGAGCCCGTTTGACTGAGGCAAGGAAGCAAATACAGCTTGCAACGTTGGCAAGATATTGCAAAAGAAAACGGTCCAACAATAAGCTAACTTTTGCAAATAATCACCAGATTTCTCTCTCACTTCCTCTCGCAAGATAATCATGCCTTTCTTTAAAACTGACTCCCGGTAAAGTTCGTTTATTGCATTACCCGCCTCAGACTTGACGTTTTTTACTTTCTCTGTTAGCTCATGAAGCTTCATCGACATCCTTTTGGTTTGAAATAGCGTCGTAACTTGATTAACAACATCTTGCCAATCATTGGCAGCCAACGTTGAGAGTTGACATCCAAATGTTCGTGATTTTCCCACCCCAGGAACAGTCACTGAGTTATCCCTGCGGATTAAATCGCTCAAATTTGATGCACTTGAACAACGTGTTGTCATAATGAAGAATACAAATGCAATAAAACACTGAAAAATGACGCTTTTTCTGAAGATTTTCTGCTTTGATTTGGAAAAAGTTCTTCTTCGCAAAGGAAGGAATACTTCATGTTATTCAGAACTATGAGAGGCGATGAAATTATATTCGTATTTCCTGGGAGTTACAACGCAATCACAATACCCGATAGTTCATCTTTGTTATTGCGTTATACAGCCTACAGTAATGAGAATAAGAGCAAAAAGGAGTTGTAATATTCACGAGGGAAAACTTGCCCAACAAAAAATTGCATCGTCAGGGCAATCTGCAGTGGGGGTTAGGGATGCGCTATATCAATGACCCATAGGCATATGACATGACAGACTCCTGTGAAAATTATGTCGTACGCACTATGATTATGAAATTGAGTGTGATAGGTTTATTATAGAGATATCACCAGTTAAAATTGATCAATAATTCATCTAAATTCGTCTGATAATTACCAATGACAAGCTGTGAAAGATTGCTCTAGAATATCTCTTCTTTGTGTCCCACTTTCAAGATATCCATATTAAGTGTTAGAAACTGTTCAATGTCGCCAAAGATCTCTCATATAATGCCAGGAAACACTTAATTTCCCACACTTGATTCCAACGGCACTTGGCAAGAATTAGCTGCAATTTCCTGATGGATCCTTTGATCGTACAGCCTTTACTGTTTCCTAAAACATGTATTAATTATTTTGATGGGATTATTAAATATATTGAAAGTCGCTGTTGGAAATAATTGCAGGCAGTTCTTCGTTGGATTTAAGGTTGCATGCATTGCAAAAGTTGAAAATATTAATTTGTCATATATAGTAAAGTTCGTCAGCGTTTAAATGTTCAATGGTGATCGCTTCCATAAAAGTCAACTCATCCAGCCCTCCCACGCGCCTGATTGAAAGGACTGCTCACGTTTTTTCACTCAAGAAACATGACATAGACTATTACTACATAAAGCCCAATAAACATCATAGTTATAATATTGCGTTCGACAAACTCGTCATTTTGAACTGTGTGTTTTTACTACCAAATTTTATCTCCACAACAACAAGGTAAGACACTTCACTTGAAGTGGCTCGCAATATGCGCCTTCCATTTAAAAAGGGTTGCGCAGTTTCTTTTGCCTTCCCGACAATATAAGTTTTGGTTCTAAACATTTAGTCGAATACGAGCCTAACGGGTCTTCAAAATGGAGACGAGACTAATCGGATTGTGTCTTTTGTTCGTTTTTGTTCAGTGTTTTATTGTACAGGGTGTGTCGGTCAGAGAATTTTATCCATTCAGTCGATTTACGGACGCGAAATTGCCAGCGAATGATGATGGTAGTTCTGGCGAGTTAACTTTATCTGTGCCATTCCCATTCTTCAAGTCAAAATATCAGCGTTTGTTTGTAAGTAGAACGGTCATTTTATGTTGTATATTTTAAAAAAATGTTTAACATTAGTTTACAAAGCCTACCTGCCTATATAAGTGATGAAATAAAGTTACATGCGAAGGCAAGTGTTAGCCGTTTAGTAGCGTATAGCGGAGTAGTGTGTTTTCTTTAAAAAATCGTGGCAATATAATTTCATAGTTGATATCTTACCAGCGAGTTTAATTGCTTCTGAAATTCATCATATACTTAATATTTTTTGTGTAACTGGGGGTTTCAAGACGGAGTATAAAGACCGTTGAAGTGTTTGAAAACATTGGCACATATAGTACATTCCTGTACATTTTAAATACACATTTTAAAATCCCTATGCTTGTGTATCCATAGTTTGCTTCGACGAAATAATAAAGCCTCGTATACACCGAAACACTTAGCTGTGATAAGAGGCGGTTCAGTAGTTCAATCCAAGATTAGCGAGTTCACTAATTGGTTTAGCAAGTTTCCGGCGTCATCTGTGGCAGACTGAAGACGCGTTGTTGAATATATCTTAAAAAACAAATATGGCAGACAAAACATTCAGTTTGTAATACAACGATAACATGCATTAAGCATGTCTTAACAAGACATTCTGGCAACAAAATGGCCTCCGGCCTTGTTTGCAATTCTTTCTGATGCATATTTAGCGAGTTTTAAATCGCTGACGAAGCCTAGTGGTTTCTAAGGGTTACCAGATGAATTCGTGAGGGTAGAAAGATTGATGCATGCAATCTTCTTGACCTTAGTTATATTGGCCAGTGAAGATACATGGCTGAGGTTTCTTGTTAAAGCAATCTGGAAAAATCATTCTCTGTAATCAACTTTACCTGTGGGTAAAAATTAAGTATGATTACTTTGATCAATTTAACTGGAATAAAAATGTTCGTCTCATAAACGGCAGTGATTCTTGAGTGAACTCGTCTAGGAAGTAGGAAAACAAGCACTAGTTTCATCTCGTCGCCAGGTCAGGTGAACAAGCTGACATTTCTCAGATCGAGATTTCGCGATAAAAGACAAAAGAATCTTAGAAATTGTTAAAAGCAAATGATTGCAAAATTTCACAATCTATTTAAAACTTCTGTTCATAAATATTGGCCACCTCGATGAGATCTGTTCTCACATATATTTGATGATATTTCTTTAGGTTAACACAAATGGAGTTATCTCATTCAAAGACAGTGTTGAAGAGTTTACTCCAATTACATTTCCAAAGAAAAATAACCAGCCAATGATCGCACCGTATTGGGCTGACGTAGACACACGTAACGGAGGAGAGGTCTTCTATCGTCAGTCAACCAGTGTTGAATTATTTCAACGAGCGACGAATGATGTCAAGAAATATTTCCCTGGACAGTTTCCCTCGTTCCAAGCATCGTGGGTCTTCATAGCCACTTGGCAGAATGTCTCACGTTTTAGAAGAAGCAGATCTATATATTCTGGATTTGGTGATCCCCTGGTAAGTTTTTTCTTCCTATTTCCGGCAGTTGACAAAAATTTCTTTGCAACTACCAACCCTTTTCTGTCATTTCGCTCTCATGCAAATGTGAGGATCTCCCTGGGAAGTGTTTCCTGGTTTGTCCACGTTTGAGTGGTATGGCAAGTGGAGAAGAAGACATAGACACGAAACGTCTAGTTCCCCGGAACAACATCATATCAAGTACCTTAATACTACATTCATCACTAAACTTGCACTAATATTTATTGTAGAAAAACACGTTTCAAGTTGTTCTCATCACAAATGGACGTCACTCGTTCGCTTTGTTTTACTATGAAAAAATTGAATGGACTACTGGGGATGCAAGTAAGAGCATCTATGGCGGGATTCCTGCCCAGGTAAAGCAGTTGAGAAGGCAATTAATTTTAGCGAGTACCATGCACGTCATCGACATTTTGTAGAACAGTCTTAACTCCTTGTTGAAAGGCGACATACTAACCACAAAAATTCCAAAAATAATCTAGATTGGCGTATCTAATGTGATATAAACACTTCAGACACTCGATTGAGAAAAATAAGTGTTCAATTCACTTGACCCAAGAAGAGGTGGCCTTTCTCTTAAATCTGTTTCCCCTCATTTATTCTTTAGGCTGGTTTTAATTTTGGTGATGGAACGAGATACTACAGCGTTCGTGGTTCTCAGACGGATCTTATCAGGCAGTTGCCGACGCTTTCTAACGTTGGTGTTCCAGGAATGTTCGTGTTTAGGGTAGACGAGGCTGAGATTACAAATGGAGGCTGCAATACAGCAGGTCAGAACTGGATATATCTTGTCCATATCTAAAGTATTCTCCTTAAAATAACGGTTAAAAAAGAGCTTCAGACCTTGTTTAGACCAGTGTATAGTGCTGGAGTGTGTGAAAGATGAAACTCGTCCTGTCTTGTCCATGGCAGAGACAATGTTTGGGAATCTCAGAGGCCAGAGAAGGAATGAAGCGACAAACAACCAGATATTCAAATTCATTCTCTCTTCAAGAGGACCCTTCGACTTATAAATAAAACTGTCTGATCACTAAGACAGAAAAACATTGAAGATATTGTTGCAGTCGCGTGTCCCCATTTCCAAAGTAGCAAGAATAATTTTCCTATGAGAAATGTAGCTTGGTTTAATGGTCCCATAAATATATCTGTCTCACCATCAGGCGACAATATTTTGAATATTTTCCTTGCAGGAGGTTTAACTCTTTCACCAAGAAGTGGTCTCGTTCTCGGTGGAACTATTGTGGAGCTATCTGGTCCTTGCTTTAATGTAACATCTGATGCTGTCGTATGTCGTTTCAATGGGAAAATAATAGCTGAGGGAAATATAATTGATAGATATAAGGCTTCTTGTGTTACTCCACCTTTGATTGATATTGGACGAATGTCGGTGGAATTATCCTTGGATGATGGTATAACATACAACTTCACATCACAATTTACTTCAGGTTAGTCTATTTACTTTACAGTTTTGTAAAATTCTCACTGGCAGTTCCTCTTAATTTGCTTAACTGACATATGCTTGCTTTTCTTCAAAGTTTTATCTGTCATGCACCTGCATGCATGTATTAAACCATTTGTTGTTTTTCTAAACAGTTGCTCTTGGACGACATGGGCCAGGCATCTCAGGATTAATGTCAAAGGATTGGACAAGACAAATCGACACACTCGTCATCGGCTGGAACCCTCATAGCTTAAGAACGCGCGAACCTATTAACATTGAAGTCGCGAAGTTTGATTGGGAAACCTTCGAGTTACTGGAGAATAAGACTGTTGTAAAAGCAAATACTGCGAACTTTGGTTTTGAGGTTGTCCGTGATTTAGTCCAGACTGTTTATCATATGTGAGTAATATATTGGTTAAAAGAGACATTTACTTTACTGTAGAAAGCTAGAACGTGATAAAATGTAAATACTTTTTTCTGACAGGCCGCCTGTAAGTCTAAACAACTCAGAAAGATACGTCTCGCCGTTATCAATCGTAACAATAAGCGCTCCCAAACCAGCAAGAGGTTTTCCTGCACGGCTGTACAGCGAACCATTTCTAGCCATTCCAGTTAAAAACATAACAAAAAAGATCAAGGCTACTTATGATAAACTTGCGATTCCTCAGAGGTGTAAAGATTGGTTTGGGGATGATAATTTTAATGTCAGACGTGCTTTAGGTAAGGTTTTGTGTTGACGGTGATGGTACTCGGTAATGTACTTTCTTTGTGCTTTAGGTGAGCGAATTATATTTCTAATTTAGATGGGTTGATTGGGTGTCCAAAAAGTCTGGAGCAAGCTGAAGCAGACAACAGATTTATGTCAGATGATTATTGTAAACCTCCAAGAACAACATCGTGTATAGCGTATCACAATGGTTCATATCATTGCTTTCGATCTGTTTTTCCAAAGTGAGAACCGTACTTTTTATCTCAAGTTTACTAACTCTAAAGATACCAAACTAAAGAAAGCCATATGATTGAAGGAATATTATTCACCTACTCTGTTCTTCTTACAGCCCAAATGGAGCTGGTCAGCAGTGTTGCTACACAAAACAGGGCAGACTAGTGGTTGGTCCACCTGGTGGAGGGACAGTTGACAGATATCATGCAGGCAGTTCACGCTTTTCCACGTTGCAACATCTCAAAGAAGATATTTACCCCTGGTACCTTTGCTGTAGATTAAGCAAGAGTTGTGGCTTGTACTACGCTAGCAGACCATCAGAGAATGGTACTCGATACACTCCGCCACAGATTGGTAAGTAATGAACGCCAGGGAACGCTTTGAAGACTTTCAAGTTGCTTCTTTCCTCCCCATTAAAAACATAAGCTTGCTTCAGGTATTAATGATTTCTTTCATATTGTGCAGCCACAACGTTTGGAGATCCTCATTTGGTTACTCTTGATGGCTTCCAATACACATTCAACGGATATGGCGAGTACACGATGGTGAACATTGATGAAATTGGTTTTAAATTCCAAGCACGAATGCAGCCGATAAAAACAAAGGGAACGAATTCGCGGGGAACATTTTTAATGGCCTTTGTTCTTCAAGATGACTACAGTGATACTGTTCAGGTTTGTACGACATTAGAAAGGCACTTGTGGTTTTGTAATGTTCGTGTGGTTTTTGTAGCTCATAATTTTGTTTTACGTTTTTATCCTAGGTTGAAATGAATTCTCTGAAACAGCTGGCCATCTATGTAAACGGCGTTGAGGAATCTTTTGACACCAACACAACATTAATGGAGTTTGATAACGTTATTTTAACGAGACAAAATGAATCCGACCTGCAAGTCATGTTTCGATCTGAAATAAGTGTTAGCGTCAGCAAGAACGATTTTTCACTCTCTTTCGAGACTTTGTTTCCAGAAACTTTCAAAGGTTGGTGTCAACACTTGGAATTTTGCCGTGTTTTTTTTAGAGATAATTCTTTTAACTAAATACGTTGTGTTTCAGGGAAGACTAAAGGTTTGCTTGGAGTTTGGGACGACGATAAGAAGAATGATTTAACACTACCCTCTGGTGAACAAATGGACATAAATTCAAAGTCGCGAAAAATACACAAATTTGGACAAAAATGTAAGTTGGGTTGCCGGCATAGGTTATCAGGGTGGGCTGTGTCCTCAAAATAGCCTGGAGTGATATATGGACTAGTAAGAAACATTTTCTGACAGAACATTTCTTTCTGGTACTAACCTTGCTTGTTGTTCAAAAGTGTTCGTTGATTTTCCATGCACTTGGGGTGACCTGTCAAAAAAGTTACTTCTTTTAACATCATTTTATTTCACTCAGGGTTGCTCAGTTCAAAAGAATCATTATTTACCTACCATGAAGATACAAAATACGAAGATTTCGTGAACAAGTCGTATAAACCTATGTTCTTTGATGAACTCGACACTCTGTTCAGTGACAAAGCTCAGGAAATACAAGCCAGAGCAGCTTGTGGTGGAGTTAAGGAATGTCTTTTCGATATTGCTGCAAGTGGTAGCTTGAGTTTTGCCATTGCTACCAAAAAATCTGTGGAACATTTCACCGAAAGGAAAAAGAATATTAGCATAGGTAACGACATACCACCAGCTCTTTCTCTCAATCAAATATACCAGTATATGCATGGTACATTCGACTGGTAATAAAAAATAGCAAAAGTTGGAAATTTACTGGGATATGGTATATACTGGTATTGTATAATCTCTTCTCAATTCAATTTTTTCCTCCGTCAATTTTAGTTCGTGTCCCTCTTTACTTCAACTGTGATGGGGTGAAAGTGTCTGGTCCATGCAAGGCTTGTCATCATATGTGTGTTTCAGAATCGGATCACACAGTTGTTATCGTTCTCTCGGTCCTATTTGGCATCCTCGCATGCGTGATTGCTTGTGTTATTGTGTTTTACTACATATACAGAGTTCATAAAGAACCAGAGCCACCAAAGCTCCCGCCAAAACCTGAGGTGAAACCTAAACCAAGGGAAGAAGGGGAAAAACCTACATCGGAACCAACCGTAATGGCGTTTGTACTGCCGGCGTTCCCCGAATCTAAACGCGACTCTGCGATGCATCAATAACGTAGAATTAGAATGCTCTTAATTGGTTCTAATTGTAATCGAACTTGTCAGACAAATAACGGAACGCTTAAATTTATCGAAAAGTGTAACATTTGTGGTGCCCTCTAAATATTTGGTGAAACTTGACGTGTATTTATGGTTATATATAAAGCATGGATTTGACGTTATTATATATCAATTATATTAATTAAATAACATAAATTTTTTTTCTGAGGTTGCAATGAAAAAAAGGTCTTATAGAATGCAATTTCTAAAATTAGAAATAACAGCGCAAACTCTACTACGGTATAGTACCGATATTGCATTATTGTGCTTCCCAGCGCAGAAATTTGCATAATTCGTTTGGACATCATTGAGAGATTTCTATGAACTTCGTTTATCTTATCTCAGATAGAATATCTGCACTTTTTAATATCAAACAAGAATATTGTTGTGCTTTTACAATTTTACATATTAAAAAATTTACGTAATTTTTTAACCAATTTAACTGTCAACTCTGGTTTCAATGTTCTAACCGTCTATACAAGGAACACTAATTTTCCTAGATATTTAACTAAACGTCACTAACGGAAAATTTTACTGAATATTATATACTTGATAGTTTCGTGAAGACTTTTATATCGATGAATATTGACACGTTAATACTGTATATTGTGGCCCTCTACTTCAAACTCTCGACCGGCTGCATCGTCGAGACAGGCCTTCCTTGAAGAAAGCTAACTTCTACATCACTGTACAATCCTCAGGGTCCCTATTAGCTCCTGGGGTTGGTTTAGTTCCCATACCACTCACGTCCTATACGCGGAGAAAATGCAAGCGAGATCAGTCGCGCGTTTGTTTCTTTTTATCAGTATACCACAACATATCCGCTTACCCCACATACCCCCCTTACCCACCACGTATATGTTCCATACATTATCCTGCATATTCCCTCCACATAATCCTTAACTCATCCTAGATATCCCCTCTTACACCACCTCACGCATCCCTTGTCTCACCTCTATTTCCCCTCACGACCTTCTCTTACCTCAGGCAAGACACGTAAATCAAAGGCTCCTTCTGCACCATTTCGATACGTATTTGTGCTGCCATCTTCCCAACGGACCTGAAGTATAAAGTCTTCTATAAATATAATTTTATTCCTCTCGTGTTCTACAGCTCTTTGACTTATGAAACGTAACATCATGTTTAAGTTATCCAGCTATATCTCGTTAATCTTACTTTGCAAACTCCAGTCATCTCACTGACATCATAAACGTATCCTTTTGACCCAGTTCCGCCATCTTGATTTGACCATTTCCAGTCTTTACCTGAGACAACATTAGATAAGTTTCACCTCAGAGATCTTGCCTGTAACGCTTAGTTACAAGGATTATTGAGTCGTTTTTCACTACTAAAGTGCTTCTAGCTGGTTTGGTTGAGTGTTTGAGCGAAAAGAATACAACTCAATCCTACAATTATTATCAATGTATTTGAACTGATCTACCTCGAACAACACGCACACCAACTTTAATGCCTTCATGAAATGTCACTTTACGAGGCTCGTTTACAACCTAGATGACAGTATCAAGAAATCCTTTCTTTAATTCGGACACAAGGGCACCAATGAATTCCTTTTTTAGCTTTTAAAGTTTACCTTTACGTCCATTGCATTGTCTTTACCAAAACGATACGAATTCTTCCTGCCATTATCCCAACGAACATCGACCCAGCCTGGATACAAAATGCATTATCTATCTGAGAAATGTACCATTCAGTTATGATTTTAAGATCAGTATTTCACTCACCTTTTGTATCAGAGTGTTTGACAATAGTGCCCACTCCATTTCCATCTTGATCCCCCCATTTCCATTGAGGTCCTCGACGTATACGAGTTCCCAGTGGTGGAGGGGTAGGATAAGACTATAGAACAGATCAACGAACATGACAGAGAAACTATACTACAAGCCTACATGCAGACGATACTCGACATCTGATATCTAGGCGAGGATACTCCGTTTGCTATTTAGACTGGAAGCAACAAATTCAAGGCATAAAACTTACTGAACTATCTCCGTCCTCATCATCGCTGTCTTCCAAAGCTGCTCCAATTAACATTGCACCAAGAAGGCCACGAAGAGAACGCTGAAAAACACAAGAAATTGTTGAAAAAATAATGCTAGAAAAGTATGGTATGGTATCGTATGGTGCAGTAAGGTACAGTTAGGCACGGTATGGTACAGTTATGTATAGTAACACCCTTGGAAAGCCTGCGATATGGGAGCGGTAACAAGCGAAAAACCATCTCACCGCTTCTGCTTCTTCTACGGCTTCCCCACAAGCTCTCATGAACTGTTGTAGAGCCAGCAATGATCGTAACTGCGACATGTCTGAAGTTATAGGAGGAATATTCAACCAACCAGCTCACTGCATGCCCTACTCTCCACTAAATTAATCCAAAACAAACTGAACTAACCATGAGAAAATTGCGCAACGAATCTTGACAGAATAACTTGTCTGCGGAAGAAGGTGCTCAATTCCTCCATACTGTCAACCATAGTGAACATGCCTTTGGTTATTTTGGCAATACCTTCAAGAAGTTTCTGCAATAGAACAAGGTCAAGGTGTAAGGATGTGTTCCTCAGAGAGAATGCCACAATTATACATATTTGTGGTATTAACTTCATGGTATCTCATGGTACAGTACTTCATGGTACTTTTCTCACCTTATCAGCATCACCACAGCCAACACAAGCGATGGGAATTGGATGAGGAAGACCAACCTGTCTCCAATGTTGACCAAACAACGCAGCGACTGTTAAAACCTCAGTTATAGCCTGAAACATAATACACACGTATGATAAAATAGGACAATAGACTCAACTACTGTACCTAACAATTCTTAAACCTTGATTGCAGAAAAACAAATCCTTATACCTGAGTTTCTGTTTCGCCTGTGGGCTTTCCATCCGTCATTAACACGATGCGCGGAGAAAGCTTCAAACCATTTACGTTCACCACTCCACCTGTTAAAACAATCTAATTTTCCAGCATCGCTCTTCAGCTTTACTACCCCAGCAATAAGTTTAAACACAAATCTTTAATCTTACCATGTTCAAGAATCTCTTTCATTGCAAGAGTGAGACCTTCCTTCATTGGTGTTCGGCCATTTGCTGACAAACTGTCTGAAATCAGAGTTCAATAACGTGATTATTATGTCACAACGGTAGAGGCCTAGCGAGGAGCATTGGAGGGTAATTGGGTTAAGCTTACTGATAGATCTTCTCAAACCAACGTAATCTGTTGACAAATTCTTCACAATCCGAGTATTTCCTCCAAATTCCACAATAGCAACGTTTTCCTGAAATTACAAAACCGTATATATATTTGGAACAGGTATCTTGCCATGCATTGCGAGGCAATTATTGAGTTTCTAAACTCTTTTTTTGCTTAATTTCTTCAGAATTTTGTTGCTTGAAGCCTTGAACAAAAATTCAACACAACTATTGGAAATGCAAATTTGAAGCTGTTGCGGTTAACACAGCGTGTTTATTCTTGGAAGATGAAGCAGAAAATATTTTCGAGGTTTACCGGGAAATAGTTTAGCGCAAACATCGTCTATTGACTTTATTGACAAACACCAGGCAAATGAATATTTTCGCTTAGATATAAGGAAGCATTTCACTTAACAAACCTTCAAATCAGACTGTTTTGCTGTTTCTTGGATGCCTTCAAGAAATTGTTCGGCCGCTCGCTTTAGTTCTCTCATACCTCGACCAGCCATTGATCCTGAAGTGTCCAAGCACAATACTGTATCCAGCGGCATTGTTAACTAAATTTTAGAAATCGCAAGTGGTCAGAGCTGTCCACTAGCTGTTATTGAACTCTCAAACTCCTTTTTGCTCAACCCGTTCCTGTAGGCGATAATAAGCTATTATTAATTCAACAGCGCGTCGTAGGGGTAGAGAAAGGTGAGTATTAGGGATGGAAAGGAGTTTCTTGTAGCAGAAGTATCTGCGTCGGAGTCAGCGAAACATCACAATAAATAAAGGATAAAAAAATCTGAACCAATCAGGAGACAGAATAAGATAAAGGCAAAAGACTCAGGTCGTTGCAGGTTTTTCGTGGAAAACAAATGTCGCAGTTTAAATTATAACTTCGTTTTCGTTTCGTTTCAATTGTAGAGCCACTCAGCGTCAAGTCAACTCTGCGCTGTAAAATTAACACTTTTACTAAATTTACTAAAAAGCTGGTCTTTCAGCTTTTGGGTTTTGAAAAATGACGACTCATGATGAATGACCCAGACAGCTCTAAGTTTCGTTCTTCATGGCAGACATAAACAATCGTTATTCGACAGAATTAGTGATATTATGAATAAGAAATTGACGCACAGTTCACCACTGAACTCTGCAATTGACTCACCGCACGCTGACATTCTTGCCAAAAGCTTAAATTTAACAATGATGACAATGTAGTCGCATGACTATATAGTCACCTTAGAAGATAAAGTTTCTGTTGAAAATGTCACGAGATTCATAAAACTTTGCAAGAACGACATTAAGAGAAACCATGCTTGCGCTAGACAACCTATTAAACAGCATTTCAAGAATGCTGTGTCGTCGTCTTTTCTAAACCCATTACGCCAAGCAAGCAATTTTAATTGTACGAGTATTAAACACGAAGGGGCAAGTAAAATTAGATGCTTTGTCCGTTCTTGAAATTCAGGCTACAATTACATTCAAGTATTTGTAATAGGAATTGACAAAGCGCAGTACGGAATGTAATGAAAATATAGGCATCTCTGTACTGACTGTTTTACGCAATATGGATTGAGGAATTAATGGTATATACAGTCCGCTCTCAGTACTCTGGAAGACGCATGTCAATATAAACCATATAGATCAATACTCACGTTTACTACGTCTTGATAAGATAGCTACTCCTTTATTTTAGCCCCACATAAAATTGATGGAGTTCGAGGTAAACAAACGAACGAGAGTTTCCTTTGTAGAAGTGAAAGTAAAATTGTGATTGGTCAGGATTTTCTAAGAATGGCCATGTATTAAAGTCCAGTGTTGTTGTGATGATGGGTCATGCTATGATTTTATAATAGATAAAAGGGTTTTCCCCTAATGCAATGTTAACAGGAAAAAAACAGGTTAATGACTTGGCTTTTCGTAAAGAAAATGAATAACTTATTAATAGATCTTTGGTTTCTCACAGGTTACGAAGAAGTGATGCGCAACCATCTCTGTTAACTTGCGTACAATTGAATATTTTTTTACAGCAAATGACGCCTATATATCATGGCTATCATGTCCAGACATCATGCCTATATATATATTTAGTTAAGACATAATATTTAAAAATAACGAATATGTTTCAAAAATCTTTTCAATATTTGACAATAAGGTAAAATATGGTTCTACCCAACATAACAGAATATGTTTAGTGCAGTGTCATTCACAAAGATTAGAAATGCGATAGGTGTAATAATAAATCCATGAAAGTAGCGTTTTCTTTGTGATTTCTTACATAATACTACAAGGGACTGTAACAGGACCCAGATCAACTTCAGGTACTCCATTTCTGATTCCTGCTCCAAATTTAACTCCAGCTCTTGCAGCAAACGGCCCAGCTCTTGCTTCACCTTTATAATGTATTTAAAGGTTCTCGATTATAATTGAGAAACCAGTTCCGATCGCCAGTTGGCCATGGCTCCTGATTTTTCTGGACAAAATCTTACTGAAGAGCAATAATAGCTAGGCCTTGCGGTGAAATATAAATGCATTGATCAGCATTTTCTTAGAAAACTGAACCTCTGAAAACTCTCTAGGCAAGATCTGTACGTTTTGTTAACATAAATCGTTAATATACTTACCAAGACTGGCCGCAACATTGGCTCCAGAATAATCCCAGGACACTCCAGTCTCAGCAGAAGCCCCAGGCCCTTGAGCATGAACCTTGAGAGGAGTATGTTTAATACCTGCGCAGACTTTGCCAACGACAGCATTTGCTTCAGCCTTAGCACCAAGAGTTTCTAATCCTACACCTGCAGTAGCAGTAGCTTCAGCTGAAACAGCTTTGGAGTTGGCTTCAAAAACTCCCTGGAGAAATATGGCATTTGCTTCCGCTTCTGGACCTGCTGCTCTGGCGGTAGCACTAGCTTGAATTGCTGTGACTTCAGCTGTCGCTTGGGTTGAAGCTACCTCTGCACTTGCATTAGCACCGGCTAGCACCAGTTGATGACCTAAAAATAAAGTAGAAATGATTTTAGTAGAATTAGCTTAGTTCATGAAATACAGGAGTGCTCAATATTATATCACATAGGTAGAACAAATACTGTAGTAGGCGTCTCTTTGGCAACGTAATGTATTCCAATTTTTGATTTTTTGTTTTCTATTGGCCCTATTTTTATCACGTGTTTTGCCCCCATACAAAACATGTATTCTCCCCTATTTATTTTCATACTATAACTCTCCTGACGAAGGCCCTCAGGTCGTAACGTCGAGAAGTGTTTTGTCTATTTTAGGCAGTTGTTATACCACATTTGATGCTAAGTTGTTTGAAGACGCAGCCACGCTGTTCCCTGGTTATATTGGAACGTAAATACTGTAGTAGTTAATCCGTATAGGAATCCTCAGGTGGATTCTAAATAGACAACTTGTGATAAACAAAACACTATTAAATAGATCTATAGCATTTCTTGGCGCAACTCACCAGCAACCTCTGTCACATAAGACATATCACCTGTACCGACATGTAGATATCTTGTATCATTTTCCTCAAGGGAAGCCACCTCAAGAGTGCCCCTAATCGCCTTTCGATTGGCTTTCTCGGAAGACATCTAAAAATGTAACAAAAATTAAAACAAAAGCTTAAAAATCGCAACAAAGCATTAAAAATTCCAACACAAAAAAGCCTGGGTACATAATTGGATTTGTGCCATGACGATCTTTCAGACAAGAAATACCAACACCCCACGTTAGTATTTGGATTTATAAGAAGTTCGACGGGACGAAATGGTGTTCAATTAGTTACCATTAGTATAAATTACAGTAGTTGGTATTACAATTGTGGGGACTGGGAGCCCAACCAATGATGTTCTTATCTAAACGTATTTCTGCAAATATACTTGAAGTTGTTTACGGTGTAAGATACGTCACACTTAAAAAAGAATGACTTGGTCACATCCACTGGTCACATCACTGTAGTCACATGAGACTCGAATTGCTACACATTGAGATGGCACATGGTAAATTCTTATACTGACGACTGAGAAATATAAATTCTGCGTATTTAATTGTAACCTTGATGTTTGGCAATAGAAAACGAACAAGCGACTTGAAAATTTCATGTATACACATTGGCTTGCTAAATTGTTCAGGTATATTTTACTAGTCGTGAGTTTGCTTAACGGCGCCTTATGTTAACATACCAATTAAGTATAAGCAATAATTATACGTACCGTATAGCAAATTAGAATTCTTCAAGCCAACACCAAGAAAGTTTTATCAACCGACCAAACCAAGAGTTTATCGAGAGCAAGTCTCCGATCAATGGTAGCCTTCGAAGGATAGCTATATATATACTGATACACATAACATGATGTAATATTATACGAAAAAGATTTCTCCGAACTGGGGAAGTTACCTTGTATTGGTAACTGCCAAAAATAGGAAAACGAGAAAATAGGAAAACGAGATTCCCCAATGCAAGTTTCCGATTAGTGGTAGCCTTCGAAGGGTAAATGTAATATAATACGAAAAAGATTTCCCCGAACTGGGGAAGTTGCCTTATGCCATCAAAATGGGAAAACGAGATTCCTCAATGCAAGTTTCCGATTAATGGTAGCCTTCGAAATGAGCCATCAAAATAGAAAAACGATTCAGAGTAGAGATGTGTGCGTTATATTACACTATAGAAAACTATATATGACCTTCGTTTAATCCGGGGGCATTAGATATCAAAATATCTTCCCGGAAAAAAAACTGCCTGGTATGCAAGACACAAGGCAAAGCAGCGACATCATTTTGCTGAAGCCTGCAGGCGCTGTAAGATCCGTAAATTTGGATTTTCGCCAGCTCATTCCCGGAAAAAAAACATAGTTAGTCTTCAAGAGAATCCTAATCGCATATTAAGACTGAAGTCAAGGTGATAGCAATGTCAGATTCTGTTCTCTCCTTTCAGCCAAAACCTTTCAAAAAAGAAATTCTTGGTATAACTTTTCTCGCTATGGTATTGTTAGTTTTTTTTATAAACAACCATGTACCCAGAGTCTCCGTCGCGCGAACGAGAAAGAACCCTGCGTACGAGGTTGGTTTCAAAACAAAATCATTAACATACGGTGCGATATTTCCTCAGCACAACATCTTTTATCTGTAGCGGCGATAGCGGGCCTTCAACACTTCCTTCTCGCTTTAAAAATACCTGAGTAAAATAGAAGACCATACATTTAAACCTGGGAAGATTCACACTAAGATAAAATAGAAATCGTTCACGCTATCGTAGACTTCAATCTCTTCCTTAAAAATTTGAATGTCGACTCTTTACCTTGTGATCACCAGATTCATATAACGCCAAAGGTTCGCCTCCTTTGAAGATGATCTCAACAATTTTTCGGTTAAAGATATACTGTCCCGCCATCTGGTCGTACACGGGAACAAAATTTACGCTAAAAATAGCAGAAGATGATTGGTATGTGGTTGAAGGCCAGAGGTGTGTGTTCATTCTCTCTCGTTTTGCCCGGTTGAGTGTCCATTTAACTTTATGTTTTTACGCCTAATGTGATTCACAAGCAAAGCTGACGAAGTTCAGATAAAAACCCCCAACAGAAACACTCCTTATTTACCTGTACAACGATCTATCAACCGGTGGATAAAATTGAGACACTTCTTTTTCCAAAGTTGATCTGATCCTATCTTCCATTCTGCGGTCGCAATAAATCCCTTTAATAAGGCCTTAACAAAGTGAAATTATTTTGAATTTTATGCACAGTAAGTTCGTGATGAATCAGGCAGGATGTTTTAGATTAGGAGACGAATGCAAGAACAGAAAGAAAGCGAAGAAGGTTTGTGATAAATCAAACAATTACCATTATCTAAGATCCCAGCAATCAAAATTCCACCATTGGAGTTTAAAAATGCTGTTCCATATTTTCTGATGTGCTGAAAAAACATGTCCAAAAACCATCAATGGTAAAAGATGATTTTGATAACCATAGATATTTTCAAAAAGTGGAACACTCCGAAGTTATAATCTGTCTACCTCTGGCAGTATTTGGATTGGATAAGCACCACCACCAGTTTTAAATTCAAATGTTCTTGATTCACGCATTGAAACATAATGGTTGAAATAGTATGCTCTGTAAGAGTAGGAAATATCAAAATAAACTTCACATTGCATCAATAGCTTTCATATCATTTCAAGAATTTTTACCGTGGTAATAAACTTTTAAGGTCTGATTGATCTCTAGGATGTGGCGTGATCTCATATCTTGCCTGGGTTCTAGTACCATTTGCCGGCGTTTTACACAAACAAATTGCAGGAACGTGTGGTTGGCAAACACGAAAGATTCTTCTCTTAATCCTACGAAAGGCCCTTGCGAATAAGCCTTCACTTTTAACCTCTTTTTTTGGAACATTGTCTTTCTAAAATTTCAAATAAACAAGATGATAAAATGAGGTATAGTTGAATTGGGCATCATCTGTGATCAATGATGCATCACAAATACCAACCTGATTCTGGGTGGCGCTATATGGTACTATTGCCTGACTCGTCCCATCATTTACGCTCTTCTCTTCTTTCTCATTTCTCTTCCGTTTCAAGAAGTTTATAGCTCGGTTTAACATCTTTGCAGATTATCAGCAAACTTTCACCTTAAAATTTTATGATAACTGTTTATATTTTTTCAGACTTCATATGGTGTCATTGTGGGAAAGGCCATGAACTAGATCACTTTTATTATGTATTCTCAAACCAGGTAATGTGCACAAAATACAATTTTCTGCCTCTAAACACGCGCATAAGTTGTTTTTTTGCGCAAAATAAGCTGTCATATGACTGGCGTTCTTTACAGCCTTTTATTAACCAATACAAATAAACATATTTACCGCTAAATCACAAATCACAATGAGAAGATTAATACAAAAGCCCTACATATTTTTGATCTTCACACAATTCGCTTGATCGCCAGAAATTTTCGGTTTAAAACGTAAAAATATAATAAAATACATTCGAACTTACCGCCATAGAATCCACAGAGAATGCGTTCCTCTGAGCTCAATATTTACACTGGATATAATCCTACGTTCTTTATGATAATTTATTCAAAATCATCGTCAGCACTTGGCGGCCATCTTGTTTTAAAGTTCAACTTGTTTATTGTTTTCTAGTTTAAAGGGAATAATCTATGGAGGAACCATCATTTGTAGCAGCCGGAATATGGCTTGGCTTGGCTGCTCTTGTTTTTATTGTTTTATTCATCACGTCGTTTTTTGTGAAGCCTTCCGATAAAAAAAGTAAATACAACATGGCTCTATTTATACTTGACCCCAAATACGAGTTACTATTTTAGTCTATTTAATCATTATCATACGGTTTGTTTACTGTAGAAAAATGCTTCCAGTCTACCTCTCTTATGGTGTAGATCAGTTAAAACGTTTTTATTAACATTAGACTAAGAAAATAGTGTTTGATTGGCGCTAAATTGTTCTAATATGCTTCATATTCCATTTAATTATTTTATTATTGATCTTTCGTTACCACCTCAACCGTTATATAGAGAAAGATAAGCCACCTGCAGCAGCAGGCAATGATAGAAATGAGAGAGCACCTGGACAACGGAGACGACGTGGAGCAGACATGATGAGGAGACGAATGCAAGAACAGGAAGAAAGTGAAGAAGAAGGTTTGTGGTAAATTCACAGATTAACTATAGAGTTCCTTCCACCACTGATTCATACCTTTTTGATTTCCAGAGGATGATAACTACGGTTTGCCTTTTGATCCGAATGAACAAACTGGAAAAATTGGAACAAAAAAGATGAAAAAACTCGAAATGAAAGCTGAGAAGAAAGCTTTGAGACAGGTACAAATATGCATTGCTTTGATGTGAGATTACTGGTAAGAATAATCCTGGATTCTTTCCTATTTATCAGTCTTTATTAATCTGGAAAAATAGGAAATGGAGATGGAACGAGAGGACAAAAAACAACGGCAGAAAATGTTAGAAGAAGAAGCAAAACGTCAGGAGAAAATACGCAAGAAACAGAAAGAAAAAGAGGTTCTTTTTTCAGCTTCTTGTGTGAATTGATATGGACTACTGATGTGTAAACTTTATTTTATGAATTTTGTTTTAATAAAGGAAGAGGAAGAGAAGAAACGTAAGGAGGAACAAGAAAGATTAGAGCATGAAGAATATTTAAAACTGAAAGAAAGTTTTTCTGTGGAGGGAGAAGGAAGTGGGGAAAAGGAGTTGGAAGAGGAGGTAACAGTTGTGATGCAACGCATGGGTTTTCATGATGGACAAGGGGTGAAGTAAAACACCCCTGCCTAAAATACTAAACTTCTGAAACATTTCCTTTTAGTCTCAATCCTTGCTACAAGAATTTATTGACTACATCAAGGTACATGTGAAGTTATAACTGCAAAGTTTGATTTAAATTGTAGCTCCAATGCATGGGGACATTGATGCGCTATAAGTGGGATTGTATAATGATGAATTTATCAATGGTTTTAGAACACCAAGGTAGTTCTTCTGGAGGATCTTGCAGCTCATTTTAATTTACGCACACAAGATGCCATTAACAGAGTTCAAGTCCTTCAGGAAGTTGGTAGACTAACAGGTATGTAGCAGTTGGGTGGTGAAGAGCCAGGTATTGCATCATTTGAAGCAGTTCTGATGTGGTTTAATATTTTCTTAGGTGTTGTGGATGACAGAGGGAAGTTCATTTATATTTCACAAGAAGAACTTGAAGCTGTAGCAAAGTTTATCAAACAACGAGGAAGAGTTTCAATAAGTGACATATCTGATTCTAGTAACACTCTTATCAATCTTGAGGCAGCTCTTCAAACAAGAGATGTGAATATAGAGACTCCTGCCTAACTTTAAGTTAATCTTAGTACGTTACAGATGTTTGAATAAAATATATGAAAGACAATAAACGGCAAGGCTAGCAGAAAGTTATTCTCATTATGGCACATGGTCTAAAAGGACATACTTACCTGTAATTGAATGCCATTGAAAAAGTGGTAAATTAGCGCAATTATGAGATCAGATGAATCAGAGAAATGCACGCATTATTGATACGCGTCAACCTGTGAAGTTCAGATTTTCATTATTTTGATCGTAATTTGCAACATTTTGTAACAATTTAGCATTCGACTCTCTCAACAATAACCCTGTTTAAATACATTTGGTAAATATATATTAAGATATCTCCTCGTGTTGCAATAAATACAAGGTGGACAACAATGTTTGACAGACGCCGTCATTACTCCAGTGTTCGTGTACCCGAGGATTGTATGAATTTGTCCTGTCCTGCATGGGTAAGATACCTTCAAAAGACGTCCAGTAGAAACACACCCTACTCCCCATAGATATGTCACTTCCTCGCACAAGTTCTGTTTTTTGATGTGTCAAAAAGATCAAACAAAGACTCTGTGGGTGTAAGAAAGATAACTTGATGGTGTCTGGTGTTGTGAAAGTGTTTCACGCTGGATAACCAGATAGTAATCGCACGTCTATGGCTTTGTTAAAACCCGCACTTCTGATAGACTCTAGACCGATCTCTCTAAAAAGAATATGCGATGAAATGATAAGTTTCCTGTTTTGACAAAACCTCTTGAAAACAAAAGAAACCAGATCAAAGGTGGTACTTGTTTCTGCATATGAAGTGCGGAGGATATGAAATATGAAGTGACATTTGTCACGTAGTTTTCAACCAAAACGTTTTAAATGACACGAGTGGGTACGAGCTGCTTCCCCTAGGGTCTGTGTGGGTGTTTATCGCCCACGTAGGGTACGCCCGTTTATCGCTCACGTAGGGTACCGTAGGCCCGATATTTAAAAATGATAAAAAAAGTTTAAAAAATGATATAAAATACATACGTATCCTCGAAACCCCAACATTTTGTCGGGTCGACGTTTAATTTTTCACAAGCCGTCAAAAAGGCGTCGGGATTTGGTTTATGAAGCGAATAATCTTCATTGCCAACAACAACGTCGAACAGATGGCGTAGTCCAGCTAATCCAAGAACTACAACGGGTGGCAAATATTTAATGAATTGAAAAATATTTTTAAAAATATTGTTTGTAAAAACATTTGTTGCGAGGAATTGGAAAATGAGTATGCAAACTGATATTGGGATTTGCAATGCAAAACGGGCAAAGAATGCCCTTTTGAAATGCTTAAAGAATGTAGCAATGCTAATCATCGGAAGAAGAATGCAAGTTACCATACGATTATCATGCAATTTGATAGACAACAAACTGGGGGAAACCCGTTTTTGCTTAGTTGCATATTTCGGTCTGAATGTTTCCCTTGTAGGCTTGTACGGCTAAAAGTTCTCCTATATATAGCTACTTTAAGTGAAACCTGTTTTGTGATGATTTCAAATGAATGTGAAAAGAAATAAACGAGTTATTTGTCAAGCTTGATTTCTGTGACACACATCGTCACACCCCCCAAACGCCTACGCTGTTTAAATATTTTCTGATTTCGAAAGCAAAGCTCTGCGCTTTCCCACACAGAAAAGCTAACCAAAATTTCTCTAGAAGAACCCTGGTCTGATTAGGATCATTTTGCGATGAGAATATGCCATTTTTGAGATCACAACAAAGGCATTACGAAGGGAAAATAGAACTGATATCATCTGATTATGGACTTTGTACTTGGAATATGACCTCCTTAAACAGGAATTGTCCCTAACTCTATTTTCATTGCATAGGAAATCTGATCATTTTCTTTTTAAGGCTTATACTTATGACCCAACCTATACTTGTTTGTACACATTTTTTCGAAGTACAATAACGCAATACCTTCCTCGACTTGATAACGAGAACTACCCGTTGCAACACCAAATAATATGGAATCATTGATAGACTTTGCCTCAACGGCAAAGTTGACAACGCAGGATACTGGAAGAGACGCGGGAGTCGCTCTTCTTATTCCTTGTAAATATAAAGCTTTCTTGCGATTGTAAACATTCATAACGTCCAAATAAATTCCTTGACTCTTAGCCATCGTTCGTATAATCTCTCTTCCAGGGATTCCAGCCTTGGCAATGAAACTCTCCTTGGAGTAAAACAGTCCTGTTTCATCACAGATTTGTGCCCAAGCTTGTAAATGAAAAGGCATTGTATCTACGAGTGTTCCATCACAATCGAAGATTATAGCTTCGATATCGTTGGGTAAGGGAGGAATGCGATCCATTTCGTCGTTCGACTTCATTGACAAATATCAAGAAAAACGAACTCCAATTGACAATATTTGTAGATTATCCTAGTTTTGAAGATTATTCTATTCCCTCTTGTGATATTCTCTCTTTACGACGGAGAATCTAGAGTTTCGTGCGTCCACGTTGAGATCATCATTCATTTGAACCTTTAATTTGCAACATAAAGGTATCTATTTACATCTGTCCATGGGTGACGTCACGTCAAATATGTTTCGTGGCACGTTTGACTTTGAAGAGATATTTCATCAAGCTTCTATTGGATTTAAACTGCGATTCTTTTTAGGAGACTTAGATCTGCTATAACGAAGTCAGACGGGGAAATTTTGCTGCAAAATTTTGCATTCACACAGTGTTAATAGTCTCCATTGTGTGAAAGCATTTCCGCCGACAATCGTGGACTTTGGTCTCCCTGTTCATTGAATGAAAAATTCATCTCTGAAAATATCACATCTTGCATTATAACCACATGCAATCATCAGGCTAAGTTCTGTGTTTTGCGGGTGAACAAGTTATGTGATTTATAGAGAAGAATTAAGCTAAATTCTTTGATTTCGCTGGAAATACAGTTATAGCGATGTTGCAAATTATGTTCCATATATGGACAGTAAGGAGGCGGGGTACGGGTTTGTTTGTGTTCATAGCAACATGAAAAACGTCTTTCAACGGAAATCTATAAGCGTTTAATGCGTGCTGATTGTCCTGACTTGATCTAAAAGGTTCCAAATTTAGTGATTGTTGTTCCTGTACTGCGCTTCCTCTATCTATATATTGCCCTTGATTGAAATTTGAAAGAGCCGGTTGCGATGACGTGTTTAGGAGATAAAAGGATTAAAGTCCAGTTACCCCCTGTTACTCCACAACACTCGTATTTTGACAACCGTGGAATTTTATTGATTTGTGGGAACATCGATGTGATGTTCGTTTGTTGGGAGAATGCAACGGTAGTTACATAATCCTTTCCCGAATGTAACACGAGCAAGCACGAGCCGTGCCGATAGTCTCCGAAGCAAAGCTAACCGGTTGCGCAGCAACGGGTATTAAACAATATGGCGGCCAAAATACACGTTAAATATCCATAAAATCAGGTTGTGCTGTGTTTTCCTCGAAATTCCACTAACCGAATGGATTATAAATGATATAATATGATTATTAATCAAAATAGTATCAAGTCAAACGACAGTTCTTTGAAGGAGAGTAAGTACAAAGTAGAATCGATGTGTTTTCAAGTACAATGTGGAAAGAGATATGCGATAAAATGCACACAAATGAGTATTAATGACAGAATATTGCTTAATCTATAATCAAATAACTCTTCCCAACAATATAGATTGGAAGAAGCATGGTGCTGAACTATTTCCTTGTGCCTCTGGTGTCCAAGCTCCCTATGTAGGTCAAGCTGACTCAACATTTATTGCGTCTAAAGAACACCATGATCTTCATCCAACGCCAACTAACTTGTCAGACACATCATTTATAGCTGATGAATTGCCTGCACAAAAATCGAAAAAGAAGTCACCTCAAAAGACCAGGCTCCTTGGCGATGTTGTGGACCCATTTGCTCACACGTCTGTGGCGAGTTTGCAGGAATTGCTGCCTCAAACCCGCTTATATCTTCCGGATGTTGGGAAAAAGAGAGGAAAGAAGCAAAAACAACAAAAAATGAAAGAAATAAGCAGCGGCATGAGCTTTTCACAAGATGTAATGGCATTTCGTTGCTCTCATTTGATCGATTATGATGAAGAGACGATTAACAAAACTGTGTATCAAGGATCGCGGAGTCGTAGGCAGAAACGAAGAGATCAACCTTCACCTACTGGATTTCCCCCAAAACATACGTTATGTCATCTTAACGAGCACGAACAAAATAAACTTGTACATAAGCCAAAAGCTTTTGTTGAGATTGACAAACAAATGAAACATGAATTTGAGGAGATATTGTACTCGGTTGCAAAATCCACGAGACCTTTTAGATCTAGTGTTGGAAAATTCGAACAATCTGAAAAGTCAGCGGAGGATAGTCCTGAATGGGATGAATATGTTTTAGCCTTGCTCAGTCAGTCTACAGCAAGATGGCTGAGTGATGAATTATCCAGCGGCCCTGAACAAACTCGGTTGGTAAACTTTTTAAAGAATCGTTATGAAAAGATGGAGAATAAGGAAGACGACGAGTCCGCATCAGCTACGCAGTTGAAAGACGAAACACATAAAAGAGAAAACAGTAAATTTGGCGAAGAGCTTGATAAAGTTTTAACCGATGCAAATTTTGAGCCACATTATTCCCCATCGTTCACTTTACCTCCTGCGGTTGGAAAAAAGAAATTTACTACGGATAATATCTTTCAACAAGAGATGATGGCTGGCGCGTTTCCTGTTAGGACTGGCCGAGCGCCTCGTAAGAGCATTGTCCTCGACACGAACTCGCATTTGAAATTTGAAAAGAAACTTCAAGCGAATTTTCCAGAAGATCCGAACAAATGGTCAAAAGGAAAAAACCAGAAAGCGGCGAAGTTACCCGGAAAGGTCGTGAAAGGTTTGCAAAGATGGAATGAGTTACCAGCGTTGCTGCAGGTGAGAACCTGTACTGTAGAGGAGTGTTTAGGTCAGTTTTCCGCGCGATGTTTGATGACTTAAACTGAATATTTGTTACAGGACGACACGTATGTTCCTTCATTTCAAACATTTGAAAAACCGAAGAAAACATTACGAGAGATAGAATTGATGTCTGCTCATAAAACACGGGAGGATAACAATATACTACGTATTGGTAAAGATATTTATTCACGTTTTCCTGCAGGAATATCACTCTTTTAAACGCTGTAAAGTCCTTGCTTTTCACGACACAAACCACTACTTATCGTGCCCAAAACAAACTCAACTCTTCCTGAGCATTTGTCTTTGAAAAGAAGCATTTCTGTGTCTCCCGAATCATCCCGATTTTGACGATTAAACCTGAATGAATGCAGTATTCAGAATAGTTAAATATTTAGATTTCGTGGTTGTTTTAGGTGAAGAATGGAGAACTAAATGGATGTTGGAAAAGCGCTGGCAAACCGCTTCAACTGAGGAGCTCATTCGTGGAATGAAAGACATCAACGATCACGTAAGACTAGCGGCTGTGGCTGCTTGCAACAAAGCTGCTGAACTCAGGCAGCGCAGGCGAGCTGAACAAGGATTTGGTGAGAAATTTCGAACTGGAGATTGATGATTAGTCCTTGTATGTACATCCTCGTGAATACTTGATTTGATTTCTTGTCTAGTTTTACGACCGGATAAAGCGAGTTTGGACGCTGAAAAGATGAAGAAGGAATTGGAACCAGAGCTTTTAGATTGTATTTCAAATTTACTTGATGATAGTTGCAAGCAGGTGCAACTGACTGCAGCTGTAACCTTGTGTTCACTGGATATTTCTGAACCAAAGGTAAGCAAAATTTCGTTCAAAACCACACGCGGAGAATCATAAACTGGATATTCATATAGATACGTTCCGATATAACCAGCGTGGCAGCGTCTTCAAACAACTTAGCATCAAATGTGGTATAACAACTGCCTAAAAGAGACAAAACACTGCTCGACGTTTCGACCTGAGGGGCTTCGTCAGGAGAGTTAGTAAGCTACTATAAACTCTCCTGACGAAGGCCATCAGGTCGAAACGTCCAGAAGTGTTTTGTCTATTTTAGGCTGGGTATTCATATATCCTCTTCTCCCATAACCATTCATCTTTTAGGCGGTGGAGATTTTAAAAGATTGTGTCCAAAATGGCAACGATATTGAACGCTGGTTATCTGCTCAGTGTCTGGCCCTATCAGGACATTCTGCTGATTATATTATCACAGAATTATTATCGCAGACATCCAGCACAGATCTCGTTCGACAAGAGCAAGCCGCTGTTTTACTGTGGAAATTAAGCCATCATTCGGTACGTTTGGAGGCCGTACGTTCTGAGAGGATCCTTTCCGATTAAAACTGCGAAAAAATAATTATTTCTTCTTGTTTCGTCAGTCGCTGGTTCATTCGGTGGTCGCAGAGTTACTAAACAGCAGCAGTTGTCATGATAGACTTGTGGCTTGCCGACTTTTACCTCGTTTGAAAGGATCTTTAAATAAGGTATGGCGAAAGATATGCTAAAGACTATAGGACGAGAGATCAGATACGAAACTACAGTGCTCAGTCTGTTAAAAAGTGGGAGGCTGGGGAGAAAGAGCGGCTCAAAATATGCAAACTTCTTCTCTAGGATATTGCTCAGAAGCTTTCCTACATGATGTGGAATGATTGGGAGAAATCCGTGCGAACTGCGGCGGCGCAGGCCCTGGGGCGGACCGGGAATGGCAAGGTAAGCCAGTGACTGACCGCTGGGGGAAACTTGATTAGACGACTGATATATATTAGCAACTGGATGACCCTCATTATTGCTTCATTATAAAGCTTGTTCATGACGCATTATTGAAAAGACTTCAGGAAGACAACGAAAGGGTGAAGACTGATGCTCTTCGCAAGGTACATCCGCTTCAGTTTGATTTTCATCATGAATTTAATTTACCACATTAAATTTGTCGTTCGTGTGATTTTTAGTTGGCCAACTTGGGCATCATGACGGTCCACTTGCTACCAGCCTTCCTGTCCTGCTTCAAGAGCGAGTTTGTTTCTGTGAGATTAGAAGTTGCTACGGTAGGAGTTGCCATAGTTCACGTTTACGCTAAACTTTAGGGTTATACTGATGACGTATTCCTTTCCCCAGGCTTCTGGAGCTATCAATACCCCGGATGACAGGATCGTCGCTGCCTTGGTTGACCTCGCCAGCGAAGATCACAGTTGGAAGGTCAAAGCTCATTCAATAAATGGTAAAATATGAAGAGTTTGTGTGTCTCTTTCTGTCCATATCGTTATTAGAATTTCCTCTTACAGCTTTAGGAAAAATCGGAAAAGTAACGGATGGCGTCATAGAAATGTTGGCATGGAGCATGCGTTATAGCAAAGAGGCCGCTGTACGTGCTGAAGCATGTAATGCTGTTGCAAAACTTGGCCTCAAAGATCGACGCGCATTGAGTGTGCTACAAGACAGATTGATCGTTGAAACAGATGAAATCGTACGAATGTAAGTCTGGAGAGTAGTGCATGACTAGAGAGTTAATGCAACCTTCATCAAATCTATAATCAAACTTAATAAATAATATCAGACTTTCTGCGTTTAACTCAACCTCTCCTCCGTTATTAGCGAAGCTGAGCGAGCGTTGAAGAGTCTAGAAGTGGAATTCACAGGAGATTTAGAAATGTTGAATGCGATACAATCCGAAGTGAAACGCCTGTGTAAAAAAGACAACGTCATCTCGTGTATTTTACAACGTGATAAACAAGAAGATTATAACAGAGACTTTGAGCGTCTGATCGCGGCCGATGTCAAAACGCCGCTCAGCTGTAAGGAATCAGCGCATGCGTCGGAAAGGTCCGTGAAATCTAGCGAAGGCTGGAATCCAATCCTCGCTGGATTTCGCGCACGTTCTGCCTTGTCCGAGCCCAGTCCACCAATGGTGATGAGAATGGAGCGATCACGATTACCCGTCGACCTGAACAGCGCAACGTCTGAAGGAAGTGAAAGGACTAAGTCAGAGCTAGACTCGTATCCAGATTCAATGAGGTCAAGATCAACGACTGTTGACGAAACCGATGCGGTTGATGGTGAAAATTATCCAGTTATAACTATAGATCAGAAAGATGATTCTGCTGAAAATATCTCATAATTAAACTGAATCAGTATTAATATTATCCTATCACTTTAAGTGTTAATACTTTGACAAGGATGTAAAACAAAAGTGGTATATACTTTGAAATAGAAAGTGTCTGAATGTTCTTTAAGCTCTATAAGCCTATGTACACACAAACATTGTTTTTGAGCGTTTCCCTGTTCACCAATTACATGTAACTTTTATCCTGGTGTTTGCAACCATTCTGGAGATTTTTATCATGTTTATTCAAAAAACAATCATTCCTCAGTGATCACTGATAAATAGCCATTACCTCTACCGGTGACCTATGCTCTTACACTATTTGTGTTTCATTGTGCTATTCTCATTATGCTCTCATTGAAACGTTAGTCACAAGTGCCTCATGTGCTGTGTTCAGCTTGCAATAGCTGGGTACAGATTCCAACTTCGAATTCAGCCCACTGAACCAGAACCTATGACGCAACATATGTAACCCAAGAATGGGACAAATTATATTGCCACATCGTGTCATTTTAGAAGTAATATCCATGAACAGTACTATCTTTGTCCACACACCTGCTGTGTATAATATAACATGTTAAAATGCATCGAAAATTGCTCAGAAGACAATATGGCATATTTAAAGCTGATTTTTTAAACTACAAAAACAACCTGTTTTAATTTGCCGACGATAATGAAACATTATTAAAAAGGGTGAAAAGAAAGCGGCAAGGTTGTTATTATGTTGCCATAGCAATGAAACTGTGACAAAAATTAGAGTTCTCCTTGGGCAAGATTGGACATACGTTGCCAGGTCAGGACACAACACGCAATTCAAAAGCGGGAGTATTTAGAAGAATTTTCAGGTGGGTTTTTGTGTTTCTCGATGTTTATTATATCTGTCATCTATATGATATTAGGATATCAATGAATGAGGCCATTTGCTTGAAACGTTTCACCTTGAAGATTTTTCATAATTCACCTTCACGAAAATTTTCAGTCGCGCTACAAAGTTTCCCGTCCGGACACATAATGTCGGCTTGTTACATCTATATAAATATATATGTGTGTAAAGGGTGGTTTAATTTGGGCACCTTTACTTCAAGGTTTCCTTGTGATCTTTTACGGATATTTCCGGACAAAACCGCCCCTGTTTACACTTTGACATTCAGTATACAAGAAGCTAAGTAAAAAAGTGACACATATAAAGCTGGGTTTTTTTTCAGAGAACAAATGCACCAAATGGGCACAATTTATTGATAATTGTTCCGTATTTCATTTAACGTTTTCTTTCCTTGCGATCGTCAGCATAGATAATCTTAATTTATTAGACAGCTGCCCGATTCCAATTAACAGTTTTCGCTCCGATTAGAAACTAAAAGACGGTTTTTCCAAATACTTTTTATTTAAGAGCTCTCAGCTATGCGATCGACCTATAGGCAGGCTTAAACATGTAAAATAGGCTTTCAATGGGCCATCAGAGGGATATCCTTCAACAAGTACTTCGGGCCGCCCCAGCCGAATGCTATATAATGAATAAAATATTTGGTCAAATGTTGTTTTAGTTTATAATATGTTCAACCCAGGCGACTCATCGGCAAGTTTCATCTCTTTATATCATGGAAACATATAAAATCAGACAGTTTGTACCTTTAAAGATTAGAAACGACTTACGATGATACGTCACAAAAGCTTGCAATTATTGCTTGTAACAGCGTATGCCGGTCTCCTGTAGCGTCTGAGCAAAAAAACATGAAACAAGAGAAGATTAAACTTCTCTATATGTCTCGCAATAAAAACTGGAACCTTGTATTTATCACTGAGGGTCCCCAATTCAGACCTATCCAATGTCACTTGCAGTTTTCATTGAACCTGGTAACCAAGCCATACACCTATTATTCTAGATTCATCTTTGCTTGCCCACAAACGCCGCTCGCCTTTCTCAGAGAAGGCGTAAACTAGCGTACTATTCTAGCTGCGCCTCACGGAAACAGCTGCTTTTGAGGTTACCATTACACTCGAAATTTCCATTCATAGTAAAAATTAAAAATACATGAACCTTGAGCAGGTCAAGCAAAATGCTTGGAGCAAGCGAAAGCGGTTAATTCCTATAAATACACCTTAGTAATAATGGTATTTGAGCGGAGACAACGGTTTAGATTACTTTAAATTAAACTAAAAGTGCCGCAAGTTTGGAAAATTAAAGAATGTCTTAAAGGATTTATCAACAGTTTTCACTTGAAGATAACAATTGAGGTGAAACTCAAATGGTCTATTTTCGAAACTATAAGCATGCGATTTCATGGACCGATTGCATTAAAATCAATTGATAGATATCTCTCTTGTCGTAATTGCGTTGAGCATTTCCCTGTATTGATTGCATTGACAGCAATAGATCATGGTTCATGGAGCGTTGCAATGAATTATCTATTGTCATGCAAATTCGGTCGGCATTTAACAGAGAAGAAAACATGTTTGAAACAGCTTTTGGTCTGAGTTTTTCGACGCTGAAAATGATTGAGAACTAAGATGTTAGGTAATAAAATAAATCTAGAGATTATATCAATAGCAAAGAGGCGGATGATAGGATAAAATAAGACTGTCAATGAATGTTTGTTACGAGGATAGAAAGTAATTAGTTCTCCAATCACTAAACATTAAACATACATTAAAAGGTGTATCCAAAACAAAATCGTATTCAAAGCAACAGCGGCGGTGTAGCGGTTGTCTCGACCGCGTCGTCAACTTGAAGCATCTTTAGTTTGCTGAATATGTGAGCGGTGAAAACGCTTTGAAGTCTTGGAAAACGCACACATAGCCTGGTAGGCACCCGTTAATTTACACTGAAGTGCATAGAGTGTTGACACTAGCGCGGGGTTACCTGCTGAAAATTAAGGTTTGGAAATTCTAGATCGGCAAGAGGTTCGAATAGATGCATCAAATTTGTGATGTAAAACAGTTGCTATTGATCATTTCTCTCAATGGCAGACGACGTTTTTTGTCATTGTGTCACTCAGTATACACCTAATAAGAACATCAAAAAGCTTGTTTATGTTTGGTTTATGTTTACGTTTTCACTTTTTTAGCCATTATCCAAGAAGTTTTAAAATGTTTCCACAGGAATAAACTAACTATTCTCAATTTTTTTCACTATAGCAACAGACCAGACTCGCGTAAGCCATGAAGACACTCTCAAACATCGTTTTTCTTTCCTGCGTATTCCTTGCAAGTAAGTTTTTAAGATATGTTTGCTCAATGTGTTCTCAACTTCAGAATTCACAAATGTTTACAACGATGAAGTACAAGACGAGTATTTCGTCCAGTTTGATGATAATTTATTGTTTGCAAGGACATTTTTATCACCATATCAACCCAAGACCTTCCCGCTCATAATGACGTCCGATGTTGCACGAAATTTTTGATTGGCTCTGCAAACTTTTCGCGTTTCATGTTAAATTGAAAAGAGAAACTGATTTTCTGTTTTTTTTCCACAGCTACACTATTTTCCAAAGTTGTTTCACAAAACAACACAAGTTCAATTGGGATTGCAGAAAACAGCACCATGACGTTTGCAAATTCAACACCTCACGCATCGGCTTCCATCGTTATCATCGCGTCATCCAGTATTGCTGCTGTCAATTCTGCGAACTCAACAGAGAATGTCAATGTTGTAGCTTCATCAATCTCTGTCAATTCTATCAGTGCTAAAACTACGTCAGCTGCTGTAAACCTTCAAGTTCAACCTGCCAGTTCAACAGGGAATGTCGGTGCTGAAGCTACGTCAGTTTCTGTCAAACCTGCCAGTTCAGTTGGGAATGTCGGTGCTTCTGGAGAGACCACATCTTTGACATCTCTTCCTGAAAACACAGCTGCTTCAAACGTACAGCAGACTTCAGTTTGGGCCAGTGCTTCACAACCTCAACCAGAGTCTAGTTCAAATGCTGCAGCAATGACCAGCAATATTGTGCCAACTCAATCAAAAGCAGGTACATATTCTTTATAATATAAATATCTGAGAAATTGCTCAGCTGCAAATATATACACGATGTACATTGGTACTCCTCCTAATTCATTTTTATCCCTCGAATTCCAGCAGGACCCCAGTCGTCTTCTGTCTCTACCAACCCGCGTAAGTGAACAAATAATAAATGTCTTATTTCATAAATTAATTTACCGCACGTATGCAAAGTCCCACGAGCCTTACGCACATTATTTTTTATTTTCCTAGTGTCTTGCTATTATTGCAAATACAACCAGACAGGACACTGCGAAAAGAAATCAAAGAAATGCAACTCAGATGGAAAATATTGCATTGACTACAACTTCAAATTCAAGAATGGCGATCAATCAATTGGAAAAGATTGTGCTGTTGAAGAATACTGTAAAGAAGGCGTGTCCAGTGACGATGCTTGCCGATATCATAACAAAACTCAAGAAATAAATGGTGCCATCAAGGACAAGGAATGCAGTTTCACTTGCTGCAAGACCAATTTGTGCAACGACAATTTCTCAGAAGCATCGTTCATTTCATTCCAGTTTGCTTGCTGGATGATAATCCTCGTCTCTCTTTGCTTCGTCACTTAAACTCCTCAGGTCGAAATATTTAAGTTAAAGAAACATAAAACGCAGTCTAAAACGTTTGCCTGCAAATAAACGTAGCTCATATAGGTAAGAACTGTACTCAGTTTATATAGTAGTTCACATTATTTAGAACCAACGGTGTAGTGAATGCCTCGACATTCAGAATTATCAAGTGTAGATATTGTCATTTAACTTTCTAAATATACGTTTATTTTACTTGTACGTTGTATTTCCTCGTTTATATCTTGCCAGATTCATGACATACTTTTATGTAAACAAATAAATAAATTGTTACTAAACTATACATACTCTCAATATTAGCCAAATGCATCTTACCGCCTACATTCAAATATATTGTGAAATGTACTGAACACAAGTATTCTTCAAGGTAAAAATATTCCTAAGAGTCATATCATAACTTATCAAACTTATTTTTCTAACATAATTTATTGGCGGTTTTTATGTTTGGAGTCGTAGCTATATATCCTAGAAAGGAAGTCTCTCTCAAAGGAAGGCATTCAAGAGTGTGTGGGCAGTACAGTACAACGGCGGAAGGGCATGCCTTGTTTATCGTCGTGCTTCGTACGTCCTCAGTAAGATATACTCAAAATCTCCGGTATGTTGCCATATTTGTATGTTTGAAGATATACGACGCGCGGGAGAAGCAGGACATATGGACAGTTGTAAAATCAACAAACCAGTATTGATGTTTGATCTTGATGGCATCAATACTTGGCTGATTGGGAAAACGTTGGAGATTATGAGAATAAGAAGACAATTCTCCTTGCGTGGATTAAGGTTTGTTTAACGACTTCATCATTATTATGATAGTACAAACATGTGTACAGCAACGTTTTTAGTTTCGTCGGATCCTCAAGATTTCATAAGGGCATACTCTGAGCTCCACTATCTATAGTTTTGAAACCGAATTCAGTGCTTTATTTCAATATAAATCAAAATTACTCATTGGATAAGTGCAAACTGAATATAAATGAATGTAATTGTTCGCAGCCTTGTGGTAAAATAGGAACTTTGAATTGTCATTTTGTGTGGAGTCTATCAGTCTATGCAATCGTTAGGTTGATGTAAAGGGTTTCTAAATACTGAGATATCTTTGTTAGTTAAAAACACTTCAAAATGTGATCAGTTGAGACAAAACCTTTCACATCTAAGGTCTTGGACTAAGCGATAAAGTTGACAAAGTCAAAGAGAAGGTAAAGAAGGTTTACTCAAATATTAGTTTTGAGTTAACACGTATCTTCATTGCCGTCAAAACAACGGTCAGAAATGAAGCACGAAATGATTCTTTCCGCCTGACTTTTTTTTGTTCCGTTGTGTTGTCGTTTCCCTCATATTGATCACGTTTGCATGTTGTCATGACAACCGATAACACGAAACATACAAATGATGTCATAGCTGCGCCGACAATGTGGAGATTATGTTGGTTGACGAATGGGAGTATTGTCTAACTTTCGTTTGCCGCGGCTTATCCCTCGTTTAACGTGTGTATATTAAGACAAACATACAGAATATTACCATATCACAAAACATCACCGGAATATTCACTATAAAATACCTTTACGAATGTAAAAAAGACGATATATTACACTGGAACGATAAAGATTTAAAAACAGGAGAGAATTGCCGATTATGGTTGTATCATAATATTCTATAAGCCGTCAATCTGAAGGAGTCGGTTTATCATTGTAGCAATATCGTGACGATGAGAGACCCACGCAGATTTGATCGTTTCTGTCTTTGTCTTTGGGAGTTAATTTAGTATCATTAGAGAAAGGACTCGCTTCAAACGATACCTTATATTGGTATAATCTTCAAAGCGTTTTGTAGCGATTCCGAACGTGTCTTATAAACGCAGTTCTGAAGTTTACAGGTTTCGCAATACAGCTAAGATTGGCCTAAAAACGTGGGAAATAGCAAAACCAACATTCATCCTTATTAGTACTGTTGACGAGACTCGTGATGACGATTGGCCTTGTTTAAGCAATGAAGTAATTACGTCATTTGGTCTCCCTCTAGTAAAAACTATTTTACCAACAATTCTAGCGATAACTTGACAGAAAACTGTTATTAAGTTAATTGAACATGACTCGAATGCAAATTTAGGGCCGTTTTCCAGGTTCAAACGCACCTCGGAGCAATATTTTTAACTTTGATGTTTTTATTCATACAGAGGCAGCCAGTCAACAGATTTAAAGGATGAAGAGATCTATAATTCGGTTCATCGTGTTTACAGACGAGAATTGAGAATATCAAAAAGCAGATATGAGAAAGTGGCAGAATATATCAACGAAGTATTCCTTGCTTTGGCTAATTATGATGCGAGATTTCACTTTGATCCAATGTCCATTGATGACTACCAGTGTGAGATTGTCTCACCGAGTGAACTGAGGGTGATTTGTGAACTCAAACATCTTTCTAAATTCAGCTACGAGGTCGACGGTGAAGCATCAGATGGCAGAGTTCAGATCAGATTACGTGACGATGTTCATAGGTACGATTCATTGTATTTCTACAATGTAATTCAGTGATTATTATCTTTGATCAGCATCTGTTATCATTGATTATCGACATCACTAATTATCGATCCTTGACAATCAATCATCATCATTGCTTCTCTTATCATCATTGTAGATACGACATTGTCTCTTGGGATGACGTATGCAGCAAACGGAACCAGAGAACAGACAAAGATTTTCTAAACACACGAACTGTGCTGGAGGTCTTCACCACAGCCCTGGGACGAGCGGTTCGTGACGTATGGAACAAACACCGGAACGTTGGCCTAGTGTACCGGGTTTCCGGGAACCAAGCTCGAATTTATGTTGATATTCCTGATACCGGATTTTTTACAGTTTCGTTAATCCCTGCGATCAAGCTAACGGAGAGTGCGGTCAAGGGACTGGACACGAAATCAGAGCTTCTCAAAGGCCTGGGAGAAAAGGAAGAATACTTTTCGACAATTTATGCGACCGCGCAACCAAACCGTTATTTCCAGGACGAATCTTGGCAGCTTTCGTTTACAACTTTAGAGAATAGGATTATGAACGCTGAGCAATTTATCTGTGGGCGCGTGTGTTTACACGCATTACGTCATTTGCTTCTCTCGTCCAAGACTCCTCGATGCGGAATCCGAGCGCTGACTTTGTCTCATCTACAGCTGGCTGTCATACAACAGTACGCGCAACATCCTGAAGCAAAGGACTGGACTCCAGCTAAATTTATCAAACGTCTTACGGGAACAATGATGTCACTCAAATCTTGCTTAAGAGAGGGTACATGCGTCAATCAATTTTCAGGGGCAAACGTATTCGCGCAGTTTGACTTGAAATCTTTGAAAGTTCTGGCGAAAGATGTGGAACACGCCAACACAAAATGCAGAGAAAAATTAGCGCGCGTGTCCGTGTAGCTATCCGGAGAGCAAGACGAGATCTTTAAGATCTAGAGACGCGACTTCCAAGAACTTGAAATTGGCATATAAAAAAATAATATACATTCTAATAATCAGTTTCACTCTTTGTAATCTCCCAATTCATGCAGCTTCTAATATATGACACTATCAACCAGAAGTTAAGAAGCAAGTGAAGTACTGTATATATCACGAATATTGATCCACCTGGATTTCTTGTAAATATTAACTATTACTCAAAATATAAAGAAATATATTTCGTTCAAATATTTGGTGAAAAAATATCCAGATATCTAAATCCAGTTATGATTAAAGCATTCGCTGATCATTTCTAAATCCTTAAAAGCAAAAGTTAAAGACTTTTAAGGCATCTTTTTAACCGGAATTTCCGCGATCCTTGAGTTTCAAGAGTTGATATGCATGTGAATGGGCTACCCGTAACCGCAGGCAATAGCAGCTATTTTTAATTATAGTCTTGTTTTCTTTAAGTTAACTTAAAATCTCTTTTAAACCTCGTTCGCAAAACAAAGTACTTAGCTTCAATAATGCCAATTAAACTGATTGATGTAGTTTCTTGCAAAAGAAATTTTATTTGATTTGAAAGTTTGAAATTTAATCATCATGAAAGAGCTACACAGAATTTAATGATCCAAGCTTTTAAGATATCATTTGGATTCATATGAAAGCGATAATTACATGTACAGTTAAAGAAACAGGAAAGAAACTTGTGTTGCTAACTTATCATTATGTCATCGTTTATAAGGCTTAACATGATGATCGATTAGCCTTTCTCACGATGACGTTTTGGGGTACTTTTAATTTTCTGAAATGGGTTTAAAAATTATGTTTAAACATCAAAAGCATTTTCTTAGAATAAACAGACCATTTGAAGAATAAATTCAACATAAAATTAAAGACAGTCGCCGTTACCAAGTCTTACGCTCACGGTTTTTGAAAAAAGTACCCCAAAAATGGCGGCATATTCGTCATCGTGAGAAAGGCTAATTAAAAGCGTCTTTTATTGTCTTGACGCCAGCTTGTTCTCTCAAGGCCAAGGGAAAGACGGAAAGTGTGTCCAATATATGTTGAATTAGCTCCAATTTCTACCGTAGATTGATAATGGGTACATCCGTTTTCGCCGATGGAAACAGAAATGAACACACGAAAATGATATCATGCATATCCCTAGCCGAAATATATTTTTTTCTGTCGAAGAGAATAAAACAGAAATTATTGCAGATGAAAACCTTAACATGCACATTGTCATAAGACAGAGATATGTAAATATTCAGACTTCTAATAAAAGCCTTTCACCTGTTGGAGTCTATGAAACAGGCAGATGCATGCTTTTCATTAATCAAAGAAGAAAGGCCAAGTCTTTCAAACACTAAGACTTACATAAAATCAAAGCCTACAAAGTTACAGTCAGCAATTCGACCAAAAAATGACAGGCAATGTATTGTGAAATTTGAAAACAGGAAGGCCAACCAGGATGCGATATTGACCAGGAACAAACTTTGTGTATTCACCTTAAGTACTTGAACAGGAATTGAGTGTCATGTCAGAATTAAGACACACTCGTGGCGTGAGATATCACTGATTGTTCAGAGGACAGTGCGTTCAAAGACGTGAAGACGCTGTCTCAAAAGCTATATATTAAAGATTGTTGTTAATCTTTGGGGAAGTGGTTGAGCTGTCAGCTTTCTGGGCCTTTCTGTGATAAATTGTGTTTACATTTCGTGTTGAAAGTTCATTGCGTGTTTCTCAAGACAAGAAACTGGTCCAAAACAAAGCGAGAAGATATTGCCTAAGATCACGACAGCAAAAACATCGCCAGTCTGAGGTAATTTTCAATTTCCAAGTGATATAGAACCATATGGCATTATTTCATAATCATATGCCTCAGCTACAATGAATAAGTAATGCACGAGCTTTGGCAGTACATGCTAATGAGAGAAAATGCTTTGATAAACTACGAAATTATCTAGCTTTAATTGCGCCCTAAACTGCTTTAATAGTTTAACTTTTAGTTCTTAATAGCTGAACTTAAAAACGTTCTTGTGCAGCTGTAGTTTTTGGCAGTCTGATATTCCTTTCCCATGATAGAGTATAAAAACTTAAAGATATGATATCCCCTTGTATATGAAAAACATACTTTATAATATGCATGAAATTAATTATTAATAAAACATGTATGGACAAAAGTCCTGCAACAACAATAAGACATTAAAAGTGTGCCAATATCAATAAAGGATTTCAACTCGGAAGCGTTTTCATTTATAGATTTATATTAAACATGGCCGCCGAAATATCGGACGGTGAAGATATTTTATTCCACAACGTTCAACGTCTTATGCACGAAGACCTCACCAGAGCCCGTGCTGGATTCGACAGAGCAGCTGCCTTCGTAAATGGCTTATTTTGTGATCTTACAAGCATTGATATAAGGTTTGAGTTTGATCCTGTGTCGCTGGATGACTGCAGATGCGAGAAAGTGGCACTCAACGAGTTCAACTTGATGTGTACCTTGAAGCATCTGCCGTATGAAGAGATGGATTTGGAAGGAGATGCAAGTTGTGGAGCGGTCAAAGTTAAATTGGCTGAGAGTTATCGAGACAGGTTAGCGATATTTTCTTTTGTGAACTCATTTGAATGCTCCGGCTCAAGAAGCGTTGAAGCGGACCCTAAGATAACCCTTCCATGCAACAGGTTTTGGACAGAGAACTGTTGGTAAACTTGTAGTCCAAAACTTTTTTTTAAAAAAAAAGTATTTGTGACCGTCTATTTCATTCAGAAACGAAGGATTACAGTAGTAGCTACAATCTCGTCAGGAATTGCTTTGTTGTTATCCCAATATGATAATCACAACCATGTACAAAAGAATAGAACAAAGCTGTTTTTCTCTACACCTTCATAACGTAGCAAAACCTAACTCTTAGTTTCCATAGTGCCCAGACAAAACTAATGAGTTCGGTCTGACTTCGGCCCGACTTCGACCAACCGAACACACTACGGCACATTCCGTAATTGGAAACATCATTCGCATTTTTCTTTTTTTACAGTTACGACAAAGTATGCTGGGTAGACGTGTGTTCACAGTGTCCTGGATCAACAGAACGCTATCTGGATACAAATAAGATCCGTCTTTCCTTGCACCGTGCGATACAAACAATATTATCATGTGAAAATCAAGAGGGTGCGTCTATCATCTGCCAGACGAAATGCGGGTTTATTACTTTGGTTGTAAATCTTCACCTCAATGGTGTTTATAAATTTAACTTATTACCAGCGATGTGGGTGAGCAGGAAGTGCTCTGCTTTAAAGAAATTTGATGAAAGAATTGCTCACGTGTTTAACACTCTGGACGACACCGACTGTGTTGAATGCATTCAAATTGTAGCCCGACCAACCGCGACGCTTCAAGACACACTTTGGAGGATCACCTTCAACGATCTGGAAAACAGAATCCTGAATCTTAAAAAATTCTTCTGCGTTCAGCATTGTATCTTTGCCATACATTCCCTTCAAAAGAAACACCTTCGCGCTAAAAGCCTTCCTAGTTTATCTCTGTATAACATTCGTTTGATTACTTTGCGAGAAATATTAAGGAACCCACAGCCGAAGGAGTGGTCAGCAGGAAGATTTGGCGTTCGTCTGGATGCCATGCTGAAGTCAATCAAAACAGCTTTGAATCAGAAAACCAACAATAACATCTTCACGCATGTCAATATCCTTGGCAATTGCAACAAGAGAGATTTGAAGCTGTTAGGTCGAGAATTCAGTCGAATAAGAAAATTCAACAAGCAAATATTTTTGCTGTCTTGAACAATTGAAAATATCGCAATCTTTGGAAAAAAATAAACTATTCTTAAAATTAGTTCACTTAGCAAAGCCTTGTTCAGATTATAGACCGATGTTAAAAAGAATATTATCAGAGATTTATCAAACGTGTATTTTATATAACAAAATAAGTGAGTAAAGTTCTATGATAGATATGAAAGAATATTTTGTTGAATAGTACAATCGATTTATTGGCGCAGCGCGGCTAGAATTGGTACCAGTAAACAATTTTATTTACCAACATAAAAGCCGAGTAAGGATGAAATTGGACGGGTAGTCGAGGGTAGACTTTATACTCGTGCCAAAAAAAATTGAGTGCAGTGTAAACAGGGCAGTCAATTGAGTCAAATATGTCAGATCTTAGTTATTTTGAAGATTGGGAATAACGATCACAATTATAACCTTTTATCATCAAGGGTTAATTGCTTGTGTAACTAAATTTATAGTCCATAGAACTACGAGTATTAAGGCATTTTCCCGCGACCTGCTGTGACCTACCTACGCTCACAACCATATGTGATAAAATTACATTGTCTTGAGCATTTTAGTATTTCAATGATACAAGATGCAAATTATGTACAGCTCACAGCTGGGGTTCTACTTTCTTACGAGGAGCTTTGATTATATCACAAATGATTATTTATTTTTGTTTTGGAAATCAAACACGCAATCTAATTTTGGAAGATATGTTCAGTTAAAAGTCTGGAAGATTCCTTTCTGCCGACTTTTATATATCTCGTCAAGATAGTTCATTTGCGTTTGAGCTTTTTTTTCATTTGAGAGTCAATGACAACATTAAACATTATGTAATGAAGTTTATACGAGCCTAATAACTATTTGGAAACCATAGAGAGAGATTTGAGATATTGACATATTTCAGTAAAGTTTCGTTTATCCTAAACGCACGATATGTTGTTTCAAACAACGGTGAAAATGCGTGGAATATGATGCTTCGACTACAGCAGCACAAGAGAAGGTACAGGTCTAAACTCTAAATACTATCATTTTGTACAGTTACTTTCATCTGGAGTACATTTATTAATAGTTCACGTTCATGACGCAAGCTGCTTCGAAATCCAACAAGTGTATATTTCTGTGCTCTTCATTTTCGCGTTAGTTTGAGCGATGAAAACTTGTTCCACTCGTCTGATAGTAAAAAAAACGGAGTTATCAAACCATGACTATTCACAATGACAATATTGCAACGAGTTTGTTCAATGACGTATACAATACTACCGCAATAACGGCAACAACTTTACGTTGACCAAAACTGTGGTCTTTCTAGTGCTATTTTACAGATGGTCTACTTTCTTTTTGATTGAACGAAGTGAATGTTTAGAGCTTTCCTGAACTACAATCATACATTCCCATACATCAGACACTTTACAAAAATCATCGTGTATTCTTGATATCGTGATTGTGTGAATCTGGTATTGTGCGACAGTCTTCAGTAGTTTGTGTTATCATTCATGCTATTACGTGCTTGTATACTTCTCAGGTCATAAAAAAATAATGAGATATATTCACCACAAATAAATATTCACGTACAGTGAACGTTATAAGACCGTGTATTGCCCGTGCACAGACTAGACTTTGATTAAAACTGACGCTGAAGATTGAAGAAGACATGAAAGACGACTTGTTTTTCCTGTGTTTAGTTACATTGTAACCTCAAGAAAAGACAAAGAAGCTGAAATGAACAACAAGATTTTGGAAAGCGTGAATTCCTTAATGCATGAGGATAAAGCGAAAACGCAAAGGGCATTTGATGAAGTCGCTCCATTAGTCAACGAAGTATTTCACGCGCTGGCAAACTACGATATAAGATTTGAGTTCAGCGAGCTGTCTCTTGATTCGTGCAAGGTTGAGAAGATTATGGAGAAGGAGTACACCATTTTGTGCCCTTTGAAGGAACTACCTGAAGAACATTTGAGATTGGAGGGGAAAAATTCTACCGGAGCATTGGCTGTAAGATTAAGCCGGACATACGAGGACAGGTAGGGAAATATGAGGATGGTTAGGGTCAATGTGGGGATAGATGGGGTGATTTAGGGAATGGTTAGGGTAAATGAGGACAGGTAGGGTGATATGGGGATAGTTAGGGTAAATACAAACAGGTAAGGTGATAGGGCACGATTAGGGTGATATGAGGATAGTGAAATGAAGGGAAAGAGGTGGATGATTTGAACAGTAGACAGAGTTAAAATGAGTATTTTATTTCTTTTTTGATGTAGCATTGATAAGGTTTCCTGGGAAGACATCAGTTTACCACCAGATGAAAAAGGATGTCGATATTTCAGCACAACCAGGCTACTTCAGGTTCTCATTGCAAGACTTAAACATGCCATTCATGATGTCATTCCTACTGATGGCGAAAACAACGATAAAGAGAAATCCTTGAGTTGTAAACAGAAAAACGACATGGTCTATCTTGAAGTTAAGGTAGATAGATATTCATGGTTTTAGGAGGAAGGGAGAAAGTCATTTGATGGAACCAATAAGAAGTATAAGAATTGCAATGCTTCTTCATATATCTACTTGTAATATTTAGTCAACATTTGCTAATCAACTACCCTTGTTTTCATGCAAATTTTTTAGGTGTCCGACTGCTGTCATCGATTTAATTTACTCCCCTGTGTTCCTCTCAACGAAGGAATCATGAAGTCTTTATCCATGGACAGCAGAATCACAAGAATTACAAAACATATGAAAATAGAAACAACGGAAACTGCTTACCTTGTCGCCAAACCTTTACAAAAACATCCTGAGAAACTGTGGCGTATAACAGTTAATAACATTGAAGAAAGTATAGTTCGCCAGATATTTGATTCAACTGAATGCGGAAATCATTGTCTTTTTGCTCTTACTCATATGAACGAGCAACTCTTTTCTGAAAAGAAGAACAAAGGTTTAGTTCCTCAATACTTGACTCGTATGGCACTCCTGGAAGAGTTCTTAAAATATCCAAACTTGAACAATTGGAAATCGAAATATTTCACAGTTCGTGTTGAGAGCATTCTCCGTAGTTTGGAAGAGCATTTGTATAAAAAAGATTTAAAGAATATTTTGACTGGGGTGAACATCGTCGCCCATCGTGCTAAAGACAATCTTGGAGAACTCTTAGATGATGTAGAAAGAGTAAGGGTTGAATTTAGAAAATATTTTAGCTAGATAATACGACCATTTGACTTGCAAACAAAAGTAAAGTTACCTGACTATAAAAATGCACAGACGTTTTCAAAACCTGACTTGTATCACACATTAATATCAGACAGATTAAATTCAGAAGCCCACGTTCCTGGAAGTTGTTTTTTTGTTTGCTTTACTTACCACTAAATATTTCACATTTTACTGCATTGTACAGACGTCTTTTTGAAATTAGCTCGGAGACTATGAAGGGAGTTGCCAAAAAAGTCGGCCATCTTGTTTTTGATATTTAAAAGCTCAACTTCAACCAATCAGATTGCAGAATTAGCTACTGCTAAAGTCCTGGGAAAAGTCGCACTTTAGTACTTTACAACTTTACATTACGAATATTGTCCGCCATTTTCATAACCAGTTGATGAACTTTTTTGGGCAATAAATACTAAGTGGTTGCTCCGCCTCCTGGCTAGTTTATTGCATATTATTGCACACTGAGTGGGCCTTCTAGTTCTCTCATTATTCTGTCATGATAGGCCCTTAATAATTTTACCAAAAGCTAGTCTTCAGTGCCTTGTGTATCACCAGTTTACAACTGATGTAAACCTGCTTTGTGCAAAACACATCTAAGCGTTTACACTATTGAAAAGCCTGATTTAAATCTGATTTAGCCAACCAGTTGTGAAGGACAGCAATCTCCTCAAAGGCTAACCCAAGCAAAAAAATCATTGCAATGTTTGCCACTATTTTGCTCATAGAAAGTCTTTAATTTTTTATAACTTTACCCCAATTTTTACTAAATATCATAATATCTAAATAATAGTCAAGCCTATGCGTATGTCCCCACTATTCATTAAACCCATCTATAAGTAACCATTAATATTATTAACCAGAGGTATGGAGGTATTCCCCCTCAACAAATTTAGTTCCCTTCTGATTACTAACTCCACGAAGGCTATCCAATGAAGTGTTTCTATTCATGCATCAAATCTAGTTTCGTTCTCATGGTTAACTCCATCAAGACAATCCAATGAAGTGTTTTTATTCATGCATTAAAACTAGTTTCGTTCTCATGGTTAACTCCATCAAGACTATCCATATCCAATGAAGTGTTTCCATTCATATCTTGCAAGACGGCATCAGCTAGGATTCTGGAAACATCCACGCCCCTTCCTCTTGCATACGGAACCAAAACACACATATCTCTGGCTTCGGGATCGGCTGGATTTCTTAAGATAGCTTCGAGCGTGCGCACAAACAGCTTGGCTTGCTCATCGCGGTCTTCAACGGTCAGGTTTGCCTCGGCTGAATGACTCATGTCATGCATGGAGCAGAGCGGTGTGGCATACTCAGCAAGGACATACAAGGGAGAATCAGATTCATCGATTTTTACCCTGTAAATGTTGTTACGGTACGATCTATTTGCAATCCCCGCTCTTGAAACATTAATTTCGATAACTCCATCTGCAAGACATTCAATTTTATCATCTTTAGCCTCGTCTGAAAGCTTTCCATACGCCCAACAGTCACGAGGCATCATGATAAACAATTTCCTGGAAGACAAAATACCAGCCCATTTCGATTCTGATATTCTCCTTCCCAGGCTGGGCAGGATTAACCTTAGGTAACCGAAGTAATAGGACCATGCTAAGCCATTCGCGACAAGTCTATTGTTATTCTCCATCAGGGAGGATATCTGGACGCGTGACAAGGTATCCATGCTGAGAAGATACAAAACCAGAGTACTGCTTCCGACGCCACTGAGAATAATTTCAATATATTCAAACTTGAAATATCCTGTTCCTTGAGAGAGCAGCGTTGAACAAATGATAATGAAAGCGACAATCGTAGCAAAGAAAACTGCTCTAAATGATATATCACTGAAGCAGGCAGAAAACATTCTCATCTTGCTTCCATTATACCGTGTATATAAATGAAAATACTCTTCAAACACGAGACACAATCGATTCATAAACTCTCCCAAGACGATCCCAACAAGATTTAAGGACCAAATAAAGATACCAACATGAACGTGTCGTGTGTCCTTTTTGCAGAACATCTCATCCTTCTGAAGCAATGATGTGTTTCCTTCGAAAGCGAATAATTTCTCTGTTTGTTTCGTAAATGTTCCGAGCAGAACAACCATTATGATAAACGACAGGCCAACAGACACAAAAGCTGCTCTTTTCTGCCGTTTTTCAGGTATGGGACCAAAGCCGTGGTTGTCAACATCATCTTCAGAAACTGTGTCATATTCATCAAAAACAATCGCGGATTCTGCCATGTTAGTTTCTGGCTGAGAAAAATCTTCCGTGTATGAACCATACATTTGTAAACCAGGGATTAAACAGCATTTAACTACAAACACAGAACTCGTCTCGTTTTTAAACAGTTCCAAATGAAACTGAAATGTTTACCTAAATAAATATCAATTTTGCTTATTTGCATACACAGGAATTTAAATAAACAGGACATTTCTTGATAATTGTCGTTCCAAGATCGCAACTACTTATCACTGAGAATTGGTTAATACATTTTCATTTTCCTTATGAATGAAAACATTGATCATGTAATTTATCAATTATCATGAATGAAATAATTTACTTCTATTGCAAGGGCAGTAGAACATAGTAGTAAAGACCAAATGGGTTGATTGATTTGATTAAAAGGAGGGTGTATATTCATATAACAATAACGTACACAGGAAAACAGTCGGGGAATCAGTTCTAGCTACGGCCTGAACAAATATTTTACTAATATCACATACCAACAGACAACCTTCATTCACTTTCCTTGTAATTTTGAAGGATGTGATCCAGTGCGATGGCTTTTTGTGATGGGTCTGTAGGGCTGTGATAATGTCTTGTAATTCCTCGCCTCCTTTCATGAAATCGTCAATGTTATTGCTGCTGACGCCAGCACGATGGTCGGTCACGCGGCTCTTAAGAGAAATACAAGCATGTGAAAAAACGTCGGGGGTTTCGCTGGCTGAAGAAGATATCAACGCTGCGCTTACCTGTGGAAAATTATAAGTTCGGATTTTCTCAGATCTTTCTGCGGTCCCGACCTGACGTCTTCTCGCTGCTGATCGCTCCTTATGAGCAGACTCGCGTTCAATTTGAAATAGTTTTGCTCTCAAAACGCGGAGAGCTTTCTGTTTATTCTATAATGGACAAAAATAATTTGAAATGTAAAATACGTGAAAGAAAGCACAGCGTAATTCACCAAAATTTCTTGTAAACATGCGGGATTGATACTACCTTTATCTGTGATCTTTCATCCTGGTTAGAAACGACTATTCCAGTTGGTAAGTGGGTGATCCTAACGGCACTGTCAGTTGTATTAACATGTTGACCACCAGCACTAAAGAAATCAAACAAATATGCAATGAACTCCATTGTGTGATTGATTCAGTACCAACTTCGAGAAGAGTTTATAAATGAGACGAGAAAACGTTATAAATTAAGGGTAAAAAGCCAAGGAAAACTATTCAAACTTACCCAGACGAACGAAATGTGTCAATTTTAAGATCTTGTTGGTTTAAGGTTATGTCAATCTGTGACAAGAGAAGCGCGGATTTTCAAGAATTTTCAATAAATTATTAGCTTATTCTTGTTGCATATCCCAATATTCTAGTCACCAACCTCTTCTGGTTCAGGTAGAACGGCTACAGTCATAGTACTGGTATGCAGTCTTCCCAAAGCCTCTGTCGCTGGTACCCGTTGGACACGATGGACCCCAATCTCATACTAAAAGAATCGACACATCACAAAGGAAGACACATTATGAAATTATGTATCAAAGAAACTAAGATAGAATGAAAGTTATACTTACTTTCAAATTTCCAAATACACTGTCTCCAGAAATACTTGCGCTTGCCTCCTATGAAATAAAACAAATTAAGCTGAACACAATGTGGCTATGACTATGTCAGCATGAGTTAATTTAAAGCCACACAGACCCACACTGACAAACAGAGAGAAAGGGAGATCTGGTTTCAACTTTAGATTTCTGACCAGTGATTTAGGTATTGAGTGTATTTTGTGTAAATGAAAGTTTTCATAAAACATACCTTAAAGCCACCACTTTCACTTTTATTGATGTGAATGACTGAGAATTTCCAATGCTTGTGGATAGAAAATCTGAAAATAGGGGAATTTTTTAATACTGAGTAAAGTTTGTATCATTTGAAATCTGTCTGTGTCATTTAGATACATTGATAGATTAATTTACCTTTGATACATTTGGAACATGTCCATGGTAAAGAGGCATGCCTCTTGCCCACCAGTTCCTAAACAACACATACATGGTAATGATGTTACCATTGGTAATTATATCAAAGATTGAAAGTAAAATTGAAATCTGGATTACTGAATGTCTTGACCAATATTCATTGTGGTCAGATTTCTTGAACACATTACATATTAGTACATATTTCTTGGATATATAACGTATTATTAATTCAAACCTGCCCGTACTTCCAGGATAACATCATTGTTATCTTCATCTTCAGGAGGAACAAGATTGTCAAACAATAAATCCTGGGGTAAAACAGCAGCTATCATTGTTTGGTAGTTTTATTTTGTGAGAGAAAAATCCATTTTCTTTTCAATATTGAAACTAAACACTCAGCAAGGTTAATCTCAATTACTTTCATTTCATTCAGTTCTTGATGATGCATAGATCTTTCTTCTTGAGCAAGTTCCTTCATATCCTCATCTTCAAGCACTAATTGGTCTAATTCACTCAGTTCCTTATTAAAAAATTTATGCTCTTTAAAAATCCTTGAAAGCATCACACAAGCATTGCCCAAATAGTTTCAAACATAAAGAATACCCCTTTACCTCTTGTTTCTTATTTATATTGATCACAATTTTAACCAGAGGTGAATATTTGGACAATGTTTTACCAACTGCACGGCGTTTATCAGCCTGTAGTCCATTTCCCTGAAAAAAAATTAAAAAGATGCAGACCATAGTTCAGAGACCAATCAATCTGTAGTAGGATTTCAACTTTAACTTTGTACCTGTGTTGCTAAAAGTTGTGTAAGTTCAGAATGCTGTTTTACAACATGTTTCAGATATTCCTGAATACCACTAGTGATTCCTAGTTTATGTTTCTCTAAAGAAAAGAAAATAAACCCTAGGAATCTGCTTTCTTGACCAGGGTCTAGCTGGGGTGACCAATCCTACCCTCTTGAAACACACCTTTACTTGAGGCTTTCTGCAATGATTATGCTGAGCGCTCAAGACGCTGTATCCAAACTCCAAAGTACTCTAATTATTTGCATTTTCATTACTACAACAGTAATGTGGTGTTTCCTGATAATACTTAATTACTTCTCCAGTATCTTACCTGTGAAGTTCAAAAATGAACTACTCCTAAACCATCTAACTTTCACAATGCCAGAACCACACAATCGTCCACATATTGCACGAAATAAAAGCATCCTAAAACTGTATTTAGGAATAAATATTGAAGCTCAGTGACAGAAACAGGAGAAAATAAACCGAATATCATACAAATTCTCACAATGAGGCCTGACGTTATATCGTCCGCCATCTTGATTTCGACCGAGGCCCTAATATGAGTAATATCAAATACTTCCAGTTGGTTGTTGGTTAAAATTAATTTATTATTTGATGTGTTAATGGTATAATTTTATGGTAAAAGATATATACACTGTATCTCTATGACAGATTGTTTATTGTTCATTTTGCAGAAACAATTGGTTTGAGACCAGGAACAAAACGCCCAATTATTTTAGACAAAACAAAACACAATTCACCAACAAAAGAGTTTTCAATACATCGTCCTGCCTACATTAATTGAGATGGTTCACAATTGATAGTGGAAATCCTAAAAATCTGTTCTCACATCTTACATTTGTTCTACCCTTATAAAAACATTCATTTAACTATATAAAACTATGTATATGATGAAATCATATAATTGCTCTCATCATGTGAAAAAGTAAGACTGTTCGAAGGGATAAATGATGATCTTCTTTGAGAAATTCTTCACATCTCCCTTGAAGTTTTGATATGTAGGACTCTAAATCCTTCAAATAGCTAAGATCCTCCTGGCTGAACTCTTTCACATCATCGTGATAACACAATGAATAATCATTATGATAACCATGCAAACTTGGCATGTGTATGACGACGTAGCTTTGAAGAAGATACGCTAAGAGTGTGACATACTCCTCCACATCTTCAGCTGAATAACTAAGTCCACCACTTCGTTCTAAATGCAAAAGCAATTTGGTTGATAACAAATCTCACTGGCACAAATCCTGTTTGGTATATTTTGATATAAACAGCACTTACTTGGAGGCTTTCTGTTAAAGTCTTGCAACAAGATTTTCTTCATGCATAACTGTAATTCATCAGTCAGTTTGAAAGCTTTGGGTAATTCACAATAGTTCACAAGCAAAATGCTGATCAAGTGTTCACGGACAAGGTGCGACTGCATTGATCGTAACAGCAATACACGTTGCTCCAGGTTGGGTAGCCCAATATAGAGACCCAAGAGTTCATCTGCCAAGCGCACGGCAACATAACCTTTATTCAAGCTCACAATCATGAACAGTTTTAAAAAGTTTTGCAGTATCTCTAAAAATTCCGCCCTTCCCGTGTGATTTTGAAGGCATTTCTTAAGACACGAAATAACGTCCTTAACACGTTGTATGTTAAAATCAGCGGAAAAGTGCTTTGAAAGTCGCCTCTGTTTTGACTTTAGTGCACCTGCTTTCAGTTCAACAGAAAGCACAGAGAGAAGATATCCAAATGCTAGCCTGCTACATGGTCTTGTATCGTTGAGGTACTTTTCAATATCTTCCCATGTTACATGTATGGCCACACATTTGGTAGGATATCTTTCCAGAATATCATTTAGCAAAGAATATGCCATGCTAACAAGTCCTGAAGTGGACTTCTTTGATGCCATGATGCCAATTAAATTCCTAATAACTACACATGGTGGTGCATAATCATTACTCATCACGTTTTCACAACTCCTAATCATTAAAAAATGTAGTTCCTCATCTTGTAGGCTCTCAATAAGGTACTGATAAGAAGTAGGGAAGTCCCGCGAGCTTTTGTACAGCCTTTTGATGAAATCTTCATTCCCTAACAGGACATGACGAGGTGGCCAGACAAGTTCATTTCGTCTTGAACTTATATCAGTGCTTGGGGTAACTGCAGGTTCTTCCATCACCCTCATCCTCTTCGTTGGAGTTGCCCAATGTTCAAGCGTAGATTGAGTTTTAGTTGGTGTTGTCTCCAGACTCATGGTTGGAGATAACTTCATCTTGTCAAACTCATCTTTCAAACAGCACCGTTTAGGTGATGATTTAAGATATTCTAATAGATTTTTTTGCTTTTTTTCTGATACCTTGCATGGTGATGGGCTAGCTGATTTTACTGTTTTATTCTTCGCAGGAGATCCAATTCCTTTTGGTAAAGTATCCATGTCATCATCCTGAAAAGAAAAGCAAAGGTAAGTATTAAAATTACATGAATAATTTATCATCAGAAATTGAAAGCAACATTTAACTTTACCATGTTCTCTTTCTTTGCTTTAGGACTTTTTACCAGTACACTTTCAGAAAATTTTCCCAATTCTATACTTAGTAAAGGCCTCAAATGGTTCAATTTATCCGGACTAATTTTGAATGGTGAAGTGGGCATCTTGACAGGAGACTTGTCCAGATCTGTTTTTGGACTTTTTTCGTTGATAGCCTTGATCTTTTCATGACTGATAGTTCTTGTGCTGCACAATCTATTCTGCTTTAAGGCTCTCAGTTTCGATTTGCTGAGAGTAAATCCGCAGTCTTTGTCATTGACAGTCAAGTCTATTACATCAACTAGATTCGTCTTGTCAGATATTTTTGTCTTGATGTTGGTAAAACCACTCTCATTTTCTTCCTCATCGCTCGAGATTACAATAACATCAGGCATTTTCTATGCGCATTGACGAAAGCTGCGTTCTTTCTACAATTCCATCTTCAACTTCTAGGCGACAATTTGGACATTTTAGCATTTGTTTGAATTGTTTCCATTCAATGTCACGTTATTACAAAAACACTTCAAGCAGCCATGTTTGAAAACCACTTAATTTATTCTGTTAATCAAGGCTGAATTCTATTGGCGAATGCATATAAAGCGCTCTGTGATTGGTCGAAATTGGCCAATAAAACACCTTCACTGACGCAGCTGTTAATACTTGATGAATGTTTTCTGCATTTTCTGAAAAAAGAAACGAAAAATACAGAAAAAAATCTGGCTTTACTTTTCTAAAATAACAACAAAACCACGAGAAAGGACTAAAGATAGTTACATGATGTCAGAGAGACAAGTTGCTTCTCAGGTGAATGGTAAAAACACTATTAAACACAACCTAAATATTCTGTCACTTTTCCTCTTCTTTGAATTCTTTCATTATTTTCAACGAATGAAGAACTCTAATGTAGCTGTAAGTAATAAGCCAGGCGGTGTTTTCAATGCAAAAGCCATTCAAATATACATTTCACTTATGATTATTTTCAATTGCAGGACTTGAGAGACAATCAACCCGCAAATAATTACGTATCTGAAGGTAAATAAACTTTTTTTAACCATTACTACCTCTGTAAGAGTCTGTCAACATTGTCTCGAAAATGACAACTCTGTTCTCTTCTCAAGTTGTTTGTTGAAACTATTTTGAAAGCAGATACCGAGGAACACGGCAGACAAATGAAAAATCTAGAGAAACTGCAAAGGGAACTGACTCAAATGAAGACAAGATTGAACGATGCATCAAGTTAGTCAGAATCCTCAGTATCACACAAGACATTGCTCTGTGATTCTGTTTGAATATTTGTGTATTTGCTTTAAACCATTGCGCTGTCATTTAGTCAGGAACAGTCAGCAAGTATTAAAGATTGTTAATCTTCATTTACAGTTCGTGCTCACAAACTTAACATCGACGTTGCAACGATGTTCAACCCTGAAACTCTTGCAACTTTGGAGTCTTATAAAGAACAATGTGATATTTGCCTGACAAGAATGTCACAAACCTTGAATGAACCTTTAGATGTCATCGATGGTGTAGCAAAACAGTTACCAACAGCGTAGATAATAAACGAATCACCATACCTTTTAGATCATAGCTTTGTTGGCGTGTTTTTTATGTGTACAACACAATATTTACAATAAAATAAACATCAAAATGACGAATTTCTAATTCACTAGTAGTCCAGGGAGTCCAGGGACCACTCAGCAATGGCTCATGTCCACGTTGTCTACCTGAAGAATCATTTTGAGCCCCCCCCCCACCTCTAAGAGACCCTGGTGTGCCCTGGTATTTCACAACTCGAGACCTTGCCCCCAGGGTCTCACGAGGCATTTGGCGTGTCGGTAGTTGTCGTAGATTGCGGAAATGTTGATAGTTTGTTCAACAGTTCTGAAAAAAGTTGACTCTTTGAGATAGCGTGAGCAGATGGTCTATCAGATGGTTTCTCTGCAAGAAGCCACACAGCAAGTTCGCTCTGAAAAGACAAAAAAATTCCCATTAATCGCTGTAAACAAATGTACATAATGTAGATAATTCTAGCAAGTATCAAGCCCTTATGGAATTGTAGACATCTATGATATTACCCAGTTCATAATTTATTAAACGTTTCCAAAATCTACACACCTGTAACGGCATTTCCTCGGTAAAATTATCTGGAATATTTCTTCTTCGCACACCTTTTAAAATCTAAAGAAAAAGGCATGCAGCTTGAAGTGATAGAACGCCTCACCACCATCATGCACAAGACGCAAAACACCAAGGGCAAGGTCTATTATACCTCAAGTCGTTCCATCTGTGTCTCAAAGATATGGAACAGTTCAAAGAAAATAATTCCCAGTGAAAATATGTCTGCGCGAAAGCAGTAATTTGTGCCAGCTTCCTGCGAACAAAAATGATGTGATTCAGTCAATTTCGTGCTCGGAATTAAAATACAGGCAGTGGAATCTAGTTACCTGTTCAGGGCTGGCATAAAGCTGTGTGCCAACTTGACCTGTCAAATTTTGGTTAGATGAACGCGTTGATTCTGAAAAAGCAGTGAAGAAAAAAGTGAACCATTACTGTCCAAGAGAGCCATGTAATATTAAAATTTGAGAGAAAAGCAAACCTTCAAAACCACTGTCATCGTTGGATGGCGACTGACAAGCAGCCACCAGACCAAAATCACCCACTTTAACGGTACCATCAAGAGCAAACAATATATTCGATGGCTACAAGGAAAAAGAGGCCACATTACATGCTGAGGTTACATTAAAAAATCAATATTTAGAGCAAGTTTTCATTGATTGTTTGAAAGATTACTTCACGAAGTTCTTACCTTGAGGTCTCGATGTATATGACCTTTCTGATGTATGTAATCCACCGCTACAACAAGCTAGAACACAATAAGTAATGTATTTGTTTAGTTAGTTCACCTTATTTAGAGGAACAGATCAGGTGGGAAAACGGACAACGAGGAAGAGTGGGGACAAATTGAATGGATGAAGAGAAATCCTTATTCACGAGAACAGTCTTGGTCAATGCAATACCTGTCTAAATATATCAATACTGTGTGAGAAGTTTCTGTTAAATGCGTTGTCAACGAGCCAATCTTTTAAACTGTCTTTTCGACATAATTGCATCTGAATGTACAGCAGATGTGAAGGAGAGTTTCCTTTTACTAAAATTGAAAAAAAAAATGAAAATGACGTAAAATGTGTACTTAAATTTAAGATTAAGGTCGTAAACACGTAATTCCAGGGTTACTTTGGGGTTACGTTACTTTTTTTCAGTTCAAATTAAATAAAAAAAGAGTTTTTAAGTTTCTGGATTCCACACGCACCTGAAGTCTGTGCTTCCATCTCCTCAATTCCAGATTGATTTGATGGAGATGTTTCAGTTCTTGCAGCAGAACTCTACAATACGATCAATAAAATTATACAAGAATACATAAAAGATATATAGTATCCAGTTAAAGAACACTCACATGACGAAAGACAACTCCAGAACTCTCATCATCTATTTTCCTGCCATTATTATTCCCTGTTGAAAGCTGGGATTTGTCTCGTTCAAACGCAACGTCAAACGAACTGTCAGCTTCCTCAGAGTGCTCAATCTCATCATAGCGCCCTGAAGACCACTCCATATCATTAAGACTGTCTTCATTCTCCACTGTAATTGTATCATGTCTTAGTCGAGATCTGCTTTGTGTGATGTCAACACGTCGTTCATAATCTGAGAGTTGATCATTCAAAGACATTTCCTGCAACTGCATGTCTGCATTTGATGAAGGACTTGTGTAGGACGGACTTGCTGTGTTGATGGTCGGGCATTTACTATCGAAAAAATATCGAGAGATGCTCTTAATGGTTTACCAAAAACAGAAGTAAAGAGGATTAAGCTGGACAGTATAGTATAAGTGGAAAACCTAAATAGACCAAGTTCCAAAAATAGACGTCTTCTGTTCCCGATGTTCAAGATAATTACAAGAGTGCATAGTCTGTATATACTCTTCGTTTGTGTCTTAAATATCAAAGACACACGAAAATTGTATTTCCTAACAGGGTGAAAGTTTGAAACTAGGCTTCAAAGAGAAGGAAAATGAATACTGGATTATATCCATTATAATCTTTACCTATCCTCCTGTAACTTATCGTCCCATTCTCTCAACCATTTAACCGGAGTTTCTTCACACCAGGAGTTATAATACCTCACGATACCTGGATGCTCCAAACTTGCCAAAACTTTCACTTCTCTCATCACTTTCTCTCGAGCTTTTTGACTAGAAACGATGAAATAAACACAAAGATAGATACGTTTAACTCGTCCTCTCAAATAAACCGTTCAAGTTTTGAATGGGGAAACATACTTATTTGGTAGTCTGATTCTTTTAACAGCGTATTGGCAATCGTCCAGTTTATTTCGGGCTTGAAAAACCAGACCAAATGCTCCGCTTCCCAGACACGTTTCATGGTCAAAATCCAACTCGTACCTAGTGTAGACACAATGCCTCGTCGATCCCCACAAAATCTCAATTCAAAACAGTATTAAAATACTAATATTTACCTTGACACGAAATTTTCGGGTGATTGAGGCGATAACGGTGAATTTACAGCAGCCTATAAGACAGTGGATGAAAGAAAAAAAAATATGAAAATTCTCACTAAAATGGTCGCAGGGTTTTAGAGGATATATCATTCAATCTTGTTTCATTTAAAAACATTTCTTTACCTTATTTTCATTACATTTCGGTCTGACCTCCAGTTCAAGATCGCCACAAGGTAAATTCAAAGTTAAAGTTTTCTTTTCCTTGAAAACGAAGATTTTAAAAATTAATACGTCTTCACCGACTTCACGTTTAAACGAAACTTTTTTTAGGACGAAGAGTCAGACACGTACGAGTCCCGAATGTTTTGATCGCCAATATTTGAATATCTGCCGGGTGAAGAAACCAAACGTGAAGACAAATATCAGAAGTTCTCTCCTAAGATGAAGAAAGAAAAGATATTTGTAGATAATCGTAAAGAGCACATGATGAAGTATACTTTGCATATTTTTGTTTTATCATATAAGGAAAACATTCAACTGTTCAGTTCAGATCAGAAAGGTCTTTCTTACCACCATTTGAAAACAGAATTCTTCAATTTCATCAGCACTCCTCGCTCCTCGTCTCTCAGACTTTGTGGTTTTGTGATGTTGTTAAGACACTCGCCTTCTTTTGTTTGTACAAAGAAATACTGACCATTATCTGGAGTTAATGAAAAAAGAAATCAGCTCATATCTTTAATGTCATTTTCATACGTCGAACTATACCAGATAGGTACAAATTATGTATCTACTAACCGAAAGGATACTCAAGAGGACGTTGACGAATCGACAGCTCAGTTTGTCCAACAATGGCGGGTGTGCGTGATGAAGATGTCGCTAGATATGGCTTCCAAATCAGTCTTTTCCTAGGATCAACTAAAGCATGATCATCATCGCTTGAACTGGATGTCATTTTGTCAATTGCAATTCTCACAGCCTCCTTCATTTTGTCTGAAGGATGAATGTATAGTTGATCCTCATGGGAGCCTGAAATAAAAAGATTTAATAAAAAATACTCTGTTTATTTTGGCAACATATATTATTGCTTTTGAGCATTCTTAATACTCTATACATTTACCAATATAATACAATGGCATCTCGACATTTTCATTCAATGAATGTGGTGGAACTGAGATCTTCAGTAAATCCATTTCCTCCAGGACACCATTATGCAAAATCCACACAGCAGCCACTGGAGTATCAAATTTCTTCCATAAAATGATTTTCTCTTCTGATTTTTGAACAATTGCTACTATTCGCTCAGGAATTGAAACTTGTATGCCTTGTTTTAGAATTGAGTCTTCAGGTAAGTAATGATGTGGAATATCAGATTGAACTTTTAGAAGGCTAAGTTTGTGTTCCCCAACAGAGAAATTCCATCTAAATCGAGCAAAAAGTTAAGCCATTAAGAGTTGGTATAAATTAATGATCAACTTTGCTGTAACATTGGTAGGGTTACTCTTACCTTGCAGCCCCAGTTCTCTCATTCACAGCTCGAATTGTTCTCTGAGTCCGTTTTAAAACAAGAATATCCCTCAATGAGTCCACTCCACTGCCATCACATCCATCATCAGAACATGAGTACAGCATCTGAAAAGTAAATCATTGATAAATATTTACTGAGTAAGCCTAAAAATCTCACTGGCTACTAAACATTATTAAATAGAGACATATTATAGAGTTGAATCAGTCAAACCTGCCCAGTCTTGGGATCTATACCCGTATGTTGAACATTCTTACTGCCAACCATACCCGTACCATCAGTAAATTTAAATGATGAACGAAGTAAGGTATCAGCATTCCAAGGCATTGCCTAAAATTATTGAAAGTTTGTCTCATGAACTCTAGTCCCATATACACAATGGGCAAGGTACAATATGCAATTAAGAAACCAGAAATACATACCTCAATACTATCCCATGTGAATTGATACAAGCCACCATTCAGTGATGGTATAAGACGATAACTAGTAAACTCTTTCTGCATCTATCAATTAGAAAGACAATAATTTCAACCATTCTTGTTATATGCATAGTAAGTACTCAGATAATCTGATATGAGCATTTTTCGCTGGTTTAAATATAAATATTTAACATCAGGTATTAATTAGGTCCATGTATTACCTGTACAGAACTCAAGCTGGAGGACAAGAGAGGTTCATCTGATAAAGATATTTTCCATTTCGTCATACCATTATTATGTGGGTCTAAACCCTCCAGTTTACCATCCAAAGTACCAACAATCACAAGACTTCTACAGTAAATTTCAAAATCACTTAAATCAGTCACTGTGTTTGGTGCTAAATCAAATCAATATCAACAAAAATCTGTAGTATAAATACTATTAATGATAACTGTTTGCTGATATCGTCGAAATTCTTTTCTCTAAGTACTTGTTAGTTGTTACACAGAACACAAAATAAGTGAAATAAACCAACAAAGACTCGTTTATAAACACTCATCACGAACCTTGAAAGACCATCTCACAAATCTGTGATCTTATTCTTTATTTAAAAGCGATCATTTTCATTCAAAGTCCCCAGATTTGCAATGTTTGTACAATATAAACATATTAAATATGTTATCTTTAATAGTACATACTCTGTAAATCGACGATTCTCGTGACTTAACGCCAACGAATGTCCATTTTCTTCACCGTTTTCTGAGCCATTAGTAACTGTTATCGCTGAAAAAGCTGTGAGTAACGAATACAAGCCCAGAGCAATGGATCTGTCTGCAAATCTCTTCATGTTTTTCACTTTTTAATGTTTATTTACCTCAGCAGCCATTTGCAATTTAAAATTCACCCTCCTGGAAAGAAACGTGTAATCGTTCCTCGTCGCTGATTGGCTGAAAGACGAACGCGTGTTTTGCGAACATTGCGTCATTCTATAAAAAGTAGCATTACGTCATTGTGAGAAAGGCCATATGGTATTGACAGAACCTCACATTAAAAGTAACCATTTGCGATGAACGAAACTGGTTTAATTTGCTATATCCATTGTGGTGGTATACAATGATACAATTTCTTCAATTTATGAGATACTGAATGGTCAGGAGCTACCCCTATTAAAATGCGCGCATAACGACTAGTTAATGGTACAGACTACAGACCACAGACCAGTGCTACCGACCCATGTAATCAGGAGCTGCGCGCGCAGACAGAACATTTGTTTTGTGTAAAAATGATTGGAAGAATCAAAGAGGTATTCATTTTTCTTGCACGTTTCCCGATGATTCGATCCAAAATCCAGTGCAATGCCATCCTCAATTATGGCTTTTTCATTTCTGGTTTCGATGACGGTCACTTGATGACTTGTTTTCTGTTTTCCTTATTTGTTGTTTTTGTGGTCTGAGAGAGGAAATTTTAGGGAAAAAATCTTTTGTTTTTAATTCCTCACGTGCAATGCACTTTTGACCTGAATATGTGTTTAACCTTGGGACGCAAACTTACTTTTATAGACAGCTACGTCAAAATATTTATTTTTAACAAATATTGAAAAGTTTCCCATGAAACACCACAGGAGAATATTCTCATAAAAAGATGGGAGAACAATTAAACATTGTTTCGTAACGTTTCTTCATTTCTGGCTTCCGGGGCGGCGTGTTAAACGAAAACGCGTCTGGTTCATGATTATGGTCAAACCCAACCATTCCTGTTTGACCAGTGCTTCGTCATTTCATTAACCAATCATCTATTAGCAATGGATCACATGAGGCTCTAACTTGGAGTTGACAAACGATGAGATCACATGATAAATATGCATTCCCAAAAGGGGATCAACACTAGGGACATTGATGCAGACAATTTGGCTTGGTATTTCTTGACTGGGGAAAACACTATCCTCGTTTGTTCTAGGTTAAGCTATTTCTTCCGAAAAAGTTCATTTGATTTTCTCGTTCATTTGAGTTATCTCGAACCAATTAATGAAGTTTCTGAAACACGAGATAAATTAGGAAGGTTACTCTGCCTAAAATTTTGGTGATAATTAGTTTAGTTTATTGCATTTCTGTAAGCTGAGTTTTGCTTCCAGGTTAGCAGCAGAGTCCAGTCATCCTGTTTGTCTGGTTTTACATCAACTCAAACACACTGCTTGTCGTCAATTCTCGCTGCTGATTCACGAAGTAAAGCCTGTGGGCTCTTGCGCTCCCACAACGTTACATAAACACTCACTGTAGGAGCTTTTACTGTAACTATCTTGAGCATTGAATGTCTAAAGAGACAGCTGTGGTTCTTGTGTGGAAATACCAGTTCTCCAGGTACACATCACAGATGTGTAATACTCATCGCTTGTCACCTTCGCTGTTGATCGTAAAACAAGCTAGAAAAACAAGAACACAAAGATAGACTTCATTACGCTAATTAACTGTTCCAAGACTGTGTTTATCTGACGTTTTAACACTTGTAAAATAAACATTCTTTGATTGCGAAAAAATGCACCAATTTTGCATAGCTTGCGCGCATTTCTTCTCTCACACACGCTCCCCTTGAATATGTAGTGCGTTCTTCGTTTTGTATTTTCCGACCGTATCTGTGGAAGCCTGGACGCTATCTCCCAAAGCGGTCTCTCGGATGTGCGCGCGCGCTTCGATATGACAGTTTGAATGGAACAGGAAACGAGTTGGCATTATGTGATAGCTGCGCGGTGAAACTTGAATGTGACAATTGAGATGATGTTTATATTTGTCCAGCGACGGGACATTGAAATCTTATATGAACCTTGACGTTTCCAATGTTTCGTTGAACGACGGGAGTCGTGCGCACAACCTGTGTACATAAGATGCACTGCTTAGGTACAGTTTGAAGGCGAGTGAACGTATAGCCCACTACCCCCGGGGATGAGCACAAATATTGATTTCACAAGCGGACAAGCTAGACATGTGGCAAATGAGTGAACGCAACGTCCAAGAAAGGTTTACAAATCTTACACAAAACGACGATTACTGGTCGTACAAAACGTTGAAGGAGGGAAATTGAAATGCGTGTTTACGGCTCTACCACTGCGTCATTTTACACGTGGGTTTTTGATACATCAAATTTCAAAAGCACTCATGACCTTTCGCTTGCTTCTGTTTTGGCCATTCTGATAAATGGACGTTTATCTTTCTGTGTTTTTGTTTCAGATATTTATTATTGATCCTGGCTCGGACCGAAACCTCGGTAAGTGTTAGCTATACTTCAATAAGCTGTCATATCTCACGACTATGGGATCGGGCCTAGAGCAGTATCGTTTTCCCTTCGTAAGCAACTCAATTTTTACTTTTCTTTCTGTCGCACGGTTGAAACAGCAGGACATACTTGGAAAGCATTATGACGTTCAGCGACAGAAAACTGATAAGACAACTCCGTCGTATTCAAAAACTGTTCAACTCTATTCAAAAGCCAGTTCGAAATATGTACAAGTATTAGGAAGAACGGTGAATGCAAGCGCTGATGCAAAAAGTGATGCTGGTGAGTGGCTTCTATTTTATGATGGTATCAGCGTTGGTAAATTGGTAAAGTCGGGTTTCTATTAAGATTATGGGGTTAAATAGACAAGCTTTATACTACAGGCAGGCCACAACAGGTGTTCAAAATAAAACTTGCATGCATTCAAAAACCTAATTCGTCGTTCAAGAAGGATCTTGTTACGCTTGTTTGGAATGCAGTCCAATCACATTTTGATCCAAACAAGGAATTTTATTTCTGCGCAGCTTCAGTAAAGAAAAGCTAATAACTGCAGTGATACTCAACACATTGTAACCGGATAGCATTCGCCCAACATGGTCGTTTTGCTTTTGTTCGGGCTCCTCTTGTCCTGTTGCGAGCAATTTTCTTTATAATGTGTGGTCTAGCATCGTGTGTCATGTGTATTTTCCAACACGTTATATCTAGATGGTTTGATAACAAGATTTAATGAGGGAAAGCCGTTTTCGAGCTTCCATCAGCGAGACCGTGTTGAAATAAAGGGCGGCATTTGGCAGAGACTATAGGAAATGCTTTAATTGGCAATATTACAGCACCTCTAAGGCAAGGTCTTGCGACCGCAATATCATAACATTACACGTCAAAGCTTTGACTTCTAACAGACGGAATGAATGTAATGATTGCGCATTTTTCACGCCAAAAATAGGATGCGCTGCTGATTACGAACGCGGCGGAAACATTAGCAGCGTACGCGTTGTCTTACTTGTTTAGCATAGTTTGCGTTACCATGCAGATATCCAACCGCTTCTTCTGAAGCTAAATAGTATTATAAACATGATTTCATCCTCCGGGCTTCCTTTACCGACGTTCATGGACAGACAATTAATTTTCAAACTTGAGTGAATCACCGCAACGGAACAAGCAATCGTTAGTTCGCGTTAGGGGTTGGAATTCCTTGATTACCGCGACTTTAACAAATGGTTTCTTGTCTTCAAGCGGGCTTTGTTATTTATGCAATAAAACATTATTTGTTATTACTGCTAAATGGCTAATCCTTTACAAATAAGGACACCCTTGTTTATACAAACTCATAGACACTTCTAGAAGCAATCTATATATATGGAAAGCACTTGTGTAGTCTAAAGAGGATCAAGGAATCTCAATGCTGTTGTTTTAACCAGAAATAAGTCATTTTCGTGAAGCTCTTTGCTACACATATGAGATTAAAACCAAGGCAAAAAGCCAAAGTAAATTTAGGAATAACTTTATCCAGCGACCCCAAAAAAGTTTAGGTTCGGCAGTATTGTGCGTTTTTTAGTCTTTTATTATAACATACTTATATACTGTAGACTTCATAAGCATAAAACCTCTTAACACACGTACTTCACATCAATGATCAGAAGTATATTTTGAAGACGGAAGACATAAATCAGTTCAATTTTTTATTCCCAGTTATGAATGGATCCAGTCGTGATAACACTGTCTTGCAAAGCATGTTATGCTAACTCAACGCTATGAAAAGTTGTTTTAAAAAGGTGAAGGTGCTGTTGAAGTCTTTGGGAGTGTCTAAACAGCATTTGCCCACGCTCAACAATTCTCCTTTTGGCATTAAGATCGTCCAAACCACTCCAGACAATGCAAATATTCGCCTACCTAGCAAAATATACTATTACACTAATGCATTAAAGTATACAAATATCTGAGCACCTTTTATGCAGCACTTGAGATTTGACAGGTATGAGTTTAGTTATAAAAGTTGATTTATCACACACTTTTAAAGAAATATATAACCGCGAATACTTTGAAGTACTAGCTTTGTGGTCCGTCATTGCTACATTTATAAAAATACTTGCGATAAAGGCTTATCTTTCGACAGACTAACTGATGATAAACTACGCATGTTAATTAAGACTAATGATATTCATATAATTACAACCACATAGCCTCGACCTCATCCGTGAATAACGGAATAAGTATTTAACAATGAACCTAAAGATCAAATTGGATTTATTTACTAAATGATCATCACTTTTAATTCAATTGATACGAAAGACAATGTTGGTAGAACTTAGTTTGAAACAAGTATGAAATGAAATACCATGAGATGAAATCACGTCTTCAAAATCTCGAATATTTACAATAAAAACTAAAAATAGCCTTTAAAGCTGAGCCTGAAAATAAAAAGGCCTGACATTCGCAGTCATGCTAGTTAAGAATAACATTTAAGAGGAGAAACATGGTGGGATTTCCTCGTTTGGTTTTATTTCCTGAAATGCTTCGCGCAGTTTTTACGTCGAAATATTTTAAATGGAATTCCTTTTCTGCGAATAAATCTTGCGGCATCAAAATCTTCCGGCATCAAGGTTTATTGGTTTTTATTGCAATAATAATGTTTTATCTCTCTACTATAAAAGCATTGAGCAATAAATCAGGGGAATAGCCGATATTGACAGCTGGTTTGTGTATGCTACTTGGGAAATGAGATTGCTTTTGATTGATCCTGCGTTGCGCTGGCATCTCGTGCGTTGTACGTCATGAACTGTCTTATTATTTCCTTAAAAAACAGTAATTGGAGTGACTATTTAAAGCAATCACTGCGCATACATTGATCTTGTGTTTCGACACAAGTAGCGTTGCAACAGAAGCTTTAATAATTTATTTCCCTTTCATAATAAATTCCACCCTTCAATTAAGTTGTGGTTGACCACCGTTAACCTCATCGACAGAACCTCAACCTAGGTATCCTTCGTAACTCTGCTCGATTGTGATTATCTTCCTATCTCCCACACACACAAGGTTCGGGCTCAGTAAAAAACTCTACACTTTCCAACACAAGCCCACATCGTTCGGTTTCGTGAGTAAGACTAATCAGTTTAGTGTATGGTGTGTTTTGATAATTCGTTAATCAAGCAAAAGCCACCTTTATCGACCTTATTCTCAGAGGGAGGTAATATATGCATCAAAAAATGCGCTTCAGGGTAAAAAGTCTTTTGACCAAAATTGGTATCTTTCAATGCCCATCCAAGACACGGCTCAATACTCGAAAGGGCAAAGACATTTCCAGAAAATATCGACTAGAGTTTCCACATTTTTATAAAAGTTATTTAACTTTATTCGTTTCTTTAAAGTGTTTGCAAACGATGAACGTCAACTGCATGATGGGGTATAAGCACCGCTTTAAAAACTCTTTCATATAACAACATCGCTGCATGCCTGACAAATATGATTGTTGCTATAATTTGTCATGATGCTATTATCTATGTTTATAATGGTTAAATTAAGTATTGAGACATTTAAACCAATTCAAATAATTTGATTCGAGGTAAGCCAATTTATAAGAAACGTAAGCCAATTTGAACTTTCTTTAGACTTCGCATCGCAGACCTGTTTTGATTGAATGACTGTGGAAACTCAAATTTCTCTTCCGTAATTCTAATTATTTTGTAGCTAATCAATTTATCGCGTATTAAGATGATTATTTTATCAGAAAGTTTTGACTCCTGCCACGTGGGAAAGAACAAGGTTCCTTCCTGTTCATCTGTGGTTTTTTCTTCGTTATGATAACCCATGTTGAGTCCAACAACATTTCTTAACCGACCATTTAATGAAGAGCAGTTACAACCCGTTACAGACATACAGTGTACATGCTGTTATTTTGGAAATCAGTGATCTTCGTGAGCTAACAAACTAATGTGATGTTGAAATTGGACATTAGCAAAAACCAGACACACACTTAACATAAATTGCCTGTAAAATTGAATGGTTTGAACATACAAATGAATAGCCCTAACAGAGAAAAAGCTGACTTTATTAAGTCTTGACACGCCTAGTTTTTATACGGCAATTTAGACGACAAAGTACACGACTTTTTAAATTTATATTATAAGACGCCTGATATATTATAGTCTTTTGGAGAAGAGTTTTGACACAGGACAAAATTGTATTTATATAAAAAACAATCTAACAATCGAGCAAAGATTAGAGAGGATATGATCTTTATTTTCAAAATAGCATGTTTAAAATGCAATAACACTTTACCTCCGGCAGTTTCCTGCAGGCGTCTACAGGGCGTTCCTGAGAGCACCGCGTGCACCATTTCAGTTATTTGAATAAATTTCGCTGTTATTTCTCTAAAGATGTGCCAAGAATGACGGAAGGCGAACTATGTAGGTACACGTGTTTAGATTGGCCTGCAAATCTGTTATGATTTACGCCAATTATGTTAATTAGCCATGTTCTTTGCACGAGTGTTGGAAAGTATGGTGAGAGTTATCAGTTATCATAATTATCAGTATCAACAATTCACCCCTCCCAATGATTCCTCCCATCAGTATCTGTCATTAGGAGAATACTGCACACAGAATAATTTGAATGTAAAAGAATTGTAAACCAGATTAAAGAACAGACAGATTGTAATGTTTGTAGTCACGGCATCACACTTTGATCTTTCTAACTGAAAGCTTTTACATACCACGGTTTCATACAAGACAAACGGTCGATCAACGTTTGCTTTATAAAACTCCGGATAACCTCTTTAGAAACATTTCGTATATCCATAGCGTTTTTTTAAACTCTAGGAGGAAAAAGATTCTTTCTTGTAATAAACAGAGAATGTACCCTGCTATGTACTTGTGTGATATTCGTCGCGGGGTTCACAGTTATCTTGATTTAAATATCGCAGAGACAGAAAGTCGATGTGGGAGGATCGAGATATTCATTCAGACATTAAACGTGATGTTAAGCATTTCTAAGACTATCGTGTTATAAAACGCCAAGGGTCATAACTTTAGCTTTGCCTTCAATAACATTTTACACGATGTGTGATTCAGGCAAAGTTATTTCAACGGTACATGAGCTAAATTTTCTCCATGTGTTTGGTATTGAACGATACAAACACTTTATTTGTTTTTCCCTACTGCGTTTCACTTCAAAATCACTGTGATTTTTGCCGCAATTCTGTGAGGTTTTGTCTCTTTCAATACAGTGTACTCTGTTCAATTTTCGCACAGTTCTCAAATCTATGTAACATCGGATGTTGTTGAATGCTGTTGCAAAATTTTGCACGTGTGTAAACCATGCGTTATAATTTATCCTGCGTTCATTACTCGGATTATTAAATAACGATGAAAATTTCACCACTGTAAAATACGTCTATACAATTGAATATACAATCTTGAAAACAGTTGTTTTTCCTGTATTACGGTGAAGCAGATTTCGGACTCTAGTTGAGTTGACGTAACTGACCCTTCCATTCCATTCCTTGCATTACTTAAATTGGAACTGAATTAAAAGGTGAAAATCTATAGACGACCTAATTGATACATTAAGTCAATTGACGCAAGAAAATATTTAAATTCTCTGCCTGATTTATCATTCTAACTCTCAGACCATATGGAAGCGATTTCGTTTAATTCATTTCACTAGTCAACAATTTACGCTTACGAATTAAATTAAAAATTACAACGAAGTCTTTACTTCATTGGCTTTTCCTGCCGCTTTGCCCGGCATGAATCCAAATGCCTTTAGTTACGTAGTGTGCGCGTGCGCAATGTAATGCCTCTGAGTAGGTATTCTCAAAATGACCACAATAATAGCGTGGGTAGTTGGCGAACTCGAGTTTTGTGTGTCGTAACCTTTTAAATTAAATCAATATTTTTGTGCACGGTTTTGCTGTCAAAGAGGCACATAATTTGGACACTAACATGACCTAACATTAATAAAACTATTCAATATTTACCGGATTAAAAGCATGCTTTTTGCGGCTAGACCTTTCAGTTATCAGATAAATCTATAAATGTGTAAAAACGGAAAACAAGCAGATTAGGAAAATGGCATAAATTATCTAATCTACGGATGTCATTGCAACCCGCTGGCTAAAACAATGGGAGATCTATTTAGACGCAAGATAAGTCGATACCGATTGCGAAAAAACGTGGGTTCGACATTATGGATTGTGGAAACGCTGTACATATCACGAAATATGGGAACGAAACTTGGAGCGCGCATCCCTTGCAACAGATTATAGAAAACATCAAACATGCTTCATTTATACAGAACATGTTACATGTATACGCCAAAAATTCACCACGCCTTTGGTAACTGAGACTCAAAGGCATAATTCTACCTTTTTGTGCACAAAATAGCAAGAAATTTAGTCTAGAATAGTTTGTAGGAAATTTCGTTACCTTGCATGAATATTTCTCTGGTCTCCGGTTTAAAACACAGTGAAGCCTTTGTAAGAAACAGTGCATCGTTCCACCTTTACCGTCGTTCAGAAGAACACTCTCAAGTCGACCTCAAAACGTCTCTCGATTGTTTTTGTACATGACATTGTAGAATTCAGTTTAATACGTGGTGTACCTTTTATTGTTCTCTCCAAACAACTGAATCTTACTTCCACGCTTCGTTCATCGATGTTTCCAGAAAACAGACCTTGAATAGGCTAAGAGCTCTGTGAAAAAGCCTGCTAGTTTTGCTCTTAGAAATAAGATTATTCCGCAGATTGCGCCGTTGTGAACACTTCAATGATGAGGTAACTTCAATGCAGCTCGTGAAGGTGCTTAATGCATTCACAGATTGTGCTTTTATTGTTGAAGTGCCCTCTCATAACGTACAGGGAACAAAAACAAAACGAAGACTATTTGAAAAATGATTTGCTCAGATATTCAAAACGTTTCCGTATTGTATTTGTGTGATGCAACTTAAAATGAGAAAAAACGGCTGACCATCGTGGGAATTATTGACAGGACATTTTGCTTTGCTAAAATCTTTGTTAAGTTATGTCATTAATGACATGCAAATGGTTCAAATGATTTTACGATTAGCGCTGGGCATTTCAAAGTGTGCTCCTGGGCCTGGGAATACTTTATGATTTCGGAAAAAACAAAAGTCGTAGTGCAAACTAAGATAAATGTCATTATGCTGGGCGTTCTTTGTACTGTCAAAATATCTCTTCACAAACACACACAAATATTTGGATTTTTGCTAATGGTTCCTTTCTGTTTTCTTTGACTAGCGTAAGTTGAATGTTTACCTTATAAGGTGGTAATGATAGATTTTCTTCTGATGCCAGTTTTTTTACGTGTTTGAATGCATTCAGGAATATTTGCAGTAATGAAATCTGCATGAAGATGATTTGAAACAATGGAGGAAAATATGCAAACCACGGCTCATTTCCGAGCCACAGTCTAAGACAGCATAAGTGTAAGCAAGAAGAATATATTCAGTTTAGAATAAATCTATTCGGTAGATACGAACGTAACAAGTTGGTAGAATTTGTGTTTGATGTCAGTTTTTGCACATAGGTATTGCTTGAAGCTGATTGGATAATTTCCGTTTGCTGCACGGCATTTCATTGGCTAGTTCCAGCACGCAGATTTTCTCATTGGAGTCAATGACGCACGCGTGGAATGACAGCTAATTACAGTTGTTGCAAGCACTTGCTTAAATTGAACCAATCCCAAAATAATTTTATCACAAATACTTGCATTTCAGTAAGCATTAACATCAGTCTATATTTAATATTAGTTTGGCCACCTTTTTACTGTTTATTCAAACTCAGTCAGATAAACAGAGTCATATGTTTGTGTTAGCTCAACACTAATTATTTGGCTGGAGCAAGTGACCTTGTCACGGCTTGTGAAACGAAGGCCAACAACAAAAACAAACCATCTTGTTTTTACACACACTGAGCTCAAGCTTAAAAGGAATTATGTCAAAAAACAAGGACCAATTAAAGAGAGCATTCAGAAACAGCGAGAACTCGCCATGAAGTTACAAAATCGGTAACATGCTCTTTATTTTTTCCCTGTTTACATTGTAAACTTTAAAACAAACATTCCGTAAATATTTTTATACCGACAAAGGTTTTTTGTTTGATATTCTATGTGTGTCTGCCATTTATATTGAAGGGCATGTTTCACTGAACGTGATTTGAGATAATGAAATAGCCACACGAAACAAGAACACTCAGTCCATCGAAGGGTGGCAGAAAAAAACTGATTAGGTTAAGAAATGACCTTTGTGATAAATTTTCACTGGGTCGTGTGAATATTTCATACTGGGCAGTCATCTTCAATTTAGTAAAGAATGGTTGATGGGTCCAGTGTATTTATTAGCCTGATATACCTAAAATGCATTTTGTCTGCGTGTAGGCTACAAGCTCACAACTTCCTAGCCTTTGTCGTGTTTAGAATTTTGAGACCACACCGAATACAACAGGCTCTTTCTTCACTCCCGACACTCCACTCGACAAAATGGAAGGGACCCTTATCGTCAGGACCCCTACCTCTTGTCACCCCAAATATAATTGAGCTGTTGCAATATCTGAAATGAAATGAATGAATATTTCAAGCAGTCTGTTTTCGTTAATTATATTTTCACTCCCGGCAACTTTACCCTCCCAAGATGTTTTTCACGCAATAATGATGCCAATGATTTCTTGAAACCATACTGTTTACAATACAAACATTCATATTTCGCTGAGAATACTCCCGATTGACGTTAAAAGCGCCCAATCAAAATCATCACGAAGTACACGAAAGGAGAGAGTTTCCCCTTTAGGATTGGGGAAAGTGTATGAATGGTCAGGTTTTGTTTCGAGACGTTCATTGGCTTCTCCATTTTCCTTCTTCCTGCGATTCGATTCACATTTTTATAGCTATTCAACAAAAGAGTTACATTTTCCAGGCATTTGGTATACGCATGTTCCTTATTTTACCTTTTAAGTTAAAGAGTATTTAGTTTCGTTGAGGGGGGTATTTACTTTGTCTGTGTATGGCCGATGTTTTAACTCCAAAAATACTTTGCAATGTTTGCATGAGGTAGAATTTGAGCAGCTTATGAACACAAACGCGTTAGAGCATCTCAGTGTTAAAATGAGCGGAAGAATGCAACGACTTATTATTTGTAAATGCTTTACTCTGCTAATTACCGAGCATATTATGCTAATCATTATGTTGGAATTTACTAATGCAATCGGACATCTCTCTAATTCCTGTCATTGCTATTACTGAACACTATACAATGTGGTCGCTTTTTGATGGTATTAGGAATGCCAGATGCAATCATATACATCACTAAAGGGTATTTGAACAAGAAAAACCCAAAGTTCTATGGTGCTTGGGGATGCATGTGTTATGGGAGGAAAATCTATGAGATGTCTACGCATCGTTTTAGGAGGCTGAGAATTAGAAGAAAGATCCCAGTCTCTCCTCGTCATGGAGATACACAATAAGCCTAAAATATCCCCGTATTCTCTAACTTAACTAGACCAGCTCGTCTCCTCAAAGGACTCCTCTAGGCATTGATAATTTACCATGTTTTTGGTCCATTTTCTAGCGAAGCTAATTGTTGAAAGTGACACGTTTGGAAAAGTTCGTATTCGACATTACAAAAGCAATTATTACATTTGTTTAAATGTAAAAGGGGAAACTGCTGGATTGGTAAGTAAAAGCATTCTTTAAGTACGCACCATTTCATCTCATTTGTTTTTGACGTTTGAATGTTATTTTTAATATTCCAGGCAGAAAAGAAAGGAAAACATGTAAGACGATGTGTTTTTAGGCCGAGGTTCAGAGAAGACGGATACATACAGTTTATATCAGATAAATACGGACGAAAGAAGAATGTATCGCGCTATTTAGCGTTCAGAGGTGGGGGAGAACCAAAGGTCTTTTCAAAAGTCTTTGGCGAAAACCAGCACGCGACAAAATTTCTCATGTACATGCTTAAGTCGAAAAAAAGACACGTAAAGCGTAATATACGAAGACATTTAATGAAACATGAGTTTCCACTCGAAGCTAAAAAAAGACGTAAAGACAGACGGAATGGAAAGATTTGCAAGCGATACATAAAGTGCATGCGGCAAAAAAATTGGAGAAATTTGAGACGTGGAGAAATTATAAAGTTGATAAGCAGATGTAGACGACTGCTTAGACGGAAGAACTGCAGGTGTAAATGTGCAGAAGAATAGTGTCCAGTCCTCTACAAGAGAAATGAATATTTCAGAGAGTATGATCGCTGTCCACACGATCGTATTCCTGTTTCGTAGCCGGCAAAGCTCAATATCAAAAAGGCCGATTTATGACTGCCTGTTGCTCGAAAAATGTTTTACTGACTTGTTTGATATAAACTGAATTACACTGGCTGAATAACTGGGTTCAGTATGGAAATGTTGAGGAAAGGGAAACGTAGAATAAATCAAAATACTTCAAAAACGGCTTAATTCCTAAGAAGCACGATGAAAACAAGTTCAGTTTATACCAGACAAGCGATAAAATACGAGATAAGTTCAGTGTATAACCTGGGAGGGTGGTTAACGCTACGGATATATTTTGTGCCATAGAGAGATGTACTTATTCTTTAAAACATTTATCGTATATAAAAATGCGAATATACAAGAGTTCTGTAAATACTAGCAGTAATATAAACGGTATTTTAGAGAACATATTCAAACATATAAATCAGCGAACATAAAGCGATGGGAACTGATCCTTTCAAAAACGTCACATTGAGCTTCCTATTTTCAAACCTTCGTCTTCAAAATTTCTTCAATTCATTTTCTCTGCTCAATCCGTATACAAATGAATCTTATCCAGAGTCACGATATTTCTATTCCAACAGTTCAGAACCCTGAGGTTGTAATGTACCAAGGATGAATACCAAAAGGTTATATCTTACTGCGAGTATCTTTGTTGATCATTTTTCACTTGTGAACCAACCAACTTCTATTCCTAAGGCTGACTTTCACTGCCTGCATCTGCTCTCAATAATATTCTTGGACACCATGAAAGTAATTTCTGCCCCATCAGGCACAATGAACGGTTGAAAGTTATCCCAGTGAAGCAAACGAGAGAATGGTGTTTAGAGTTAATAAGTACCTAACTTGCAGTTTGTTTAGGTTGGAGTTCCAAAATCTGACTGTGTGCGCCGCGGTATTTCTCTCTGATCAATGATATAACAAGATTGATCGCTTTTTGAGTATCGCTATCAAAACAATATTTACAAGTTGAGATACCTGCAAACGAATGAATGAAGAAATCATTCTGACAAGATTTATATCAATATATACGATTATAGTTCGGGGTATCTTCACTTAGGCACAAGAATACGTACAAATTAAATAGGCTTTGCATGCCAAATGAATACAGAACATACATAGAGTAAAAAAATATAAACAAGACATAACAAAAAGTAGACAATTTGATGTCAAATAAAGTTATTTATTATTTAATTTCCTTAGTGTGATAATGATTGCTGTGATAATGAGAAAAGGAAGGGAAGAGGTGTGGTAGGGGTTGAGTTCTAACCGATTTACATTATGCTGGGCAAAGGGGTTTGCTCTGTGGAAAAGATACAATTCAGTTGATCTTCGATTTCTTTGACTTCATGTGGACTTTCAGAGGAGGAAGCCTTAGAAGAGAGGGCAGCCTTAGAAGAGAGGAGCTTAGAAGGGGTAGCATTAGAAAAGGAGGAGGAAGAGGGTAGAGCATTACCGAGAAGAGGCTAGCTGTGGGATGTAGAAAGAGGAGTTTAAGCGAATGCGAAGCTTGAGACAAGGGAAGGTTTTACGAGGGAGCTGTTGCAGTGGGGAAGTTCCGGGAGCTGTAATAGTGGGAGAGTTTGTGAACGAGGGGGTTTATAGCAGTGGGGTAGTTCTGGGAGAGAGGGGTTTGTAGCTGTTAGGAGCTTTAGAAGAGAGGGCTGAAGCAGCGTGGGGTCTAGGAGAAAGGAAGCTGTAGCATTGAGCTGTAAGAGAGAGAGGGAGCCGTGTAGCAGTGGGGAAGCTTTAAGAGAGAGGAAGAAGAGGAAGAAGAGAATGGAGCTATGAAGGACTTTCCGGAACCTCTCCTGAAAAAAACTTTATAAGATTTAGGGGAAGTTTTAAAAGAGAAGATTTTTTATGGGGAAGTTTTAAAAGAAGGACGGAGTTTTGGTGATTGGCGAGTTTTAAGGAATGGAATCTTAAGGCGAAAGTTTTACAATAGAATGGAAAATAATTAGGAAAGGAAATGGAAAAAAATTCAGTTTTCGTTCCACAGGAACTTCAGTGAAATATACAGCCTGAAAGCGTATGTATTGTGATCGGTTTTGCTCTTTTTCAGATTTTTTGATCAACAAGTGACGGCACAAAAGCTGACCTGTGTATTCAGTTTCTCACTATACTCTGCCCACTTAGAGTTTAACTTTTCGCAGAAAAACCTTTTTCGACTTAGCTGTAAAACAGAACGTGAAGAAGGCGTTTTGACAATTTATAAGTGATAGGGAAGTTAACAAAAAGAATCACTGTGTAGGTTGTGATATTTTTACTTCCGTAGTTTGTTCGAGAACTTTCCAAGATGGTTCCCAAAGCTCTTTATTGAAGCAAACATGATTAAGACGATTAAAACTTGGACAAACCTAGCGAGATGCGCGCCACGAGCAATGACATCCTGCAGCTTCATACTGCAGGGGTTCATATATACTTTCTATTCTTGTACAATTAACGTACACTATTGAAGTTCATTGACTTGACCTTGGCGTTCTGAGCGTAAGAACAAGCGAACAACATCCTTGAACGCTATCTGATTTTTGAAGTGTTCCGGATCCTCTTTCACCGCAAGGTCCTTATAATGGACCAGCGACCAACATATCGAGCTAAGATACGTAGGGTGCCTTAGACTTGTCCTTTTATATCCCAGCTTAACTTCGAAAACGCTTCGCGTAATTTCCGGACCTGAGCTTCAAAACACAGCGCTATACCTTCGCACATGTGGCGTGATCGACTGGAGTTCATCATGTCTTAACTTACCGCCTGTTGTGTCCAACATCAGCACTGTCTTTGATAACGATTCAACCTCATTCACTCATGTTACACCATGAATTACAAGTTTACAGACGCGCTAATAGTCCGAACTTAATCCGTCATTTCAATGGCACGAAAACAGGACCATATTGCATCAAACACACGCGCTCAAACGTTGTTAGCATTTGAGGAAAACATATTTTTCGTAAACCAGGCGAGCCTGTGATTTCTCTTAATTAAACCTTTATAAAGGCACAGACAGGGTCAACGGGTACTTGAAATTGTAGATTTAAAAAGTATTCGTCTGCTAGCCGTTAAAAGATGCCTTATTATAATTGCTGATATTTACGTTAAGTAAGTTTGGGAAATGAATGAGATCGATCACAAAGATATTATTGAACGCAACCCAAGACGAAAATGTTTCAGATTTAAACGTTGCCTGCATCGTCGTAAAAAAAATGAAAGAGTTGTAGCGAATGATGTGGTGTGAAAGACTGTAGCAATTATATAGGTCAGTTGAGTCGTCCTTCAACAGAGTACAGCCCGGTACATTACTTGCATGCAGCGCAATCACATTGTACACAATCAATGACACTTATCCACGGCTACACACTTTAAACCATCACTAAATGGTAAAGCGTGGTATTTTACCATCATATCGCGTACCTTGCAACTAGGTATACCATATAACAAACTCCAATGCAAAACAGAGTTTTACAAATTTATTATTTACAAGCACAATATCTGGCTGTATAAATATGTTTGAGAAGACGGTTGATGGTTAACATTTTAATTCGTACTATGTACACTGTACATATATCAGCTGCGTAATTTTCTTGCAGTTTCAAAGTAATTTGATCCCCATATCGCTTCTGCGGGAAACTCATGCCAAACTTTGACCACAAACCTGTAACGTCGACGTGAAGTCGATATGTAATTTCTTTCGTCCGACTTTTACAGACAGGGGGTTACGTTGGTATTTCACGATTTTGAAGATTATGTCGGTTCTTTCGACGTGACTCTCCTTCTTTGTAGCATTTGCAAACACCCGTGCAACCTCTTGCCACCGGGTAACACATGAGACATGGTAGAAATACAGAAAGTAATCCCAACAAGCTCCAACGAGCGAAACAACCCGTGTTCACAGGTGAACACGAGCAAGGATTGTCTAATACCCTGTCAGAACGAGACGAATCTTCAGCGCAGTGGTAGAAAATACCCTTAACACAAAACATGCAAGTACAGTAGTCCACTAATGTTTCGACATTATGACCGCAGCATTTCAAAGTAATCTCATCTTGTTCATAACAGTCCCTTAACGGCGTAGTTTCGCGGTTTCCCGAACATCTGTAGAATGTGTTTCCTTGAGCTCTTTGACATTCGCGGGTTTCCTTGGTTAGGGGTTGTGCTGTGGTATATTCAGTACGTTCGGTACCGCCTCCGCCAATATGATGTCGTACAAATGTATCAAAGGACACCTTTGGACGACCGAATTCCCCCGTAGTTGTTTTCAACGTCGCAGGTCTCGATTCCTCGTTTCTCGTCTTGCCTGGACCAGACACCCTACAGTATTCATCGATGTAAGTATAGTTTATCGCCTTATCCTTATTATTTTTGATATCGTTGCTAGTCTTATCATTGTAAGACTTCAGTTTATTTTCAACAGTAGATGGCTTTTGCCTGGAACGATATTCCTTCGCTGCAAACGTCTTGCGAGGCTTCCATATAACATCATAGTGGTCCGAATCAAATGGGTTTTCACGAATTATCAATTGGTCGTCCTCATGCACATCCATTTTATCTGTTCACGATTTATAATAATATACACACGTTTTCACATCGATTCCTTTATCAACAATCGTATCGAGAATGTATCAATGGACAGCATAAATTACGTGTAAACATAAACCAAACGACCAAGCGGTTGAACTCGTTGAAATTTCTGCAAATAAAAAATCTCCGTTATTATTCGGTTTATTTGTATGGTGAGCAACAAATGAGTATAAGAACTATCATATAGGGTGACCTATAGCTTCATTTCATTAAATACGAATCGCACAGTCCGCAATCAACAGGCCGAAGACATGAACAAACAAATGCCATATCACTTACAAAACTTACCAGAGCTGAAAAAATCTAAATTAGCCAGTATCGCTTCAACAATTCCCCTTCTTTCGTTGTAAGAGGTATACATTGGCTATCGATCGAGAGCCGTCCGAAAGCAAATGAAACATCCAATAAGACAGTCAGGAAACGTTGGAATTTTTAGTTTCCGGACCCCCAAGCCTTTACCGTGAGCAATCCTTAGTAATAAACATATCGGATGGCTAATATGACTAATTCATAAGCCATTGCCACTTTTGGCAAAATCACTGCTGGCGTTTCTAGGGTAGGGACGCATAAAATGCCTGGTAGTTTCGGGTAGTCAACTTAGCTCAAAATGAACAGTCACTTTGGAGATTTATACGAGCCAAACCAGACACCTTAAGAATAATATTCCATGCCCGCCCACCTGCCAATTAAAAGACGAACGCTTATTTGCTCTAGCCGTGATGACGTCACGCTAGAATGCGTTTCAACTGACAAGAGAAGATTAAATGTCTCCTTCATAAACTTTGTGTCTGTTTTCATAAAGACTCGTATATTCGTTAGTTCGAGCCCAAATACAATTCACGAGCTGATATATGGAATATCAAGCTACACGTAATGCACTACGAGACTATTGCACTCTTCAACAACAGTCAACCTCTTGTACTTACGTATCAGCTACTTTTATTATTTCAAAATGAACTTACCCAATACAGCGACAACCTATCTGTGCGCATTGGGGTGCCATTTCCGGCGTATTGAGCCGAGATCAATAAGGCACAATGACTATTTACTCTACAGACACAGGATTAACATTCGCAGAGGCTTCAATTCGCTTTGTGAACTTTTAAACCCTGCGATAATTTAGGCTTCAATAGTTTAGATTTGAAACTCTCATTGTCTTTATAAACTGGATAGGTCTTTGAATTTTGATACAAAACACTCCGGAAACTAATGCGCATTTTAATGCTACAGTTAATTTTAATAAGAACTATCTCATATAAATGTCTAGTGGTGATAAAAAACAGACACAGAACAGGAATCCTTTCTACATTAAACTTTCCGGCTGTTTATTTTAAATCGACATTACAAATAGCAAGGGCATGATTTGTGCCATGGCTTGACGGAAAATACAATGTTATCGACTTTGAATTATTTACGCAGTAGCGAGACTAATGAGTAATATTTCCGTCATTTTTTATATACTTAAAATAATTTTCTAAACGAAGGAAGATGCTTTCATTAATCATCATATCTAAGTCTTTGTTTTATAATGTTTTGCTTCTCTTGTATTATGTTTCATGTTTTCTTGTTTTCATCCTGTGCATGTGAACCTTCGGCCACGTCTACCTCTTATGTCATAAATTCGATTGAAAAATGAGCAAAAATAGTCAGTAGTGATAAACGATATTTATTGTATTTATTGTAGATTCAATATAATATAAAACTAAATTTCCGTCGTTTTCTTAATTTAGCCGGTAGCCATAGAAATAAAGTGCGTAATTTAGGTCTCAATATGATAACAGATAAACTCTTTAATATATTTTCAGCAGTGTATGTGTATGTTTGTACGGTTAGATAAAATCTTTTCAAGACGCTGTTCAGCCGCCGGAGTTAAACATGAAATGAAATTCGTATATATCTATATTATGTAATCTAAACAATAATCAAAATGAGAAGGATAACCACAAAACCACACGTGAATTACTAAGACTGACTTTTTCAGGATGACGAGCAGGTACCTGAGAGATACCCAGAATATTATCCAAGTCGGGTTGTTTTAACAAAGCTTTATAGAAAACAGAAGAAAATCCTCTCGTTTTCGCCATCATTTCACTGGGCAGTTGCTGAACTAATTCAAGTTATTCAACTTTCCTTTTGGTAAAGAAAATTTATAGTTGGGAAATTATTTCTCGCAATGGAAAAAAGAAAAAGAAATTCTTTGAATAGTAAATTGTTCGTAATAAAATCTAAGAAGCAGAACACAAAACCACTCGATTAGTTCAAAGAGCCACAAGAGAGGAATTTACGTAAGATTTTCATTTGAAATGTGTGAAATCAAACTATATCGTCTCTGTTAATCAAAAATGACAGTTAACCCTTGAGTGCACTAAAAGCGCCATCACAATGATCACATCCAACCACCATGCCATAGAAACTGACCTATTTGGACGCAGTGTATACCTTAACCAGGTAATCAGATAAGATTAGGAATGAATCTGTATTGTTGTAGGGAAAAACAAGGAATTCACAGCCGGGTTGGAACTTCATCATCACTACATCACTTCGCTTTGACATGATCCGGACACAAGACTATGATGGAAACATGCTCTTGAACATTTTGATGATTTTCAGAAAATTTATTGCAATATTCTTTTGCTATTCATGCACTTGAGTATGTCAAAGTTATGGCTGGCCATTCATTAAAGTAATTTGTCTGTAAAATATCCGATGTGAATGCCTTGTAGTCTGTCTACTCAAAACGCTGGTGTTTAATGATCAGCGGTGCATCACTGAGTACACTGAACTCACGACAATACCAAGAAGACTAAATATCGCATCAAATTCTCTTGCCCCTTCAACTGACTCAATTAATCCTAAAATTGACTCTGTTTGATAAAGCAATCCTCGCTTTTTCTTACAACCGGAAACGAGCTGTCAGCCAGAGCTTGTTTTGGAAGCTCGACTTGTGCAAGGATAAAACGGTGTCGGTTATCACTGGACGACCAGATTACATATTTTCATAAATCACAATTCAAAATTCTTGAGAGTAATTTTCAATTGTAGGCATGCGAATTTCCAATTGCCTTGGGATTGTATCGTCGTATCCGTGCATACCAGGATTACTAGAATGGTTCGTAAATCGTCAAACAAAACAGATTATATGGATAATCAAATCCTTTAAGCTTAATTTATGTTACAAACTCCAAGCTCGGAGATCTAAAAAATCATTTTAGATTTTGTTATCAGAATTTCACAATTTTATCTTTTATTTAAGATTTGTTCCATTATGCATGTCGGGGGTTCAGTTGGTCAGTCATTCAATCAAAATCAGAATTATTGTAATCTTAACGCACGTATTATGAAAGTCGAACCTTAATTATTTCGATATTTTAATTTCTTGATGCGTTGAAAGTTAAGCAGGAAAAAAAAGAAGAAATCTTGAAATGTGTTTTACTAGCGCAGTATGGTTGTATAGTTATCGAGATAAAAATAGCCCACAAGTGTCTCCATATGGTCAGAATCAATCATTGACCAATCATTACTGTCTCTCAAATGTTTTATATAAAAGCAAGCAGCACTTCACTTCTGTCCCCACGGTGCTTTCCTCGTAAAAACCTTCATTATAATGTCTGAAGAATTTGGTGCATGCCACATTATTAGGGGTGAGAAGAATTCAAAATTGTGCTTGTAGATTACGACGTGTGAACAATTTCACGACACGCAGTCAGTCTGTACTTATAAGTGTTAGAATACAGGACTGACAGGATTAGTTTCCGGTCAAGCTGGTTAATGGATGGTCAACTTACGCGCGGTGGGGTCCAGGCCAAACGTTTAAATCTCACCATTGGGTATACCACGTGACCAAACTAGGTAAGACTTATTCCTCTAGTATAATTCAAAATTTTAAAAAAGAGAAACTCCGTGTTACAGATTCTATAATACTGCTTGGTACGATTGCCTCAGTCACTTCTGATGTATGCGGTATTTCAACTCCTAAAACTCACATGCATGCATTGGTTTATATTAAATTTTCCTTCAAAAGACAAGCCTCTTTTCTACAATAAAAGTAACAGACATGAATCTTGTGAACCATCGCTTTCATGCGCTCATTTTGTACAGTAAACAATATGTCTTATGTCTTCCTACAGGTCTTAATCAAAACATCAATATCTTGGCAAAAATACAAACGACAAATATCAAATCAAACGGCGAGACCTGGTTTTCGAACAATTTCCTATATTTGGCTATTATATTAAAAATATTTACATCAGCCAAGGTTATATTGATCTTTCGTTTTAAAAGAAAAGAGCCGTGAGAAATACTCCAAAAAAGGCAAAAAATTCTAAAAGCTTTTAAAAGCATTCGTGTTCGTATAAAATCTAAAGAAAGAGTAATTGGTTTGTAAAGTGCAGTTATTTTCACACAAAGCAGCGTGGGTGAGGAAGTCGGAACCTCACTGTAGAATATACACGATCATACAGGAGACTTTCGAGAAGCAATTATGCTTTGAAATCCCACGTAATTGCTCAAAGAGAGCCAAAATATTATAGACAAATATCCTATAATATAATTATGTGGGCAATCGTGTTGGGAAAATGGTTAAAATGAGGTTTCATCTATAGAATTTGGTACAACTAAGAATTCTCTAAGACTGTGTTTTTAACATGCAAGGAAAACTATCAAAATATCAGGATGATGCTGCCGTTAATGAGACAATTCACGTCCTGACCTTGGTCAAGTTTAACTAAAATCTATTTAGTGTTCAATGAGGGATAAAATTAATTTCCTTGCCAAAAATTTTAAAGGTATTTTGAAACATTACACTTGAGAAGTTATCTGGTGAATGTTTTTATGCCTATACTGAAATAAAATGCTATTTATTTCGAGTTTTCTTCAGTAAAATCTAAAATAAACTGTTCAACATTTCAACATCCCAAACAGTTTCCACCCGAACTAAAAGATTCACCTAGCCATTACTGCTTTTAAACAATAGACCAATAACTCACTTAATATTACGTCGAAAGTAAGTCAATGTGATTATATAACAACTGCTGTTAATCATTTGCCTAAGGCGAGGAAGAACAGACCAAAGTTGAGCAATGCAATCGAGTAGTTTTTGATTCAATGAGC